TTCCAGGAACAATGCAAACCATCGAAGATGTCGCAGAATCTCAGAACCTGTATTTGCAAGAACTCCTTATTTGCTTGTGGAACACTTCACTTCAAAACTCTACAATTGTGATGCCGTACCAGATAGGCTAATGAAATATGGATATTTCTGAGATAAGTTACCTTTAAAAATGTCTCTCATCAATCTCATTTAGTAGTTATATTCTTCTTCGAACATTCTTTCATGAAAAAACGACTTTTATCGATTCACTAAATTATTTATTTATTCAGTCGAATATTTAGTCGACATTCATTGATGTGAGTGTATGGAATCACGTCAGGTACCCTTACGAGGGGAGTGTATCAACTTTGGCGTTCGTAATGCCTCTCTACAAAGGAGGGTGTCGCCTTCAAGAGTTAGGTATAAACAGTGGTTTTATACCAGTTATTTTCCAAATTATTCATGCCCTGCAGAAAAGCAACAGTCGTTGTTTCAATGAAGCAGTGCACTTAGAAGGGTGGACTCATGTTTTCTACCACATCTGTATATTACAACCCTATGGCGCGATTAGAAAGTCATAATACTAATTCATGGTTTTTTTTAGGATATTCCAGGAACAATGCAAACCATCAAAGATGTCGCAGAATCTCAGAACCTGTATCTGCAAGAACTCCTTATTTGCTTGTGGAACACTTCACTTCAAAACTCTACAATTGTGATGCCGTACCAGATAGGCTGAAATATGGATATTTCTGAGATAAGTTACCTTTAAAATTGTCTCTCCTCAATCTCATTAAGTAGTTATATTCTTCTTCGAACATTCTTTCATGAAAAAACGACTTTTATCGATTCACTAAATTATTTATTTATTCAGTCGAATATTTAGTCGACACTCATTGATGTGAGTGTATGGAATCACGTCAGGTACCCTTACGAGGGGAGTGTATCAACTTTGGCGTTCGTAATGCCTCTCTACAAAGGAGGGTGTCGCCTTCAAGAGTTAGGTATAAACAGTGGTTTTATACCAGTTATTTTCCAAATTATTCATGCCCTGCAGAAAAGCAACAGTCGTTTCAATGAAGCAGTGCACTTAGAAGGGTGGACTCATGTTTTCTACCACATCTGTATATTACAACCATATGGCGCGATTAGAAAGTCATAATACTAATTCATGGTTTTTTTTAGGATATTCCAGGAACAATGCAAACCATCGAAGATGTCGCAGAATCTCAGAACCTGTATTTGCAAGAACTCCTTATTTGCTTGTGGAACACTTCACTTCAAAACTCTACAATTGTGATGTCCTACCAGATAGGCTAAAATATGGATATTTCTGAGATAAGTTACCTTTAAAATTGTCTCTCCTCAATCTCATTAAGTAGTTATATTCTTCTTCGAACATTCTTTCATGAAAAAACGACTTTTATCGATTCACTAAATTATTTATTTATTCAGTCGAATATTTAGTCGACATTCATTGATGTGAGTGTATGGAATCACGTCAGGTACCCTTACGAGGGGAGTGTATCAACTTTGGCGTTCGTAATGCCTCTCTACAAAGGAGGGTGTCGCCTTCAAGAGTTAGGTATAAACAGTGGTTTTATACCAGTTATTTTCCAAATTATTCATGCCCTGCAGAAAAGCAACAGTCGTTGTTTCAATGAAGCAGTGCACTTAGAAGAGTAGACTCATGTTTTCTACCACATCTGTATATTACAACCATATGGCGCGATTAGAAAGTCATAATACTAATTCATGGTTTTTTTTAGGATATTCCAGGAACAATGCAAACCATCGAAGATGTCGCAGAATCTCAGAACCTGTATCTGCAAGAACTCCTTATTTGCTTGTGGAACACTTCACTTCAAAACTCTACAATTGTGATGCCGTACCAGATAGGCTAATGAAATATGGATATTTCTGAGATAAGTTACCTTTAAAAATGTCTCTCATCAATCTCATTTAGTAGTTATATTCTTCTTCGAACATTCTTTCATGAAAAAACGACTTTTATCGATTCACTAAATTATTTATTTATTCAGTCGAATATTTAGTCGACATTCATTGATGTGAGTGTATGGAATCACGTCAGGTACCCTTACGAGGGGAGTGTATCAACTTTGGCGTTCGTAATGCCTCTCTACAAAGGAGGGTGTCGCCTTCAAGAGTTAGGTATAAACAGTGGTTTTATACCAGTTATTTTCCAAATTATTCATGCCCTGCAGAAAAGCAACAGTCGTTGTTTCAATGAAGCAGTGCACTTAGAAGGGTGGACTCATGTTTTCTACCACATCTGTATATTACAACCCTATGGCGCGATTAGAAAGTCATAATACTAATTCATGGTTTTTTTTAGGATATTCCAGGAACAATGCAAACCATCAAAGATGTCGCAGAATCTCAGAACCTGTATCTGCAAGAACTCCTTATTTGCTTGTGGAACACTTCACTTCAAAACTCTACAATTGTGATGCCGTACCAGATAGGCTGAAATATGGATATTTCTGAGATAAGTTACCTTTAAAATTGTCTCTCCTCAATCTCATTAAGTAGTTATATTCTTCTTCGAACATTCTTTCATGAAAAAACGACTTTTATCGATTCACTAAATTATTTATTTATTCAGTCGAATATTTAGTCGACACTCATTGATGTGAGTGTATGGAATCACGTCAGGTACCCTTACGAGGGGAGTGTATCAACTTTGGCGTTCGTAATGCCTCTCTACAAAGGAGGGTGTCGCCTTCAAGAGTTAGGTATAAACAGTGGTTTTATACCAGTTATTTTCCAAATTATTCATGCCCTGCAGAAAAGCAACAGTCGTTGTTTCAATGAAGCAGTGCACTTAGAAGGGTGGACTCATGTTTTCTACCACATCTGTATATTACAACCATATGGCGCGATTAGAAAGTCATAATACTAATTCATGGTTTTTTTTAGGATATTCCAGGAACAATGCAAACCATCGAAGATGTCGCAGAATCTCAGAACCTGTATTTGCAAGAACTCCTTATTTGCTTGTGGAACACTTCACTTCAAAACTCTACAATTGTGATGTCCTACCAGATAGGCTAAAATATGGATATTTCTGAGATAAGTTACCTTTAAAATTGTCTCTCCTCAATCTCATTAAGTAGTTATATTCTTCTTCGAACATTCTTTCATGAAAAAACGACTTTTATCGATTCACTAAATTATTTATTTATTCAGTCGAATATTTAGTCGACATTCATTGATGTGAGTGTATGGAATCACGTCAGGTACCCTTACGAGGGGAGTGTATCAACTTTGGCGTTCGTAATGCCTCTCTACAAAGGAGGGTGTCGCCTTCAAGAGTTAGGTATAAACAGTGGTTTTATACCAGTTATTTTCCAAATTATTCATGCCCTGCAGAAAAGCAACAGTCGTTGTTTCAATGAAGCAGTGCACTTAGAAGAGTAGACTCATGTTTTCTACCACATCTGTATATTACAACCATATGGCGCGATTAGAAAGTCATAATACTAATTCATGGTTTTTTTTAGGATATTCCAGGAACAATGCAAACCATCGAAGATGTCGCAGAATCTCAGAACCTGTATTTGCAAGAACTCCTTATTTGCTTGTGGAACACTTCACTTCAAAACTCTACAATTGTGATGCCGTACCAGATAGGCTAATGAAATATGGATATTTCTGAGATAAGTTACCTTTAAAAATGTCTCTCATCAATCTCATTTAGTAGTTATATTCTTCTTCGAACATTCTTTCATGAAAAAACGACTTTTATCGATTCACTAAATTATTTATTTATTCAGTCGAATATTTAGTCGACATTCATTGATGTGAGTGTATGGAATCACGTCAGGTACCCTTACGAGGGGAGTGTATCAACTTTGGCGTTCGTAATGCCTCTCTACAAAGGAGGGTGTCGCCTTCAAGAGTTAGGTATAAACAGTGGTTTTATACCAGTTATTTTCCAAATTATTCATGCCCTGCAGAAAAGCAACAGTCGTTGTTTCAATGAAGCAGTGCACTTAGAAGGGTGGACTCATGTTTTCTACCACATCTGTATATTACAACCATATGGCGCGATTAGAAAGTCATAATACTAATTCATGGTTTTTTTTAGGATATTCCAGGAACAATGCAAACCATCGAAGATGTCGCAGAATCTCAGAACCTGTATTTGCAAGAACTCCTTATTTGCTTGTGGAACACTTCACTTCAAAACTCTACAATTGTGATGCCGTACCAGATAGTCTAATGAAATATGGATATTTCTGAGATAAGTTACTTTTAAAAATGTCTCTCCTTAATCTCATTTAGTAGTTATATTCTTCTTCGAACATTCTTTCATGAAAAAACGACTTTTCTCGATTCACTAAATTATTTATTTATTCAGTCGAATATTTAGTCGACACTCATTGATGTGAGTGTATGGAATCACGTCAGGTACCCTTACGAGGGGAGTGTATCAACTTCGGCGTTCGTAATGCCTTTCTACAAAGGAGGGTGTCGCCTTCAAGAGTTAGGTATAAACAGTGGTTTTAAACCAGTTCCTTTCCAAATTATGCATGCCCTACAGGAAAGCAACAGTCGTTGTTTCGATGAAGCAGTGCCCTTAGAAGGGTGAACCCATGTTTTCTTCCACAGCTGTTATAATAATTATATGGCGCAATTAGAAAATCATAATACTAATTCACGGATTTTTTCAGGATATTCCAGAAACAAATCGAATTATCCCAGAATAATCAGAATTTCGGAGTAATTTCATAAATTCGTTTGTAATTTTGAATTCTTTATCAGGAAATATTTTCAATAGACTTCAGCTAAGGTTTCAATGTAAAATAATGAAAATTCAATATAGGTAACACTAAAAAGTAGACGAAATGTGGAAGTCTTATCAACATAAAATTTTCACTATTCAACGTTGGAAACGTGAAGACAAGGGGACAAAATAGTGGGTCATATTTTTCTCTCTCAACGCTATCTGAACTTCATTATTAGGAGTCGATCAATAGTCGAACATATAAAATTACCTGCTGAATTGTCGGCCATTTTGTCCACAATGCAGTCCTCGACGTCCTGTTTCAATATTTCCTCCTCTGAAATCCCGATAGGTTGCCAATAAACAATGAAGACAATGTCTATAGAATTCGTGCTATTCGTAGTATTGAATGAATCCAAGATAGCTCCTAAAAACATTAAACAAGATTCAAATCGGACCCCAAAAATTAACAAACCGTCCCTAAAAATCTACCCAGCACTTACCGACTGAAGTTATTTTCGTGGTACTTTCGAACGTATAGTTGACATTCCTTTTCGCCCTGTAGCTCCTATCCACCCAATCCTTCATCTCCTGCTCGGATTCCAGATCCCAGAGAGTTGTTGAGGAGTTTTTTCCCTCCTCCAACTCCTCATTGATCACTTTGCGTATCTCCTCTTTCTCCTTGAGCTTGTCGATGTGAGCGTTGACGTCTCTCTGCTCAAATTTTGACTTTTTCAACCTACCTGAAGAATATTATTATTCCGAAATTATTATTGAACCTTGTAAATCTCATTTTTCTTCGAATAAATTCAAAAAGCTCACTCAAAGTCATTTCCACACAACAGAAGTTTTTAGATGTTTATTTTTTATTTCTCTATGTTGCAACTCAGAATTCAAAAATTCGAGTGAGAATTCTCAGTTGAAATAAGAATGCTGATTTCAGATTCGATTCGGAGTATCGTATCTGGATGCAGACCTGTTTGTCAGAAGTCTGAGATATCAGTCAGGGTTCTAAGATACACATCAGAATTTTGGAAAACCTACTACCTACTCAGAAATTTGATATACAAGAACGCCAAAAATTCCAGTATTCTGAGATGCATAAATATTGTGAGAAGTATGTTAGAAATTTTGATCCTCATCGCGGAAAAAAATCGAACTTAAGATAGCTCACTTCTGATTTCACCATTGACTTTTTTAGGTCCGAAAACTGCCAATTTAGGTCACATAACCAAAATGGAAGCGATATCTAGACAGATGACAAACATATAGATTTCAATCAAGGAAATTGATCGGTAGGTCCTAGGAAAAAAATCGAACTTTTTTCAGAGCAAAGATAGCTCAATTCTGATTTCACCATTGACTTTTTTGGGTCGAAAAACTGCCTATTTAGGTCACAGAATCAAATTGGAAGCGATATCTAGACAGATGACAAACATATAGATTTCAATCAAGGAAATTGATCGGTAGGTCCTAGGAAAAAAATCGAACTTTTTTCAGAGCAAAGATAGCTCAATTCTGATTTCACCATTGACTTTTTTGGGTCGAAAAACCGCCTAATTAGGTCACAGAATCAAAATGGAAGCGATATCTAGACAGATGACAAACATAGATTTCAATCAAGGAAATTGATCGGTAGGTCCTAGAAAAAAAATCGAACTTTTTTCAGAGCAAAGATAGCTCAATTCTGATTTCACCATTGACTTTTTTGGGTCGAAAAACTACCTATTTAGGTCACAGAATCAAAATGGAAGAGATATCTAGACAGATGACGAACATATAGATTTCAATCAAGGAAATTGATCGGTAGGTCCTAGGAAAAAAATCGAACTTTTTTCAGAGCAAAGATAGCTCAATTCTGATTTCACCATTGACTTTTTTGGGTCGAAAAACCGCCTAATTAGGTCACAGAATCAAAATGGAAGCGATATCTAGACAGATGACAAACATAGATTTCAATCAAGGAAATTGATCGGTAGGTCCTAGGAAAAAAATCGAACTTTTTTCAGAGCAAAGATAGCTCAATTCTGATTTCACCATTGACTTTTTTGGGTCGAAAAACCGCCTAATTAGGTCACAGAATCAAAATGGAAGCGATATCTAGACAGATGACAAACATATAGATTTCAATCAAGGAAATTGATCGGTAGGTCCTAGGAAAAAAATCGAACTTTTTTCACAGCAAAGATAGCTCAATTCTGATTTCACCATTGACTTTTTTGGGTCGAACAACCGCCTAATTAGGTCACATCAGAATCAAAATGGAAGCGATATCTAGACAGATGACAAACATATAGATTTCAATCAAGGAAATTGATCGGTAGGTCCTAGGAAAAAAATCGAACTTTTTTCAGAGCAAAGATAGCTCAATTCTGATTTCACCATTGACTTTTTTGGGTCGAAAAACCGCCTAATTAGGCCACATAATCAAAATGGAAGCGATATCTAGACAGATGACAAACATAGATTTCAATCAAGGAAATTGATCGGTAGGTCCTAGGAAAAAAATCGAACTTTTTTCACAGCAAAGATAGCTCAATTCTGATTTCACCATTGACTTTTTTGGGTCGAACAACCGCCTAATTAGGTCACATCAGAATCAAAATGGAAGCAATATCTAGACAGATGACAAACATATAGATTTCAATCAAGGAAATTGATCGGTAGGTCCTAGGAAAAAAATCGAACTTTTTTCAGAGCAAAGATAGCTCAATTCTGATTTCACCATCGACTTTTTTGGGTCGAAAAACTACCTAATTAGATCAGAGAATCAAAATGGAAACGATATCTAGACAGATGACAAACATATAGATTTCAATCAAGGAAATTGATCGGTAGGTCCTAGGAAAAAAATCGAACTTTTTTCAGAGCAAAGAGAGCTCAATTCTGATTTCACCATTGACTTTTTTAGGTCCAAAAACTGCCAATTTAGGTCACATAACCAAAATGGAAGCGATATCTAGACAGATGACAAACATATAGATTTCAATCAAGGAAATTGATCGGTAGGTCCTAGGAAAAAATCGAACTTTTTTCAGAGCAAAGATAGCTCAATTCTGATTTCACCATTGACTTTTTTGGGTCGAAAAACCGCCTATTTAGGTCACAGAATCAAAATAAAAGCGATATCTAGACAGATGACAAACATATAGATTTCAATCAAGGAAATTGATCGGTAGGTCCTAGGAAAAAAATCGAACTCTTTTCAGAGCAAAGATAGCTCAATTCTGATTACACCATTGACTTTTTTGGGTCGCAAAACCGTCTAATTAGGTCACAGAATCAAAATGGAAGCGATATCTAGACAGATGACAAACATAGATTTCAATCAAGGAAATTGATCGGTAGGTCCTAGGAAAAAAATCGAACTTTTTTCACAGCAAAGATAGCTCAATTCTGATTTCACCATTGACTTTTTTGGGTCGAAAAACCGCCTATTTAGGTCACAGAATCAAAATAAAAGCGATATCTAGACAGATGACAAACATATAGATTTCAATCAAGGAAATTGATCGGTAGGTAATAGGAAAAAAATCGAACTCTTTTCAGAGCAAAGATAGCTCAATTCTGATTACACCATTGACTTTTTTGGGTCGCAAAACCGTCTAATTAGGTCACAGAATCAAAATGGAAGCGATATCTAGACAGATGACAAACATAGATTTCAATCAAGGAAATTGATCGGTAGGTCCTAGGAAAAAAATCGAACTTTTTTCAGAGCAAAGATAGCTCAATTCTGATTTCACCATTGACTTTTTTGGGTCGAAAAACCGCCTATTTAGGTCACAGAATCAAAATGGAAGCGATATCTAGACAGATGACAAACATATAGATTTCAATCAAGGAAATTGATCGGTAGGTCCTAGGAAAAAAATCGAACTTTTTTCAGAGCAAAGATAGCTCAATTCTGATTTCACCATTGACTTTTTTGGGTCGAAAAACTGCCTAATTAGGTCACAGAATCAAAATGGAAGCGATATCTAGACAGATGACAAACATATAGATTTCAATCAAGGAAATTGATCGGTAGGTCCTAGAAAAAAATCGAACTTTTTTAAGAGCAAAGATAGCTCAATTCTGTTTTCACCATCGACTTTTTTGGGTCGAAAAACTGCCTATTTAGGTCACAGAATCAAAATGGAAGCGATATCTAGACAGATGACAAACATATGGATTTCAATCAAGGAAATTGATCTGTAGGTCCTAGGAAAAAAATCGAACTTTTTTCAGAGCAAAGATAGCTCAATTCTGATTTCACCATTGACTTTTTTGGGTCAAAAAACTGCCTATTTAGGTCACAGAATCGAAATGGAAGCGATATCTAGACAGATGACAAACATATAGATTTCAATCAAGGAAATTGATCGGTAGGTCCTAGAAAAAAATCGAACTTTTTTCAGAGCAAAGATAGCTCAATTCTGTTTTCACCATCGACTTTTTTGGGTCGAAAAACTGCCTATTTAGGTCACAGAATCAAAATGGAAGCGATATCTAGACAGATGACAAACATATAGATTTCAATCAAGGAAATTGATCGGTAGGTCCTAGAAAAAAATCGAACTTTTTTAAGAGCAAAGATAGCTCAATTCTGTTTTCACCATCGACTTTTTTGGGTCGAAAAACTGCCTATTTAGGTCACAGAATCAAAATGGAAGCGATATCTAGACAGATGACAAACATATAGATTTCAATCAAGGAAATTGATCGGTAGGTCCTAGGAAAAAAATCGAACTTTTTTCAGAGCAAAGATAGCTCAATTCTGATTTCACCATTGACTTTTTTGGGTCGAAAAACTACCTATTTAGGTCACAGAATCAAAATGGAAGAGATATCTAGACAGATGACAAATATATAGATTTCAATCAAGGAAATTGATCAGTAGGTCCTAGAAAAAAATCGAACTTTTTTCAGAGCAAAGATAGCTCAATTCTGTTTTCACCATCGACTTTTTTGGGTCGAAAAACTGCCTATTTAGGTCACAGAATCAAAATGGAAGCGATATCTAGACAGATGACAAACATATGGATTTCAATCAAGGAAATTGATCTGTAGGTCCTAGGAAAAAAATCGAACTTTTTTCAGGGCGAAGATAGCTCAATTCTGATTTCACCATTGACTTTTTTGGGTCAAAAAACTGCCTGATCAGGTCACAGAATCAAAATGGAAGCGATATCTAGACAGATGACAAACATATGGATATCAATCAAGGAAATTGATCGGTAGGTCCTAGGAAAAAAATCGAACTTTTTTCAGGGCAAAGATAGCTCAATTCTGATTTCACCATTGACTTTTTTGGGTAAAAAAACTGCCTAATTAGGTCACAGAATCAAAATGGAAGCGATATCTAGACAGATGACAAACATATAGAATTCAATCAAGGAAATTGATCGGTAGGTCCTAGAAAAAAATCGAACTTTTTTCAGAGCAAAGATAGCTCAATTCTGATTTCACCATTGACTTTTTTGGGTCAAAAAACTGCCTATTTAGGTCACAGAATCAAAATGGAAGCGATATCTAGACAGATGAGAAACATATAGAATTCAATCAAGGAAATTGATCGGTAGGTCCTAGGAAAAAGACGACATAATTCGATTGAAAAATTAACTGGAATGTTTTATTTTTGGACATAAATAATAGTACCTTCTGAAAACGGACCCTCTTATGACGTAGAAACCTCATCTCGCCATAGTTAAAAGAAAATACCAAACGCCCGACGGAGACTGAGGCAACTGATATATCAATGCTTTCAACTGTGATCTCGCGCTAATTCACTCTGTCAGAAATCATGTATCATTCATCTTTGTCTGGAATAGTCTTGTTTCAGTATAAGGGTTTTGACGTCACATCATCGCCTCGTTTTCAGAGGTCCGAAAAATCGGGGATTTCAATAATTTTTTATAAAACGTAGGGAGCTCACAGCAAGAAACGGTTTGCGGTGGTGAGCTAGTTTGGGTGAGTTCTATCGAATTATGAAATCAAAATTTTTTGTGATATAAGCCCATTCTGAAATAAGATACAAATGGTTTTTGTGGTCTAATGCATTTCGCCGGCATTTTTACCTTCTTCGTTTTTGACAAACGTGTCTTTGATTATCTCTGTCGGTACATAATTCACGTCATGAAAGAGCCTATTTCTGGCCAAATTCATATTATTGTAGCCATAAACTCCGCCATTTCTATCGGACAAATTTTTCTTCCTACTGGACGAAAAATCCTTCGTCCTTGGTCTATGCTCCTTGCTTCTCGGATCTCGGTTGGCGTTTTTTCGGTGGACACGGTTATCATAAGAAATGGCGTCGGCGTCTACAGGGTAGTCGCTGAAACTCGGTTCTATTTTGTCCAACAAGAGATTGCCGTCGGGTTGGGGCCAATCGTAATCTCGATCGGTCATTAGGGACCCCTAAAATTTGTTTGAAAATTTAATACAGGGTGATTGACGTGGGCCACACATTAGAATTAGATCAGTAACTTGGAAATTGGTATGCTGTTATACTCGGTCATTTCCTTTCAACCTGAAATATTTTCAGTCCTTCAGCTTTACAGGGTGTGCCAAAAGTCAGCAACAACTTTCTTATTTTGAACAGAAACCTATTTTTTGCACAGTGTAGGTAGATAACCTCAACTTATCTAGTCTTCTTATCTAGTCTTCGAAAATCTGATGCACATCAAATGCAATATTAACAAATTCTCTCCTCATATGGACGTACACTCTCCTATGATACAAGAGGTAAAAATAAGCTACTTCATTCTCGCAAGAGGATAAATAAATCAGGAGTTCCAGGCATAGATTTCTATAATGCAGTACCAGATACCATATCATCCTTACCCATAGGAAAATTTAAATCAAAAATAAAACAAATTTTAATTAACATGTGTTTATATAATAGTGAGGATTTCTACACAAGCATTAGTACATTAGGGTAAGGTTGACTCACCTTTAGGTTTGTCTAATTCGCTTTGCTCCTTCTGTTCTAAAGTTAATTTTATAATTTTTATATAATAATTGCTGTCAGTTTGTTTTAAAGTTAGTTTTATATAATTGCTGTCAGTGCTGTCTACATATACTTTTATTTTCTGTATGTCTTGTTTTATCTACATTTTTTACCCACCTGTTTTACTTGACGTTTCCAAAAATGTAAATTTCACGGAAGAATAAATCTATCTATCTATCTATCTATCTATTCCCTGTTTTAGAGATATGTTGATTTTTTTTAATAATTACCCCTGATGATCCCATCGATGGTTCTGTTGTGTACCAAATATCGGCGCGGGCCATTTTCAAATGCCATATTGAAAAGTTGCCGAAAAGTCAACTTTTCACGCCATTTGAAAGAAAATTGAATTTGATTGATTCTTATCAGATAGAGAATGCGAATTCTCAATGTATTTCTTCATACAGGGTGGCCGTTTGAAAACAAAACAGAGGCTCAGTAGGTCGCCAAAACCGGAAAAAATCTGAAACACATCAACTACATTTTCGAGGCGGACATCGTTGCCGCTTCTAACGAAAAGTAGCAAAAACTTTGTTATCTCAAACGGAACACCCTGTATTTCATTGCATTTTTAGATTCTTCCCAAAAAGCTGTTTTCATCAATGGATCACACTTGAGATCTAGCGGAAATGATTACAGAGCTATAGGGTGTTCAAAATCGAGATTTTTCAACTTTAGGATTTTTTTCTGTGGAAACTATTCATCATTGGTCAAAGCGGCTCACATGACCCTATCTCGAATTTCGATTCACTATTTATATACAGACATTTAATTGGAACAAATACAGGGTGGTTCAAGATTCAGAATGCTGATCACCATGTATCTGTTCCAATTAAATGTCAGTAGAAAGTGAATCAAAAGTTGAGATAGGGTTATGAAAGCCGTTTTGACCAATGATGAATAGTTTCGACAGAAAAAAATCCTAAAGTTGAAAAATCCCGATTTTGAACACCCTATATCTAAGTAATCATTCCCCTTGGCCCTTAGACCCCAAGTGTGATGCATTGATGAAATCAGCTCTTCGGGGAGAATCTAAAAATGCCATGAAATACAGGGCGGCAACGCCGCAGAACTGAAAATAATTTAGAACGATGTCCTACCCAGTAAACATGAGACATTTATGAAATATTTCAAGATTACCTAAAATGTAAATGATTGAAACATTTTTCAGGAACATTCCAGAGATATTGCAAAATCACTGTAACATTCCTGAAATATTTCAAAACAACTATAATTGATATATTCCGAAACATTTCGAAATTACTTGTGAAGTGAATGAATGAAACATTCCAAGATAACTTTGATTGTGAATAATTGAAACATATCATTTACTACCTATTCAGGAATGTTTCAATGCGTTCGAAATATGTTTGAAACGTTTCAAGGTACCTCAAACTATTGATATTTTGAAACATTTCGAATATACTCTCATTGCGAATTACTTCAATGTTTCAAGACAACTTGAATGGCTTGATTGAGGAACATTTCAAAATCACCTGAATTTTAAATGATTGGAACATTTCGATATGACTCTCATTCTGAATGATGGAAAAATTTTTCAGGAACATTCCAGGGTTGTTGCAAAATCACTGTAATATTCCTGAAATATTTCAAAACAACTATAATTGATATATTCCAAAACATTTCGAAATTACTTGAGAAGTGAATGAATGAAACATTTCAAAAAAAAATTGGTAGTGAATAATTGAAACATATCATTTACTACTTATTCAGGAATGTTTCAATGCGTTCGAAATATGTATGAAACGTTTCAAGGTACCTCAAACTATCGAGATTTTGAAACATTTCAAATATACTCTCATTGCGAATTACTTCAATGTTTCAAGACAACTTGAATTGCTTGATTTTAAAACATTTCGAAATCACCTGAATTTTAAATGATTGGAACATTTCGATATGACTCTCATTCTGAATGATGGAAACATTTTTCAGGAACATTCCAGGAATATTTCAAAATCTTTGTACCATTTCTGAAACATTTCAAGACAACTTCAACTGATATATTCCGAAACATTTCAAAATTTCTTGGATAATTAATAAATGAAACGTTTCAAAATTTCTTCAATTGTGAATAATTGAAACATATCATTTTCTACTTATTCAGGAATGTTCCAATGCGCTCGGAATATGTTTGGAACATTTAAAGGTTCATCAAACTATAGAAATTTTGAAACATTCCAAATATACTCTTATTGCGAATTACTGCAATATCAAAAGACAACTGAAATTGGTTGATTAAGGAACATTTCAAAATCACCTGAATTTCAAATGGTTGGAACATTTCGATATTACTCTCATTCTGAATAATGGAAACATTCATCAGGAACATTCCAGGGATATTTCAATATCATTGCAACATTTCTGAAACATTTCAAGACAACTTTAATTGATATATTCCGAAACATTCCAAAATTATTTGAATGATTAATTAATGAAACGTTTCAAAATCACTTCAATTGAAACATATCATTCAATATACTGATTCAGGAATGTTCCAATGCGTTAGGAATATGTTTGAAAAATTCCAAGTCTCCTCAAATTATTGACATTTTGACACATTTATTAGGAATTACTTACCTACTACAATATTTCAAGACATGCAACTTGAATTGGTTAATTTAAGAATATTTCAAAATAACCCGAATTTTAATGAATTAATTAGATTATTTCACAACTATTACATGGTCTATTTTGACCAAACATTTTATGATATTATGATGCAATTCAGCATTTCCCCTCTACATCCGCCGCTTTCGTGGCTTCGGTAATCGATCGCGGGTTCCCGTCTTCGGCTCTAAGCGTTCGCGCACGCGCATTCAGTTCCCTTCTCCTTGGTGAAAGGCTTCGCAGTTTTCGCTTTCCGACTGTTGTCTCAAGCCAAGCAAAGCAAAAGACATCTAATATCTTATAATAGTGATAAAATATAATAATTTCACTCAAGTCAAACACATTTTCGAGTGTTTACTATTTAATCGTACCGGTAGACCTCTTAGGTGATTTAGGCCATGTGAAGTAACATCAAAACTTGCAACCAAACAAACAACACAAACGACTCCATTTTTTTTATCATCACCTGGTGTGGCTGGACTTTGAAATGTATTCAACGGCTCCATGGACAAGGCCGAGGTACGTATAAATATAGAAAAACCATAATTTCAGATGAAATATCAAATATTATTAGATATCATGATGGGTATATTCATAATGATACTTTTTGTTCTAGGATGGAGTGTGAAAATTTCATCATGACTTAGAAGCTGCACAAAAATAGTGCTTTCGATTGCGATGTAACCGAAGAAGAATATTGAAGCACTCAACATGTGAATAACGATGTTAAATTACTTGATATATATATATGTACATACCTAATACGTCGTGATTATGTGAAATATCTGATGATACTTTTTTAACTGCTTTTTTCATATATCATTATATAAGCAATATAATCCATTTTTTTATGTCTATTATCTTTTATTTCACCAGCAATATGAATATATTCCAGCGATACTGGTAGGTATTTTTCATTCTGAAACATTCAATGGGAATGTTTCATAAACAGTAATATTGTTGAATGAAAAACATTCATGAAATGTTTCATGAAACATTCCCGAAAGTTCTACAATGAATGTTCCCAGGATGTTTCTATTTATATGTATTTGAAACATTATTTATGAAACATCTCTGGTGGAGAAAATTTATCGTTTCAAAAATATTCATGGAATGTACCAAGAAACATTCCTAAAGATCTAATCATATATTGGGAATGTTTCCAGTATGTTTCAAGCATTTGTATCCGAAACATCATTCATGAAACAGTTTTGAGGGCAAATATCTTTGGTTTCACGAATATTTGCCTGAAACATTTCATGTAATATAACGAAAGAAATATTTATGAAATATTGCATGGAACATTCCTACAGGATATGATCATGGTAGAAATGTTTCCAAAATGTTTCAATTTGCGTATTCGACACATTATTTAGGAACATTACCATGAAACATTCCTGAGGGCGGACATCTCTAGTTTCTGGAATGTTTCTGGAACATGTAGGCAACTTTGAATGGAATGTTTCATGCATCAATACTACGTTTCTGAAACATTTCAGAAACAAAAAAATGTTTACTGGGTACTCGAAAATGTAGTTTACGTGCCTCAGATCTTCTTCATAATCCTGTTTTGGCAACCTACAGAGCCACTGTTTCGTTTTCAAAGGGCCACCCTGTATGTATCCTTTTGTTTTGTCATGTTCATATTATATGTTAGAATACTCATTTTCAAAAATGGCTCAACCAGAAGCCTTAAAATAGCCTTGAATTACGGTGTACTCAATATTCTTGTATATTCCTTCTATTTGAGATTTGTTTCTGCTAGCTTAACGATTAAGCTAGTGAAACCCATGTTTAAAAGAAAACAATGTGCAAAAAAATCGGCTATAGGCTAGGATTGGAGCCTTTGGCTAGCTTGACGTTGATAATCTAGCAGAACCGAGGTTTTTTTTGCATGAATTGAAGAGCAATAAATTCGGCGATCGGGAAATAAATCATCCTTAAATTATGGCAGAAGAAACATTTGAAAATCTAAAGTGGATCTGCTAGCTCAATGGGGGTACTTTTGGTACACCCTGATGGCTGGAGGACTAAAAATATTTCAGGTAGATTGGAAATGATCAATTATACAGGGTGAGTCATTAGTGTGGCAAAGTGCTTTACTATTTGAGATAGATGAATAAAAATTTCAGAGATGATCTAGGATCATGAGCAGCACATATCCAAATTATTTCGCTTTATACAGGGTAACTCAGAAATGCGTGGCGTATTAAAGTTATACTTTTTCTTATGGGACACCCTGTATTTCATTGCATTTTCGCATTATCCTTTGTGAGCTGATTTCATCAATGCATCACACTTGGGGTCTAGCGAGAATGATTACAGAGATATAGGGTGTTCAAAATCCAGATTTTTCAACTTTAGGATTTTTTTGCGTCGAAACTATTCATTATTGGTCAAAACGGCTTTCATGTCCCTATCTCAACTTTTGATTTACTATCTACTGATATTTAATTGGAACAGATACAAGAGTGATCAGAATGTTGAATCTTGAACCACCCTGTATTTGTTCCAATTAAATGTCAGTAGATAGTAAATCAAAAGTTGGGATGGGGACATGAAAGCCGTTTCGACCAATAATGAATAGTTTCGACGCAAAAAAAATCCTAAAGTTGAAAAATCTCGATTTTGAACACCTTATATCTCTGTAATCATTCTCGCTAGACCCCAAATGTGATGCATAGATGAAATCAGCTCACAAAGGATAATGCGAAAATGCAATGAAATACAGGGTATCCCATAAGAAAAAGTATAACTTTGATACGCCACGCATTTCTCGGTCACCCTGTATGAAGCGAAATAATTTGAAAATGTGCTGCTCATGATCCTAGATCATCTCTGGAACTTTTGTCTGTTATCTCACTTTGCCACACTAATGACTCACCCTGTATATAACAGCATACCAAGCGTATTTATTTGCTGTATATATAAACTTACTCCTTCATCAATTAGTGGAGTTTCATTGTCAGTTCTGTCATTATATTTTTTTGTCGTGTCTGAATTGCGATTTTTGTGTCTGAAACTAGAGGAACCATATTTTCTGATGCCAATAGGCACTGGATCGACATTGTAGGCTTCATTTACTTCAGACTGACCAGGAGAATTGATATTCATTTTGGAGTGTACTTTGTAGTACTCTCTCAGTTGCTTCAGAGGTGTCTTTGTCGAATTGAATTCTTTGGTCAACCTGTTTTCTGAGGCAAAAAAAATAAATTCAATATTTCTGTTTGCTCATTGAAACAGTGATGTTTGCTCTTTTTTTTTCAATAGGTACCTGAACTGTAGATGACAAATCCAGGAGGTTGATGGAATTGCCCAAGAACATTAAGTTTCAAAATTCTGGTAGTATTAAATTGACTTCTACATTCATCTAATACATCGCTAGGTTGAACTAAAAGAAATAGTAATCAACAATAATTCACTCAAGATAATTAGTCATATCACCTTTTGGAAGATCATTTTTTTTAGGAATCTCCATTTTGGTACACTCTGCAGTCCAGAAAAGAAACATGTCATATCCATGGGACTCCAAACTTAATGATAAGCCACTCATTTGAGTTATTAAACTACCCGTGATTGGTCTGTAGATTGACTCCCCTTTTTTACCATCAATGATAAAGGTCTGAAAGAGTAGTACAAAAAGTAGTAGTTACAAAAATCCAAGGATCAAAAAAATTATGTCAACCAAATATGAATTGAATCAGTGGTATCAAAGTTTCCCAACAATGTACCTTATTATTTAATATATTCATATACAGGGTGTCCGCTAAAAGGAGGTCAATCCATTAACCATATATTCCTTGAACAAAAACAATATGAGTTTCTAGATACCATTTTCCATTTTAGCCCTTCATATTCGATATACAGGGTGTCAAAGTTGGAAATTAAAAACTGTTTTTTATCAATTACTCGCGTATTTAATAAGATATTAATCTCAAAATTGGTACATTACTTCAGCACAAAGAGTTACATCGTGTGAGGAAAATAAAACAGAAAATAACTGTCAAATATTCAAAATACTGAGTATTTTTTGTCTCTTGTGAAATTTCGATAAAATTATTTGTTTTTAAGATAATTTGAAAAGTTCTGGTCATTGTTTGATGCCTATGCGGTTTACGGGAATCATATAATGTTCACAATTTGGTGTCGTTCCCAATTTGACCCTGTAGAACTTTTTTGCGTGCCGCCTCTGCTTTCAATGGGACATAGATCCAGATTGTCTCTGCAATTTGGGAACTTTTTGCCCCTATGTAAATTTCACGAAAACTGTATGGATCTCGAGAAAAATGCCAAAAATAAATAAATAAAACCGTTATTTCTCAAACACACTTATATGACATTTACTGAAAGTCATCACCCTGTGGGTATTCAAAAACGCTCAATAGCCTCAAATATTGAGTTTTTGAAGTGTATTAGGTGTACCAAATTTCAATCAATTATTCCGAAAATTGTAGGAGAAAATTCAAAAAAACAAAAAAAAAATCTGAAACTTTCACACCCAGTAAATCGGAAACGAAGCTCCCACGCATGTATGTTTGTATGAGATTTTCATCTTAAAAAAATGTCTTCTTCAAGCTGTTAAAGTCCTGCTACAAAAAACTGAAACACCCTGTATATATTCATGCTTGAAAGTTTGCTATACTCATACAGTATGTCCCACCTACCATGCTCACCATGGGTATCTTTTTAACGGTGAGAGATACGGGGTCGGTTAAATGACACCAAATGTGGAGTTTGTCAAGGCCAACTATAATGTGAAAAAATATTTCGATAAAATCTAGTCGTTTCTGTTTTATACGCAAAAAACAGATTTTGATCATTTTCATGTATCCTCTGTAACTTTTTTATTTATGAAAATATTCAAATAGGAATTTCACATTCTCATGGCAGTTTTTCAAAATGATTTCGAAAAAAATATGGAATTTATACCAACTCTTCTAATATTTGAGATGTCAGCACCAACTTTAGTTTTTCAAATGTAGGTCATAGCTCACTATGGCTTAGTTACAAATAACTTTTTTTTCTCTTACAGATGATATGTCGCAGTAATAGTTTTGTGTTGATAACAACGTAGTTATCGTCATTTATACAAAAACAAAAAATGATTTGGATGTCGCCATCTTGAATTCATAAATTTCAACGAAGAAATCATGATCTCCGACCTCAAAAACCCCCACCCCTCCTAATCGGACCAAATCTTGTCCGCCATCTTGGAGCAGCCATTTTTTTTAATTTCAGCGAAAATTCCATTACTTCGATTTACTTGAAATTCGGCAGGTGTTAATAATTTCGGTGACAATTCATTATGGAATTTTTGTTGAAATAAAAAAAAATGGCTGCTCCAAGATGGCGGACAAGATTTGGTCCGATTCCATTCAAAATTGGTTACTGGGGGTTTTTGAGGTCGGAGATCATGATTTTTTTGTTATAATTTATGAATTCAAGATGGCGGCTTCCGAATAATTTTTTGTTTTTGTATAAATGACGATAACTCCGTTGTTATCAACACAAAACTATTACTGCGCCATATCATCTGTAAGAGACAAAAAAGTTATTTCTAACTAAATCATAGTGAGCTATGACCTACATTTGAAAAACTAAAGTTGGTGCTGATATCTCAAATTCTAGAAGAGTTGGTATAAATTTCATATTTTTTACGAAATCACTTTAAAAAACTGCCATGAGAATGTGAAATTCCTATTTGAATATTTTCATAAATAAAGAAGTTACAAAGGAGACATGAAAATGATCAAAATCTGTTTTTTGCGTATAAAACAAAAACGAATAGATTTTATGAAAATATTTTTTCACATTATAGTTGGCCTTGACAAACTCCACATTTGGTGTCATTTAACCGACCTCGTATCTCTCACCGTTAAAAAGATACCCATGGTGAGCATGGTAAGTGGGACACACTGTATAGAAACTCATATTGTTTTTGTTCAAGGAATATATGGTTAATGGATTGACCTCCTTTTAGCGGACACCCTGTATATATATTCATGCTTGAAAGTTTGCTATACTCATATATTACAAGATTTCATCAAATTCTTGATTTTTCCCTTTTTATTTGCATTATTGAGTTCCATTTTCATCCGGAAGAGATTACCTACATTTTTCAAAATGTCTTGTGTGAACTTACCTGTGTGTAGTTGTGGTTGAGGACATCATCATACTTCTGATATACAATCAAAAAATCAGTAACATTGTCAAAATTAAAATAGCCAGGTGTTGGGCTGATATCAGTTTCAGATTTTGTTCCAGGTATGGTGTAATTCCAAATTTGTTTGAGAGTGCTGCCATCTATAGCAACCAAACTGGAATTATACATAGCCGTGACTATGTCTGGGATTTTATCACCCGTTATATCTACAAGAACTGACTGAGTCAAAACACCATGAAATTTGTCTTCATATATGCTCTTGGTCCAGTTGGACTAAAACATTCATGATTAAAATCCACATTTTAGAACATTATAAATATTAATTTACCAGTTTACCAGATGCAATATCTGTGATGGGAACTATACTTAAATTTCCTCCTATTGAAGGGGTTCCAGTTCCAAAAATCACAAAAGAATTTGTACTGTTATGAACGAAAATTTGCGGCATAAAAAATGTTTTGGCATCTTCCGGCGTCCTTATTTTCTGCAATTCTTCTCCGGTTTTACCAGAAAATAATACTAAGTGTCCGTTTTTTTCATCTGGAAATTTTGTATATTTCTATAAGTATGGGAACACTTTTCAACTTCCTCCAAATGGAGGTATACAGGGTGAGTCATTAGTGTGGCAAAGTGAGATAACGGCTTTACAGTTTGAGATAGATAGACAAATGTTCCAGAGATGATCTAGGATCATGAACAGCACATTTCCAAATTATTTCGCTCCATACAGGGTGACTCAGAAATGCGTGGCGTATCAATAAAGTTATACTTTTTCTTATGGGACACCCTGTATTTCATTGCATTTTCGCATTCTCCTTTGTGAGCTGATTTCATCAATGCATCACACTTGGGGTCTAGCGGGAATGATTACAGAGATATAGGGTGTTCAAAATCGAGAACTTCAAGATTTTTTTTGCGTCGAAACTATTCATTATTGGTCAAAACGGCTTCCATGTCCCTATCCCAACTTTTGATTTACTATCTACTGACATTTAATTGGAACAAATACAGGGTGGTTCAAGATTCAGCATTCTGATCACTCTTGTATCTATTCCAATTAAATATCCGCCGACCAATAATGAATAGTTTCGATGCAAAAAAAATCCTAAAGTTGAAAAATATCGATTTTGAACACCCTATATCTCTGTAATCATTCTCGCTAGACCCCAAGTGTGATGCAATGAATCAGCTCACAAAGGAGAATGCGAAAATACAATGAAATACAGGGTGTCCCATAAGAAAAAGTATAACTTTAATACGCCACGCATTTCTTAGTTACCCTGTATAAAGCGAAATAATTTGGATATGTGCTGCTCATAATCCTAGATCATCTCTGAAATTTTTATTCATCTATCTCAAATAGTAAAGCAGTTATCTCACTTTGCCACACTAATGACTCACCCTGTATAAAGGAAAAAATGCAGTAATTTATATAAAATCTAGATAAACATAGTTTCATCTCTCAATTGCTACTGATATGTTCTTTATCATTATGAATCTATTTTGAGATATGCGATGTTGTAAATGGAAGTAATAAGTCAGGTTTTGCTCATCCTTTCATCAGTATTTGATCTAAAAATGCCTCTTATTTTTTTTGTAATCACTAATAATTCAAAAACTTATGAAAATATTCAGATTGCAGAACTTGGGACTTTAGGTCCTTGACCAGTTTTTCATGAAGGGGTGAAAATTTTTGATACCTACCAAATGAAATAAAATAGAAATAGCAATCTCAGAGGTGTATTAACCTACCTACATCTTTTTTCTGATGAGGGTATAATAATCAATAATTTTGGAATCTCAGCATAAATTCATCATATCTCATTTTCTGATGAGAATCTCAGAATATCTTATCACCAACAGGTGTCCAACAATTTCATTTTGAGTCAGGAATAAAAAATGAGGACATTAAAAAAACATCTGCAGCATCATCAGAAAGAATATAAAAAAGGCTTCATTATATAGGAGCAAACCAATTTTTTTAAGAGGACACATACCATTTAGGGAAGAATGTGAAGCAAGAATATCAGGAACTGTATCATTATTTTGATCAGGAATAAAATTAGCCATAAAAATATTCAGGTTCCCCAGGCTTCTATGCCAAATTTTTGATCCATTTCTAGAGTTAACCACAGCTACAGTCTAAAAAAAAATATCATAGCCCTGTTATTGTCACTAATATTTTCACACATTTTGTATTTTACCCCTGCAACTCCAATTGCTAGGCAATCTTTCATTTGGTCCCCATTCACATCAGCATTGCACTGAAGATGAAATATAGTATCATTGAACCAGTGTCTCCAGATTATTTCCCCATTGATTCCACTTAGGGCTATGACACCCCCTTCACAAGGGGGAGACACTCCCATGAACATAGGGCAGAATATATCAGAGGGAAGTCTCTTATGATTGTCTCCTAGAACACTTTATATAAATGAATCACCCTAGAGAGGATATGAGCTTCACCTGTTCCAAACCCAAATAAAATATCTTCTGTACCATCATTGTCTACATCTATGGTACGTACTGGTGAATCAGTGGTCAATTTTGGTAAATTTATAGACCAAACATCAGTGACTTTCAAGTTGTCACAAGGCAACAGCCTCACTTTTGGTTCTACCTTCTGAGACCTCCTTATAATCCAGTCTCTAAGTCTATCCAATGGTAAGGGGTAAATGGACACCAAAACAACCACCAAAATTATCAACCCTAGAGAAAGAAACACATAAATTAGGATTTTAGGATGAAGGTCTAGTTTTTTTACCAATTAGTGTTGTGAGGGCAGCCACCACATAGCAACAGGGTTTACAAAATGCTCTACAAGGAGGTCTAACTTTCATCCTAGTGTTTATATCTGTTTTGCCAGCTTTTCTTCGTGGTGCCATTAGAGGCCTCTTTACATTCACTTCTTCTGCTAGCTTGTAGCCATTTTTTCCGTCTCTGATGAAAACTTCATCTTCTACATCGCTTAGGTCATCTTCATCAAGGGAAATGCTTTCTCTAACTTCTCCTCTTAGGGTCATTCCAGGATATGTGATTTTCATTTTCAATGTTTATGAGTAACAGTTCCTCACCAACCAATATAAACCAGTTCTCAATTTTTTAATCAAGTGTTAATTATCACTTCAATTCAGTACTGTGAAAAATTATGAGTCCTTTTTTTTTCGTATTTCCGTAAACATATGGTATTTGAAAGAATATAATGGAATGAATGCGGATAAACTTTTGGATATCTGCTCAACGCCAACATATTGATTTTTATCTTGCAGCTTCATTTATATTCCACAGATATCCTTTCATTATGCAGCAGCTGTTTGGAAACTATACATTGAAAGAATGATAAGATTGATAAGTACATGTACATCATAACATAATTCATAACGTTCATTATTTCATTCATTATGAAAGATGCACATTAATTTCACTTCAAAATCAATAAAATGTCGAATCCCAAATGATATCAATCAATCTGTGAGCTGGAGCTGTGAAACAAAGACGAAACTACCGTTTTGTTTTCCCTGAGTTTTCCGTAACGTGATATTGATTTGAACTACTTTCAGTACTTTCTTGTACTTGTGTGCACAGAATTCAGTTCAATCATGCCACTGACCTATGAACGTTAGTGGTTTGTGCTAGAATGACAAATAGTTTCAAAATAATAAGAAGAAGGAGCTAACCATCAATGCATCTGACGTAAGTGTCAGTTTCAAAAATATTTACGTAAATATTTTGTTTGGTGGATCGTGAACAGAAATTCGATTTTGAAATGAATCCACTTTACGAGTTTATCCAAAGAAACCGGGTGATAGCTTTGGTAGAGAAAGCTCAGCGCTCGGATAGTTGTAAGTTGTCCCTGGATGATTTTGACTTGTCCAGCTTTCCAGATGTTCTCCTAAATTATCAAGGTTTGCATCTCCAATCACTCAACATTGGACACAATAATATAAGAGATCTACCCAAGGATGTGCCTTCATTGAAAAACTTGCAACACTTGTCACTGGAGTATAACAATTTAGAGAAGTTTCCTGAAGTTTTGCAAAACTTAACACAACTGATAACCTTGAATATTAGCCACAATCCAATAAAGGATTTAACCCCAGATATAGGCTCTTTAGTGTCCCTAGAAATATTATGGTGCAATAGTTGTTGCTTGACAAGATTACCTAGGTCTATAGGAAATTTAGTGAAACTTGAAACATTTGGGGCTAGGCATAATAAAATTACCAGGCTTCCTGATGAAATTTGTAATCTGACTAATTTAAGGTGAGTTTGGAATTTGGTACTTTACCTTTTTTCTCCTTTTCTCCATTTATAGATGGTTTACAATGGAAGATAATGCTCTCCAAAATCTCCCAAGCAATTTCCATAAACTACAGTTACTGAAACATTTGAATTTGAACAAGAATTTGTTCAGTCATATTCCTTTCAAAATATCTGAAATAAGGTCTCTAAAATACCTTCATCTTCAAAATAACCAGTTTTTTGTTTTACCAGAGAGTACTATGTTTGCTATGCCACATGCAAAAATTAATTTACAAAATAATCCTCTCCAAGTGCCAGCAAATCTCCAGGCAAATCTGGTAAGTTGAACTTGAATACATTTTACTTTGTATTTCACAACCAAATTATTGTAGGTTTATGCAAATGTGGTCATAACTGGAAAAGAGAATGAAGTAGTGGATATGTATGAGGGATTTGAATCAGACTCCAGTTCTGAAGATTGGGACAACAGTGTGGACAGTTCAGATTTGAATTATTCAGATACAGAATCTGAAAACGAAAATGATCATGAGGAAATTATGTCACATGCTCCAATGTTGTCAAAATTTCTCATTACATGAACTTTTATCCTGTATATATTTCATTAAAGTTTTATTTGTTTCAAAGTTCTTGGTGGCTCTCTAATAACTGCGCAGTATAAATCGATTGATCTAATGAGCAAGAAGACATTATGAATACATGAATAATGAAAGAGAAGAAGTGGAATACAAAGAATACTGGCAGTGGGCGATTGTAGGATGAACAATGAGTTTATGCTGAAAGTGAGGCCATTGATAAAGAAGAAGATTCTCATAGGTTAATATTTTGTTATTTAAAATGAGCGCAAATTCTGATCAAAATATTGAAAATGAAGGTATTTGTTTTATTTAATTATAAAATTGAAATATAAATTCTCATTAACGTTTCAGATTCTGTCAATTCTGCTGAGCTAGTCGATAAATTAGTAGAAGCAACTGAAGAAATATTGGAAAAGAAAGAAACACAAGAAAAAGGTGAGATAATAAATACTGCAGAAACCACTCAAGACAACTCCATCTCAGACAACTATGATCCCAAGAATGTCCACTATGAGGAAGATATTGCAATTTACACTGACCCAAATACCAGAACCCAATACCAATGGGACAAAGAAAAACAAGAGTGGACACCCAAAAACAATGTAGTTTATGGTTTTGAGGACGACACCCACATATACACAGACGCTGAAGGAACAAAATATTTTTGGGACAAGGAAAGGAACGCTTGGTTCCCCAAAGTTGATGATGACTTCATGGCCATGTACCAAATGAGCTATGGATTTGTGGACAACACCAAAACAGATGTTGTAAAACAAGAAGTGAAGATCCCAGAACAGGAACCGGTGAAAGAAAAAGGAGAGAAACGAAAAGCCTCAGACCCTACATGGTTTGAAGTTGATGAAAAGCTGAATACAAATGTGTATGTTTCTAATTTGCCCACTGAAATGGATGAACAAGAGTTTGTAGATCTGATGCAGAAATGTGGGTTGGTGATGAGGGACCCACAAACAGGCAACTTCAAAATCAAACTCTACAAAGACCCAGGTACTGGCTACCTCAAAGGAGATGCTCTATGCACTTATATAAGAATAGAGTCTGTAGACTTAGCTCTAAAATTGATAGATGGCTATGACTACAAGGGCCACAAACTCAAAGTAGAAAAAGCCAAGTTCCAGCTGAAAGGAGAGTTTGATCCCAAACTCAAACCAAAGATGAAAAAGAAAAAAGACAAACTGAAGCTCAAAAAACAGCAGGAGAAACTGTTTGATTGGAGGCCAGAAAAGCAGCTAGGAGAGAAAGCAAAGCATGAAAAAGTGGTGATAGTCAAGAACCTGTTTGACCCCAAGTTATTTGACACAGATGTAGGTCTCATCCTAGAATTCCAGCAAGACCTCAGAGAAGAGTGTTCCAAGCAGGGGGAGGTGAGGAAAGTTGTGGTTTATGACAGGCACCCAGAGGGGGTGGCCCAAATAAACATGGGCAGTCCAGAGGAGGCCGACCAAGTGGTGACAGTTCTTAATGGCAGGTGGTTCATGAAGAGACAGTTGACGGCGGAGATTTGGGATGGCAGGACAAAATTCAAGATTGCAGAGACTGATTCAGAGATTACCCAAAGGCTGGATAAGTGGGACAAGTTTTTGGAGCAGGGAGAGGAGGGTGAAGAGAAAAGGAAAATTGAAAATTAGTTATAGACATTTAGGTCCCCTATTTTTTTTTGTTCAAATTTTGATTCTGGAATATTCCTATGATGATATCAGCATTATATTTAATTATTCCAAGAGCTGGCTGTCATCTGATAACAAAATGACATGTCCCAAAGGCATTGTTAAGTACTTTGACCCTATATAGTTACTAACATTCGATTTTATTGTTAACATTACACATGTGAAACATAAGAATTGATCAATAAAGTTCAGGACAGATTGCAATTTCTCTCATATTAATCATTTCATCAGTTTTTACCAAACCATCATGAATATACAGTCCACTCATCACCAAAGCATCGAACATATTGGTCCTTCGAGCCGGATCTATATTTCCGATGCTTTGGTGATAAGTGGACTGTATATTTATGATTGTTTTGTAAAAACTGATGAAATGATTAATAGGAGGAAATTGCAATCAATTGTAATTTTTCCTGAGCTTTATTGATCAATTCCTATGTTTCACAACACGTCGTCATGTTGACAATAAATTCATGTTATTTTATATAGGGTAATACAAGTACCAAATAACTATATAGGGTCAAAGTACTAAACAGGCATGTGAAACCATTGTGTGCCAACCACTATCCTGAGCAAAATTATTGAAAAATTGCATTGCAATTGCAATTTCGCGATTTGATACCACGATCAGAAATATGCCATTCAATAGGAATTGAATGGTAAATTTCTAAAACCTATCGGTTCCACCCCTCAGGACATACTTCCGTGATGTGATAACGAGTTGAAACAAGAAGGAAATAAAAGGGGTTGGTTTCGCCTTTGCGAATATCCAAACGTGCCGCGATTCAAACTGATCTAACTTAGTAGCAGGGCTTCAACACTTCCTAGAATATTTCGCCCCCCTCAAAGATAATATCCGAAACTCAATGTGGATTAAAATAGTTGTAGTGTTAGCACAAGAGTTTCACACTGGTCCATCGGATATAATCTTCCGACGAGGGCGAAATATTCCCGAAAATATTGACGCTGACACTTTTGAATCGCGGCACGTTTGGATATTCGCCAAAGGAATAATGTTCCCTTTCATTTTATTTTCGTTTTTGAAGGTGATTGAGGATTTTTGAGATCTACCATTCAATTGGAATCAGATGGCATAAATCTTATCTCATTATTGGTCCTACTTTACAGGGTGTCCCTAGACCAGTGGGACAGTTAAATATCTTCTGAACCAATAGGAATTTTCAAAATATTATGATTCCACATCATATCGCATTATGAGTGCTAACTTCAGGAATGACTATATTTTATACGAGGGGCGCAAGAAAGGCTCACAAAATCGAACATCATTTTTTTCAAATGGAACACCCTGTATTTCATTGCATTTTCATATTCTCTTTGAAGAGCTGAATTCAACGACCTAGCACACTTGGGGTCTAGCGGGAATGATTTCCAAGATATAGGGTGTGGAAAATCGAGATTTTTCATTTTTGGGAATTTTTTGTGTCAAAACTATTCATTATTGGTCAAAACGGTTTACATGTCCCTATATTAAATTTTGATTTACTGTTTACTCGTATTTAATTGAAACAAATACAGGGTGGTGTAGAATTGTGATTGAAACTGAGAATTTTACACCACCCTGTATTCGTTTCAATTAAATACGAGTAAATAGTAAATCAAAAGTTGATATATGGACATGTAAGCCGTTTTGACCAATAATGAATAGTTTTGACACAAAAAATTCACAAAAATGCAAAATCTCGATTTTCCACACCCTATATCCCGGAAATCATTCCCGCTAGACCCCAAGTGTGCTAGGTCGTTGAATTCAGCTCTTCAAGGAGAATATAAAAATGCAATGAAATACAGGGTGTTCCATTTGAAAAAATTGATGTTCGATTTTGTGAACCTTTCTTGTGCCCCCCGTAGAAAATATAGTCATTCCTGAAGTTAGCACTCATGATGCGATATGATGTGAAATCATAATATTTTGAAAATTCCTATTGGTTCAGGAGATATTCAACTGTCCCACTGGTCTAGGGACACCCTGTATATTAGGTCTTGTTTATATAGATAATTTTATTTTAAAAATTCATTTCCTGAAATTTTGAAAAATGTATTTTCATAGGGATTCAGAATAAACAAAATCGGACAATTTTCTAGGCCTCTCTTTCTCCATTTCATCCGTGAGTGACGAGTTTATTCCAAAATAAAAATATTCATTTTCTAGTTTTTGAAATGAAAATCGTATTCTTCTCCAAAGTTCCAACATGAAATTATAAAAATTTCATGTTGGTTACACAAAAAATGAGAAGATACCATTCACTCTAAAAATATTATAAAATGATCTTGTTCCTTAGTTGGAAATTGAAAATTGAGGAATAGGAGAGGTTAAATAAAAACATCGTTTGACAATATCTTTGTCATTTATTTTTTGTTTTGTCAAACTGTTTTCTCAGTCATAATGGGGACAAAGTACCAGATATTCTCGTTATCGAGAGAGAAATGAACCATTATATCCTATCACAGATTACATAAATTCAACTAAACACATCATACTCTAACTAGAGATCCACTTCTAGAGAATGTGACCCGAAAAGCTCCATCTAGATTTCCTAGGTTGCTTATGCCTAGTTAATTCACATCAAAGATACAAAAAATATAAATATTTGAATAGTCAGATATTAAAAAAAAAGTGCATTGTCAAACACACAGGAAATGTAAATACTGAATGGAGAATCAAAATAGTCCGTCATACCTAATTTTCGAAGTTCTCTGCTCTCAATAACCTGTAACAAAAAAAAAACAATAGAATATTTATTGCATTTCTGAATAATCTGCACTAGTTTTTCCAACATTTAAATCAAAATTAAATTTCACCAATGAATTACATTTTCAATTCCTTAATTATTATTTTCCATGAATTTATGAAAACTTTACACTGACTAAAAGAGTAATTGTTACAGAGATCAGTATTTTGGTATACTTTCTTAATGAATAAAAAAAAACAATAAAAAAAAGAAGTCAAATTTTTGCGTTGAAATTGTGATTACCTGTCTTGAAGCCGCCGCCGAAACCGCCTCCGAATTTCTGGAACTTCTGTCCAGAATTGTTTCCACCATAGCCCCCCTTGTTGAAATTATTGTTACCACCCCACCGACTCACTTTGTTACCGAAACCGCCGATTCTATTTGCGATTTCAGAAAGTTTCGGGTTAACAGCCTAAAAAAAAATGATATCAATTAGTTTTATCTTGAAAAAAAAATAAGATTCAACTTTTTTGTTGAAAAAAATGTTGGGAAAGCTGAGGATGGGATCCAGACAAGAAAAGTGTGGACACCGAAGGCATAATTTCCCAAAATTAATCTCCCTTCCAAAAGCACTCATGCTCAGCCGAAAATCGAGGCGAAGGCATGCCAAATTGGAAGGGTTGCTATATAAAATCTCACAATTAGTCTATTTTTATCAACACATCAAACTCGCAGTTTTTATTTGTTTTAATTGCAAGGCAAATGTTGCAATAAGAGAATTAATTGCAATATGAAACATTCCCCAGCCTATTAGGCCCTAATTGCATGATATACAGAGAAGTGCACAAAAAACAGCCAGGACTGTAACTTTTGAATTATTCGAGATAGGGTTTTGAAAATTGGTGGGCAGCTAGTATACTAAATTGCTCATTAATTGACGAAACAATTTTTGTTTTATCACTTCCAGATTCACCAGACACGACCCCAACTTTTGATTTTCAAATGGGACACCCTGTATTGTTTTCCTTAATCGGTTAGCGAATTCAACGATACTGGATTTGATAGGGTTATTTCAAACGATCACGCAGATATTCGCGTTTCAAGTTTCCATTATGCTCAATGAGTGTGACAGAGAAAGAAGTTTTGAGATTGGGAAGTCACACCCATTGAGCATACGGAAATATCTTTCGTTATCGTTCGGAAAATCCCCATCAAACCCGGTATCCTTAAATTCGTCATGATTATTTCTAACCGATTATGTCCCATTTAAAAATCAAAAGTCGGTGTCGTTTCCGGTGAAACTGGAAGTGATGGAACTGATGGAAGTGCTATCCACCAATTTTCAAAACCCTATCTAGAATAATAAAAAAAAGTTACAATCCAGGCCGTTTTTTGTGCACTTCTCTGTATATTGCAATTAGCTGAACAGACAGGATAATTTTGTAATTAGTCGATTGCAGGGTACTTGAATGAATAAATGAAATAAATAAATTGTAAAATATGATGATTTTGCGCTGATAACTAAATTGACAGATTCAGAAAATAGTCTGATTGCATCCCAGATTGTGAAATCAGATACTAATAATTGACAAATCAGGCGAATTGCAAGACTGGATTGCTGAAAAATTGCAACTGACCTAAATACAAGATTCAAATTTGATTAGACAAATGCAAGATTCTATAGAATATCTCGAAGATTCATCTGCCAACTAAGCCGGAATTGCAAAAAAAGCCAAATTGATGGAATGACCATGAAATTAGTTCGACCGCAAGATCTCATGCAATTCAAGATCAATCGACAGATAAATGTCGCCTTTCTCCTTGAAAAGAGGAGACTGAATTCCACCTTTTTATCAATGAATAATGATATTATTCAACTAGAAAAAAGCCAAATACTCAAAAGTGGAATGCAATGGTCACAAAGAGAGAACCTCAACGTCATTACCAAAATAGTTTCTATGCAAAAATTCACATAGACGAATAAAATCGCAAGTATTTCCTTTCTAAACGCCGAGCTGCGCTCAAGTGGTTCAGGAACGCGTAACTACCTGCAGACCGGTTTCGAGCTGTTCTCATCAGTGCAGGGCTGTCCCAGAGAGCTTCTTGACCGCTATCTGGTGCGAACCTGCTGAGATGCGTTTCTGTTAAGTCAGGTTCGCACCAGATAGCGGTCAAGAAAGCTATCTGGGACAGCCCAGCACTGATGAGAGCCAATAGCTCGAAACCAGTCTGCAGGTAGTCACGCGTTCCTGAACCACTTAAGCGCAGCTCGGCGTTTAGGATGGAAATCTGGCATCAAAAAAATAATGAAAGATATATTCTCTTACCTGATTGGATTCGTTGAGGACGGACACCAAATCCTTGGCCTGTTTGAAGTTGGAGGGGGTGAAAAAGGCGTAGGAGGTACCGACATTGTCGGAACGACCTGTCCTGCCGATCCGGTGGACGTAGTCCTCAGAAGAGTGGGGATAATCGTAGTTTACTACGTACTTTATCCCGTCCACATCTACACAGCAAAGAAAAACGTCAAAAATTCCACCTCAAAAGAGACGAACCAAAGAAATCTCCAAAAATCCAATTGTTTCAAGCCAGTCAAGTGAAGATTATTCATGTGAAAGTCCTGATAATACAATATTTTCAGAACCATATAAAAAGGATTGAAAGTGAATACTCCTTTTGCTCAATCTGAATGATCTCTTTAGTTCATCATTTCTCTGAAGGATTTTCTGCAGCAAGAAAAAGAAACATTCCAATCACCATTATTCAGAAACCAATTTGACTTTGAGTGTGTACCTAGTGTCTTTCAATATATTTAGTAATAATTATTCAATTTAAAAATAGTAATGACACTCATTGATACCTTTGTATCAAATTCAAAACTAAACTTTAGAACGTATACAAAATAAATGTCCAAGATTCTGTGCATTTAAGCTTAATGTTGTTATTGGAAACCATGATTATACTTTCATACATGGTGTTATGAATATGCAGTTTGAAAAATCGCAGAAAAACCACGGATATTTGTTTCATTTTCAAATTAATTAATTGAATGGTTGTTTGTCCTTGTTGGAGTTAATTAATTTCAATATACCAAACAGAACATTTATGAATAATTTGTTTGAAATGGGGTTTCCGGGTTTCCCGTAAATAAATAATGAAAAAATATATTACTGAATGAAATCGCTACTTTCGGTTCTGAGTGATGTTCCAATTTTTTCGCAGGAAATCCTCCTAGTACTGGAGAAGCAATAGACAATATCCCAGCAATTAGTTTTTGTTTTCGTGAACTTAATACTAAAAATACTAACCAGTTTCAAAGGAAAATCCATGTTGTTGTGATGTTTTTCAACCAGATTAAGAGGTATAGTAGCAATAATAATGGCCTGCTTGCTTCAGTTGACCTTCTCTAGACAGTAAATCGACGACTTACTTGGACTAATTTCGTGGTCTACTCAAACATCGCAGCGCCGACCAATAGGAAGACAAATACCAAAATTTGAATGACAAACTTTTTTCCAACCAGAGATCTCGTGCATGTTTGACGGGAATATCATAGGACAAAAATCGGATGTGAAAGGATATCTTACAACAACAAAAATTATGCAAATGCAGGATCGAAGGTTTTTTTCGAAAATTTTTATAACTACTAACAGGAGTTTGAATATGACAGATATGTAAATTTTTTTTCCCAGAATGATAATTGTTTTCCCAAATCTGAATAACCCATTCTTTTATTTTAGCAGCAAATAATATCATGTTTTCAGTATTTAAAAGATGAGACTTATTGGAGAGGTACAATTTGGGGATTTTGGGTGCAATGTTATGGATTTTCATTCAGCCTAAGACATAAAATCTTCCATCGGTCTTCAATCTTTCGCTGAAACGACCTTGTGTAGAACACTTAACTATAAACACATTGATTGATTCTATAAACACATTGATTGATTGTCTTTATAAACCCAATTAATGAATTCCACTCAGTGGAAACAAATTATTTCTTAAGATGAAAGTTAAAACATTTCCTTTCTGAGCAATCAAAAATAATGTCACATATCGTCGATGAAACCGCAAAACCAAATAATTGCAAAAAGCAAAATTTTCAGGAGACACTAAAAAACTTTATAATTTCGGGTTAACTGATCATATTCGATAAAAAATAGTAACAATCCACCTGAGTATTATTATCCTTACGTTTGTACATTGATCATTGAAAAAAAAAAGTCATTGTTTACGTTTGTTAGCGTAAGATACTTGGTTTTGACATCAGCTTCTGTGCGAAAGCAACAACAATTATTCAGAAAAGTAATTCGCAAAAACACGTAACTTCATTTTTCTGTACTTTCCGCTTAACAAATACTTGAGATAAATTATCACATCCTGTGTTGAAATACCAATTGAAGTTAAGAAAAAATTGTTATACATATCTGTTCTATAAAAAGTCACTCATCATCAATTGATTGATCTCTGTGAAAAGAAATTGAACACAAAATATCAGAGGCGTGAATTACGTTGCCAACTGTTAGATACTTGTTTTTGACGACCCCTTTTATTTTGTTTTTCAGATAAGGGGTTAATATTTACAATTTTCTACCAGTTGTGAGGTTTTGCATACGCCCCCACCGATGGCCGCCAGAATCCCATTTTCGAATTTTTGTCAGTTTTTTTTTTATACTTGGTTTTGGGGTTTCGTCGACGATATTTTTCATTCAAATTGTCCTCAGCAAGTATTTTAGGGCAATACATAAGAATGCGCAAAGAACTTTTTTGACCAACCAGCAAGCCTCAAAACTGGCTGAGGCACCTGCGCACTATGCATCAACTTCAACGGCATTTCAACATTTTTTGTGTTTTTCTTAGTGATTTGCTGTTTAATTATCACTAGCTCGATTTTTAGTTTATAGTTTAGTGGTCTAGAAGGCGAGTCAGCCTACAAAGAGGCACCGGCAAGAAACAAAATTGCGTTCCTGCGAAAAACAGAAGGCAAAAAAGGCGAAATCGTACGCTCATCCTGCTTGTGCCTCTGAAAAAGAAAAAGGGCGCCCAGACTGATCATTAAACACAATAAAAATACTCGATAATATGTTCAGCTAATAGTAGGGAAGAAGAAAAATCAATCAAATTATGAAGCTTCCTAGTGAAGAATGTTTCAATTTGATATCAAATATGTGTTTTGGCTATAAATTATTCAAATCACTTGGTTTTTCAACAGTAATCACAAAGTTTCCAATAGACAGGCAAATTATTTCTTATCCTCATAAGAATACTATACCGGGTGACACAGGCTATCGGGCCACCCCTGTAACTTCTGCATTCGTCAACGGATTTTTCTGAAATTCGGTACAGTTATATAAGCAACAATTTCGGATTTGATCACATTACAAACCAATATGGCGGACTTCAGGTTTTTCTGGAAATGCCAGCAATTTTGTTTTTTCAAATGGAACACCCTGTATATTTTTACATATTCAAGTTCAACAGGTCAAAACAAGTGCAATCTCTATTTCAAATGTCATTTATTCCACAGCCTATATAGTTGAAAAATTGTTCTAACTGCAAGGAAATTCATAAACTAGTTGTTGATTTTTGAATGTATACAATTTGTTACTGCACCGAAAAACAAAAATGATATTTGATTTTGTTCCTTAATGTATGTTCTAGAGAAACGGGTAAGTGGCCCATAGGGATTCTATTTGAAAAAAAAAAAAAAAAATTCTTATCAAAAAGTGATGTGGCTGAATTGATTTCTGGATAAGTGACACAAAAAATAATTTTTCAGAAAAACTTTTGTTCTTCTGTTATGTGTGACTCATTGTGCATAGTCTTGACCACATCTCATTTATCCACGAGGTAAAATGAAAAAACAATTTTAATTTAATTTTTTTCGAAAAAATGACATTTGAAATAGAGATTGCACTTGTTTTGACCGGTTGAACTTGAATATGTAAAAATATACAGGGTGTTTCATTTGAAAAAACAAAGTTGCTGGCATTTCCAGAAATACCGGAAGTCCGCCATATTGCTTATATAACTGTACCGAATTTCAGAAAAATCCGTTGACGAAAGCAGAAGTTACAGGGGTGGCCCGATACCCTGTGTCACCCGGTAGAACTTGATATTGTGTTGAAAAAATTACAATTTCATTATTTCAAACTTTGTTTCTTTAAAGATTTTTCATGAATTTGAAAATTTCCATCTGAAGAAAACCATTTTATGTCTCTTTGCCTTGGGATTCATTAAAAATAATTCAAAGAATTCATTTGTGTAATCAAAATTATTGGTCTTAGTCGACTAAACTCTAGAATATACCTCGAAATTCTTGAAATAACTATTATGCAAACATTTTTTAATACTGAGCAAGTTTACTTTTCCACTTTCCAAAGATTTCTGAAGATTCAGTATAAAAAATTCAATTTTGATGAGATTTCTGTTAGGAATTAAATTTCACTTTTCCGTGGATAATTCCAAAAGCACTGAAAGTTGATCAGAAACTTACTACCTTCAGGAACTTACAACACAATAGTCTTCCATTTTCTTCTGAGAGAGCTTCCATGTTGCCAAATCCTAATAAACTTCTCAAAATTTGCCATCAATATGAAACCCTTAGAAAAAGATACATAACTCATCAAATAACAGCAAAAACATCGTAAATTTTGGCATCAAACAAAACACTAACAAGTTCAAATCTTGAATAATTGTTTCTCAATCAATCAATCAAAAACCAGTCTGAAATCCCAAAAAAATGCTACTATGCCACAAACCCATCAACTGAAAAAACCCAAAAAGCGTTTTTTCCAAATCACAAATAACCATGGCACGATTCCAAATCAAACCGATTCTTACCAATTTTTTTCCTGAAAAAAAAAAACCCACCTAAACCTCGAGCCGCCACATCGGTAGCAACCAGAATCGAGGATTTCCCCGCACGGAATTCCCTCAAAACGTAATCTCTTTCCTGTTGACTTTTGTCGCCGTGCATGGACAAAGCGGGCCAGCCGGTCCTGCGAATGTTGCTCGTGATGCCCTCCACCTTCTTTTTGGTCTCCACGAAAATGATGATTTTCGAGCCGGGGTCAGGGGTGGCGTTGATTTCTTGCAGAAGGGTACTCAATCTTGCAAGGAGAAAAAGTGGGGCTCGTGAGTATGTTGCATCATTTCTAGGGGGATGATTGGGGAAGAATTTGTGATTGGTCAGTTCTTCTTAGAGGATTGAGGGGTGCTTTATAATAATCACTTATTATCATCCAGCTGTCTCATCATGTTGGTTGAAACATATTTGGTTGAAACAAAACTATATTTCGGGGTGAATTAGTTGCGCAAAAATTTCTCAGATTAGTTTTCATCACATGACGCTTAAATTTCCTGAAGAATTTCAATGACTTCCCATGAATTTTGAATTTCATAAAGATTTTCAAAGTAAAGAGATTTCAAGATAATTTCAGGTAGCCTCAAGGATTTTCAAACAATTTATAATAATCATTTATTATCATCCAGCTGTCTCATCATGTTGGTTGAAACATATTTAGATCTATGGTTGAAACAAAACTATATTTCAGCCGTGCAAAAGTTTCCCAAATCCGTTTTCATCAGGTGACGCCTCAATTTCCTGAAGAATTTCAATGGCTTTCCATAAATCTTGAATTTTATAAAGAGTTTCAAAGTAATTTTATTATTGTTGTTTGTAATCAACTTCCTCATACCAGAATTCTATTTCTGACTGGAAGCTAGTTTCTCAATAAACAATAAATTCAGAGATTTCAAGACAATTTCAGGTAGTCAAAAGGATTTTCAAACAATTCCAATCAAGGAATTCTAGTTATCAAAGATTTTCATAATCTAAGAAATTCTGAAGACTTCCTGAAGAATTTCCAGGATTTTCATGGAATTTTCCAAGGAATTCTTATTGGTCTCCACGAAAATGATGATTTTGGAGCCCGGGTCAGGGGTGGCGTTGATTTCTTGCAGGAGGGTGCTCAATCTTATTTAAAAAAAAAATGGTTTTCTCATGAGAAAATTGTTCAATGTCTGGAGGCTTAATTGGGGGGATTTTGTGATTGGTCAGTTCTTCTTAGAGGATTGAGGGGTGCTTTATAATAATCACTTATTATCATCCAGCTGTCTCATCATGTTAGTTGAAACATATTTAGATCTATGGTTGAAACAAAACTATATTTCTGGGTGAATTAGCTGTGCAAAAATTTCCCAAAGCAGTTTTCATCACATGACGCTTAAATTTCCTGAAGAATTTCAACGACTTCCCATGAATTTTGAATTTCATAAAGATTTTCAAAGTAGTTCAGAGATTTCAAGACAATTTCAGGTAGCCTCAAGGATTTTCAAACAATTTCAATTAAAGAATTTCATAATCTAAGAAATTCTCAAGATTTCCTAGAGAATTCCCAGGATTTTCATGGAATTCTGGAAGAAATTCTTTTTGGTCTGCACAAAGATGATGATTTTCGAGCCCGGGTCAGGGGTGGCGTTGATTTCTTGCAGGAGGGTACTCAATCTTTGAAAAAATAATGGTTTTCTCATGAGCTGCTCAATGTCTGGAGGCTTAATTGGGGGGATTTTGTGATTGGTCAGTTCTTCTTATAGGATTGAGGGGTGCTTTATAATAATCACTTATTATCATCCAGCTGTCTCATCATGTTGGTTGAAACAAAATTTAATAGGGTGTTCTTTATGTTTTCCACTGATGTTCTCTCCATTTTTTATCGTCACTTGACGCATAAATTTACAGAAGAATTTCAATGACTTCCCATCAATTTTGAATTTCATGAAGATTTTCAAAGTAGTTCAGATATTTCAAGACAATTTCAGGTAGCCTCAAGGATTTTCAAACAATTTCAATCAAGGAATTCTAGTTATCAAAGATATTCATATTCTAAGGAATTCTGAATTTTCATAGTCTAAGGAATTCTGAATATTTCCTAGAGAATTCCCAGAATTTTCATGGAATTCTCAAAAGAATTCTTTTTGGTCTCCACGAAAATGATGATTTACGAGCGCGGGTCCAGCTGTCTCATGTTGGTTGAAACAAAACTAAATAGGGTGCTCTTTATATTTTCCACTGATGTTCTCTCGATTTTTTTTGTAGCTGCGCAAAAACTTTCCAGATTAGTTTTCATCACATGATGCTTAAATTTCCTGAAGAATTTCAATGACTTCCCATGAATTTTGAATTTCATAAAAATTTTCAAAGTAGTTCAGAGATTTCAAGACAATTTCAGGTAGCCTCAAGGATTTTCAAACAATTTCAATCAAGGAATTCAAGTTATCAAAGATTTTCAAAATCAAAAGAATTCTGAAGATTTCCTAGAGAATTCCCAGGATTTTCATGGAATTCTAGAAGGAATTCTTTTTGGTCAGGGGTGGCGTTGATTTCTTGCAGAAGGGTGCTCAATCTTTAGAGAAGAAAAAAATGTGGGCATGAAAAAATTGCATAATTTCTGGGAAGATATTAGGAGGAATTTTTTGATTGGTCAGGTCTTCTTAGAGGATTGAAGGATTATAATAATCACTTATTATCATCCAGCTGTCTCATCATGTTGGTTAAAACAAATTTAAAAAGAGTGCTTTTCATGTATTCAACTGATAGATAATGTTCATGATTTTTTTTCTTATATTTTGAGGGGGTCAACCAGGGTTGAAATTGTATACACCAAATTTTTTCAAGAATTAGTTCTCTTCACATGAAAATCAAATTTCCAGAAGAATTTTGATGACTTTAAAGATTCAAGACAATTTCAAGTATTTTCAAGAAGCTAAGTATTTCCAAATAAGCCCAATTAAGGAATTCCCAAGAATAACAAGGAATTCTCAGAATAAGAAATTTCCAGGATTTACAAGGAAGTTTTCAATGATCTTTATTATTTTCCAATCAATTCCAAAAATTCTGTGGTGATCTAAGGATATCATCCAAGGAATAACATGGTTTTCCAATGCAAATAATTGATAAATATCTGTAAAATTCAAGGATTTCCAAGGATTAATAGATTTCTAAGAAAATAAAAGAATTTCCAGAAATTCTCAGCTTTTCAATGGAATTCTTTATAAGGATTCCTAAGGATCTTCAAGAATAGATAGAATAATAGATTTAAAAAGAGATGGTCAAGATCAGATCCAAGTATTTTCAAGTTACTTCAAGGAATACTAAGAAAAAAAATATCCCTAAGGAATATTTACCAGAAATGTCTAAGCAATTACAAAGAAACCTTAAATTTTACAAGAAATCATAAAGTGTAAGGAAATTTGAGAGTTTCCAAAGAATAGAAATTCATTGTTTTCTATTCTTTGGGCACCCAAGCAATTAAAATACATTTTAAGAATTTCCATGGATTAATAAGGATTTGTAAGAAAATCTTAGGATCCCCAAGATATTCTCAGAATCCCAGAAGATTTCCAGGTATTTGTGGATGTTTCAAGAAACTGAGGATTTCAAATGAATTCTGAAAGTGTCTAAGAAATTCAAAGGAGTTTCTAAGATTTTCAGTGAATTATGAGATTTTCCAATTTCTAGGATTCTTCTGAAACCAAAGTTATCGATAATTTGAACTGAAACGTCAACACAACAATCAACAAACATTCCCAACTCACTTGAACTCCTTCTCGTGCTCCTGGCAAACGTCCACGATCTGCACGATATTATTATTCGCCGACAAATTCATCGAGCCGACGTTCAACTGTACGGGACTCTTCAGATAATCGGCGGCCAGTTTCTTCACCTCCTTGGGCCATGTGGCCGACCACATGAGCGTCTGCCTATCGGGCCTCACCTGGCCCAAAATCTTCCTGATTTGGGGCTCGAAACCCATGTCCAACATTCTATCGGCCTCGTCCAACACCAAGTAGGTGCATCGTTCTAGATTGGTGGTGCCTTTTTCCAGGAAGTCGATGAGACGTCCCGGGGTGGCGATGCAAATTTCGATGCCCCTGGAAATTCGATAGGAAACGCGGTCATAACGGCATTTGGCATCGACATTCATCTGATAACAAAATGTTGAAAGGTATCATTAGGTGCGGTTTGTTTTGCCATAACTAGTGATCGACCGATATGACTTTTTTAGCCGATACCGATAATCGGCCGATACCGATAATGTCTTGGCCGATAACGGTATATATCGGCATATCGGCCTTTTTTAATCGATAACATTCATTATTAATTAATATTGTCTAGAATCTCTAAAATCTGAATATTTTGTAATATAATTTATAATTCTTTCAACGTTCAATTTAAAATCATAAAAATAAAAACAAAAATTGCACTTTGAATGAACCGTAAATTCGGCGAAAAGGAATCGGCTGAATCCAGAAACAACCGAGACAATTATTTTTTTACATGATAATTTGCCAAAACTACAGTATTCATATTAAATGCCTATTTCATGTTATATCTACCATAATTTCTTAAGATTACCTTATTCCAAATATTACTTTAAATTTAAATATAAAAAAAATGTTTCAAGCTGCTATGGTTGTCTTTATTTAAACATCGGCCTATACAGTATGATGCAAATGTATGGAATAAATTCATTTCAAAACAAGACGACTTCCGAAAAAAATCCAATAAGTAGAACTCAGAACTTTTTTATCGATGTATTTTTTCAACTAGACGACCCTTCGATGTCCAATTCTCAGCAGAAGATCTCTGCAAGATTCAGTTAACCAAATAATGAATATGAAATAAATAATCCATTTTAATTTCAATCTTCTTTTGCAAAATTTTGACTATTGGATAGACGATCAGTAGACCTTTCAAACGAGGTGTCACATGACCCCTGTTTGTATTTACGTGACGTAACACCTCTCATATGAATGTCATGAGATGATCAAAAATTAAAACTCACGTGTTTTTGGAATTTCTTTAAATGTCGCCCATTTCTGAAATAATGAATTTATTCCATACATTTGCATCATACTGTATAACCGATATATACTCACATCTATCGGCCGATACCGATAATCGGCCCCGGCCGATATATCGGCATCGGTATCGGTGGATTACTAGCCATAACTCAATCTGATTTTTGGCATTGTATACGTTTTGTTGTGCATTCAAACCCATTTCCATTCCCATTCGTATTCCTTCTCATGAGAAGGATTAAAAATTGGAATGACAAATAAAAGTGACTTCAGTGACTTGTGATTATTAGTAACATGAGAATTGACAGTTATAAGAAAAAAATTTCAGCATTTATCACATACAAGCTATTAATAATGAATAGAGAATGAAGAGAACTACAGAAAAACGGGAATTCCTCCATCAAAGGCATTGACGTCTTCCAAAAATTCAATCATTATTCTCAAACGTTGGTTGAGAATCATGGATATTAAATCAGTCTATATCAATTTTTGATTCATGGGAGTAAAAACAGAATGATGGTAATGGTAAAATTGTTACATACCAGAGACAAATACGAGGACAAATATAATATGATCAGATTTTGAGGTTGAAAATATCTCATGTTTCTACAATTCCAAATGTTCGCATTGTCTGGCGCCGATCCATTTTCTTGGGCCCACTCATTCTATCATTCCAGAATGGCACAACATAAACGCACCTATTGTGTTGAACAGCACCTGAGCCAATCACTGTCCTGTGCGGTAATTTGCAATCAACTTCGCGATTTCATAAAGAGATAGGTATTTTGCCAGTAGATACCAATTGAATGGTAGACAAACTGTAATCTTTTTGTTATCAAATTCATCAAATAATGACACATGACAGTGATTTGTTTTTGTTGAAAAAATGTTGGGAAAGCTGAGGATGGGATCCAGACAAGAAAAGTGTGGACACCGAAGGCATAATTTCCCAAAATTAATCTCCCTTCCAAAAGCACTCATGCTCAGCCGAAAATCGAGGCGAAGGCATGCCAAATTGGAAGGGTTGCAATAAAGTCATTTCTTCAAATGTTTTTATAATGATCTCAAATGTTATTGAAATCCCAGGAATGTTCTACAATTCAAGAAATTTCAAGAATAATCTTGAATATACTGCACTTTTTTTAAATGTTCCAGTAATGATCTAAAATGACATTGAATATTGTCATTGAATGTCAATGAATGTTCTAGAAATGTCATAATAAATCAGAAATTTTGGTATAATTCTAAAATGTTCCAAATTCTTGCTTCAAATATATTATCAATTATTTAACAAATGTCCTAAACATTCCAGTATTTTCAAAATTTTATTATCATGCTCTTGAATGTTGGGTAATGTTCTCAAATTTATCAGATTTAGAAAATATGTTCTAGAATCTAGGCCGTTCATAAATGTTCTAGAAGATTTTTGAATGTTCCAGGAATGATCTGTAATGGTCATGAATGTTCTAGAAACATGAAAAATGGTTTAGAAATTGCAGGATCATTTCAGAATATTCCTAAATGCTTTCCATTTTCCAGAAAGTAATCGGATATTTCGGACTTCGGGGCCGTTTTGAATGTTCAGGTTCTAGAAATTTCAAAAATGTTCTGGCATTTCATAAATATCCTATAATGATCTCAAATGTTCCATGAATATTCCATGATAATAATGAACGTTGAAAAGTTCCGAAATTTTAGTTATGTGTAAAATTAGTTCAAGAGTGTTCTACAACTGATCTTCAAATATTCAGCACTACGCAAACAAATCCTCACCTTTCCAAGTCACGAGCCTGGGGCCCTTTGGGTGCTCCTCCAAAAATGCAAGTGTTGCGGATCCTAGTCGACCTGCCGAAATCATTAGCGATCTTCTGTATCTGCTGTGCCAACTCTCTCGTCGGCGCCAAGATAAGAGCGATCGGCCCCTCGCCCTGCTGTATAAATCAATCAATCAATCAACCAATCAATCATTAGAAACAAAGAAAAAAGAAAGAAACTTTATTCACTACTAGAGATTACAATGCCCCTTACAAAGAAATCCATCAAGAGAAACACAAGTAAGAAAAGCCCTGGTTGGTCTCAGCAACAATTCGAAAGAGTGTTAACCAGCGAGGGAACACGCCGATAGAAATTTTAACGTGGACCACAAGGGGTAGTAATCTAGCCCATTGGTTTTGATTGAATTTAAGGACTTTGAGACGAAAAAAACCTTTGTCCGATGTGTAATTGCATTATTTTTTACAATAATAAAACAAACAGCTGTAATAAAGAAAGAACTTAATTTGATTGATATACTAGATAGTAGAGTAAATAGACTGGCAAAAGGCTTCTAGAATAGATTTTCGTGGGCACTTTGTTGCTAAAATGTAAAACCCATTTTTTATCATTCCTAAGACCTTTGCAATGCAAAATCACTTGGTCGTCCAAAAATCGTAGTTGGAGGGGAGTGGGGGGAGCCTTTTTTTAAAAAAAAGCCAATTTTTTTTTTCATCGGTTTTCAGATCTAAGATGTGAGATAATTCATTCCTCAAATTTGCATACCCATCCGGATATCAGAAATATTTTTTTTTAATTTATAAAAATACGTCGCAGCATTGTTGTATATGGAGAGCCTTCACACAAAACCGCTTGCCCTGGACACCCATATTTTTAAAATCATTTAACTCGCTCTACCTCGAAAAGTATTGGGTCTAGCAAAAAAAGACTTTCTATAAACGTTAAAGACCAAACATCAGAGAACATGTTGGTTTTTTTAGAATTTTGATTGGATAATTGGTTCACGAGGAAATTGAATAAATCGAACGGCATGTCGCGACGAACGGCGGCTAGCGCAGAGACGCGGGGAAGGGCGAGATTGCTATGCCTATGTCAACCGAAAATCCACTCTACTGAGGGCGATGTTGATACGGTCGATTTTACCGTGAATTCACTGTTTTGTTGTAAATTCGAATGCATTGTTCTGGTAGCGCTGATTCCACTGAGATTACTAGTGATGAGTGATAAAGTTCTTGTCTATAAATCATATTATTAAAAGCGAATAATAACTTATTGCTAAGTTAACAATATTTAGAACTTACTTAGTGAGTATTAGGTACAGTTAGTATTTTTTTGTATCCTCTAGAAATGGATTTAACGATCAGCAGCAGCTCTGACAGTGAACTAGAGTCGAAAATCAAATTAAGACTTGTTTCTTTTCGTAAAACTGTCAATGGACAAGACGTTTTTATTCAAAATGTGTGTCTTATTTGTTTGAAAGGAGGAAAGCTGGTTATCTCTCATGAAAAATCAAAAAAAAAATTTCATTGAATGCACGAAAAAACGTATGACAAATTGTCATGATGACAAATATATGCGACATATATTCTCAAAGTTTGATGATCTAGAAAATCAAAGTTTTTTAAAATGGCACAAAAACTGTTATAAATCGTTTACGAGCTCAAAGAACATTGCCTCGTACAAGTCAAAAAATAACAAACTGACAGCTGATTTTTCAGCAGATTTTTGTAGAGCAGATATTTTTCAAAAACGTCCCTTGCGGACACCTTTTGATTCACAAAAGTGCGTATTTTGTCAGGAGCAATCACAGAATAAAAAACTAAGCCAAGTTATGACTCGTAATATGCAAGAAAAAATAAGAACAATATCACGAAGTAACCCTGTGTTTTCTGCGAAAACTGCCGTATAATCAGAAGCTTGCAATACCTAATGACTTTCATTCCCTTAAAAAAAATTACTTTGACAAATCAAAAAGAAAAGTACAACCTGAGGAAAATAAACTGATCATCATAGAGAAGGGCGAAATACTTAATAATAACATGAGATATCGTAATATCACGTGGTGCATTTGCAGAATGAGGGACTCTAGTACAGGGTTGGCATGAATTAATTCATATGAATTAAATCAGTGATTTAATTCGTGAATTAATTCCATTGACTTTTTTCGAAAAAGTAATGAGTTCATTAAAATTTTTGAAAATGAGACAAATTGCACTATTATACCATATTATACCTTTGATTTTAACGAGTTTAAACTGAAAAGTTCGATCGTATTTTGGCAAGACTTTGTTATTTCAAGCATGACAGAGATTTTTACTAACAGATATATACCATCCATAAAGTCCATAACATATGAGAACAGTTTTATTATCACATCATCGAATTTTTTTCTCTCGGCGATCCATTATGCATATCCGATAACTTGAAAATCGATTTTGACACATGTCACGTGATCACTGGTATGGTGATAAATAAAAATAATACTATGAAGCGACGAAAAGTGGGGTTAGATAACAAAATATCCATAGACATTTCTCATTAAGTTGCTATTCCACATTCAGTTTCGAGCAATTCTTGGAGGAGAATTGGAAATAGCTATCTTTTTTCGAATATTCTTCAATTTTGTAACATATTTTTTTTCTGACAGTAGTGATGTTGATGATGTACAAGTTGAATAGAATTCAATTTCATGCTCACATATGGAGTTTCCAGCCATTATTTGAGAAAACTGAAAATAGCTATTTTTATTTTTTTTTAAATAACTCCATCTGGCATCTTCCCATCCAACCCCACTTTTTGCCATCGTAATTTTTTGAATTTACCGCCATACCACTGATCAAGTGACATGTGTCAAAATTGACTTTTAAGTAGTCAGACATGCATAATAGATCTCCAAGAAAAAATGTTTCGATATTCTACTAATAAACTTTTTCTCCATGTGTTACGAACTTTATGGATGATACTGGATCTATATGTATCCATTATTTTGTATTCTATCATCACTTTTAATTTTGTTTCGAAATAATAACATGTTATATTATGATGTTATTCTACAAGATTTCTGAAGAGAATAAGAACATAGCTTTTTTGTTTCTTTTTTCCTATTTCGCTTTGGGTAAATGAAATTTGTTTGTTTTTTTCAAATCAATCAATTCAAAAAAGTCTGACTTATTTCAAAAAGTCGGACTTTGATGACTTTTTCATAAAAGTCATGACTTATTCCAACCCTGCTCTAGTAGCAATCAAACCGTTTTGTGAATCAAAAGGTGTCCGCAAGGGACGTTTTTGAAAAATATCTGCTCTACAAAAATCTGCTGAAAAATCAGCTGTCAGTTTGTTATTTTTTGACTTGTACGAGGCAATGTTCTTTGAGCTCGTAAACGATTTATAACAGTTTTTGTGCCATTTTAAAAAACTTTGATTTTCTAGATCATCAAACTTTGAGAATATATGTCGCATATATTTGTCATCATGACAATTTGTCATACGTTTTTTCGTGCATTCAATGAAATTTTTTTTTTGATTTTTCATGAGAGATAACCAGCTTTCCTCCTTTCAAACAAATAAGACACACATTTTGAATAAAAACGTCTTGTCCATTGACAGTTTTACGAAAAGAAACAAGTCTTAATTTGATTTTCGACTCTAGTTCACTGTCAGAGCTGCTGCTGATCGTTAAATCCATTTCTAGAGGATACAAAAAAATACTAACTGTACCTAATACTCACTAAGTAAGTTCTAAATATTGTTAACTTAGCAATAAGTTATTATTCGCTTTTAATAATATGATTTATAGACAAGAACTTTATCACTCATCACTAGTAATCTCAGTGGAATCAGCGCTACCAGAACAATGCATTCGAATTTACAACAAAACAGTGAATTCACGGTAAAATCGACCGTATCAACATCGCCCTCAGTAGAGTGGATTTTCGGTTGACATAGGCATAGCAATCTCGCCCTTCCCCGCGTCTCTGCGCTAGCCGCCGTTCGTCGCGACATGCCGTTCGATTTATTCAATTTCCTCGTGAACCAATTATCCAATCAAAATTCTAAAAAAACCAACATGTTCTCTGATGTTTGGTCTTTAACGTTTATAGAAAGTCTTTTTTTGCTAGACCCAATACTTTTCGAGGTAGAGCGAGTTAAATGATTTTAAAAATATGGGTGTCCAGGGCAAGCGGTTTTGTGTGAAGGCTCTCCATATACAACAATGCTGCGACGTATTTTTATAAATTAAAAAAAAATATTTCTGATATCCGGATGGGTATGCAAATTTGAGGAATGAATTATCTCACATCTTAGATCTGAAAACCGATGAAAAAAAAAATTGGCTTTTTTTTAAAAAAAGGCTCCCCCCACTCCCCTCCAACTACGATTTTTGGACGACCAAGTGATTTTGCATTGCAAAGGTCTTAGGAATGATAAAAAATGGGTTTTACATTTTAGCAACAAAGTGCCCACGGGATAGCACGATAGGATCCCGTTTAAACTCTACTAAGAATTGAATAATGAATTTCAATGAACACATAAATAATGTACGCACGTCCCTTCTTCTAATTGTTTCTCTTTTTTTTTTTCTCCTGGATGATATGAAAATTTTACTTCCATTGCAGGCTGATCGTTTTGAGGTTGAATTTCCATCTGTACAGACAGGAATGCAGATATAGAAGATTTCAATTCTCTCCCGCGTAAGGTAAGAGTATACCCCAGGAACAATTCACCAACTGTTTACTATGATGTGTGCAGAACTAATGATGAAACACATGCAAAGACTTGTTAATTGATAATATATAGCCACCGAGCTGGCGTGATTTTAAAACGAAAATTGATATCGCCTGGGGTATTTTTTACCCCGCGCGGTCCCTCGCGGATTAAAAAAGAAACAATACCTATAAGAAGACAACCCTCGACAGAAAAACAATTTGTGAAAATATATTAATTCACACTAGAGGACATCTAGACCGGTGAACGCGACTACACTTCGCACGAATTGTGGGCGTGGTCATGTCAGTTCTCAGCATTCAGTACAATGTTGCCAAGTCTCTCATATCTACATGATATTTTGTTATGGAGTATAAGAAATATTTTGACATGCTGGTTGCTGGAAAAATTCAAGAATGAACTATAATTCATCATATTATAGGTGCCTCCTATTATGTTTTATTCAACAGGACTCGTTGACATCTTTTTGATAACTTGATTATAATTGAAGACTTGACAACCTTCCTCCATGAGTGGAAATGGAAGATGATCTGATCAATAAGAAAAGAGCATAAAAACTGACGTCACCATTTATTCGACGTATCGCCAACTAGCGGCTGTGAAGGTGAAAATGACGGCACACGAATTGTGGGCGTGGTCTTGTCAGTTCTCAGCATTCAGCACAATGTTGCCAAGTCTCCAACATCTACATGATATTTTGTTATGGAGTAAAAGAAATATTTAGACATGCTGGTTCTCCAAAAAGTCAAAAATTAACTATATGGAGGGTTCCTCCTATCATTATGTTTTATTCAACGACGTTTTAGTAAACTTGATTGTAATTGGTGACTTGACAACCTTGCTTCATGAGTGGAAATGGAAGACAATAAATAAATAAATAAATAAATAAATAAATCAATCAATCAATCAATCAATCATTAGAAAGAAAGAGAAATAAACTTTATTCACTATATATGAATTATATACATGATGTCTCATTTCCAAATGAGACAATTTTTCCTTTGTGATAATTCAATATTGTTAAATATTTATTGACCTTTGTACATTTGTTTTCTTAACCTTACAAGGTTCACTTCCCAAGGTTTTTCCCAATTTATTCAGAATACCTATCTGTATGTTCCAATGTATATTTTGTAAACGTTTTTGAAAAAACTTATATCATTAATCATTATTATTATTGATGCATAGATTCATTATTCACATAAAAAAAGTGTGAGGTATTAAAAGTTAATTTTTCTGCAACCGACACACGTCCATTTCAATACCAAAATTAACTCTTGAATTCACGCTTCTATTAATGACACAAAAATAGGTATGTTGCTAGGCAACATATTTAGTTCATAGGAGATAAAGTTGAACTTTAGTTCCTAGGAGCTAAAGTTGAACATTAGTTCCTAGGAGCTAAAGTTGAACATTAGTTCCTAGGAGCTAAAGTTGAACATTAGTTCCTAGGAGCTAAAGTTGAACTTTAGTTCCTAGGTTCCTAATGACAGTGGAGTAATTGAATGCTAATAATCTCATCCCACTCGCCCATTTTCTTTTTAAATCCTCACCTGTATCTGCGGCTGGCTGTTGATGTGCACGACGGCAGGCAAAATGTAGGCCAACGTCTTGCCCGATCCGGTCTGCGCGATGCCCACCATATCCTTGCCGCTCATCGCGATGGGCCAGCCCTGCGCCTGGATGGGCGTCGGCGCCTCGTAGCCCTGATTGAATATCTCCGCCATCACGTAGTCGGGGAAGTTGGCCTCGTCGAAGTTCTGGATGGGATTGGGGGCGTCGCCCTCCACGATGATCTCCTTGGATTTCCTGCGAGCAGCGGGATATTTTCAATAGTAACAACTAGGGTTGCAAGTTTTCCGAAAAAGTTGGAATTGCTGAAAAGTTCGATCAACTTTTCAAGAAGTTTTTTTTTTATCGCTTGGAGCGCACGAAAGGGAATCCCTATAATGTTCAAAGAACATCGCGCGTTCCTAGGAAGGATAGGGACAGGAGGTAGGTATTGGAATTTTTTTTGAACTGGAGATTATATGTTGTTGGGTTTGCAATTGTGATGTGTTCTTGTGGGGAAATTATGTAAATAAAATAAAGACTGTGTACTATAGCCTTCATTTGTTATATTCTGAATATTACAAAGTACACACAACCTTACCCTTTGTTTAAATAAAATACCGACCGAACCTTTTATAGTTACGTCCTCAAAATATTTCCACACCATTTTTTTCTCATTTACCATATTGATAAATTTAAACAGCGATCGGGGTATTAACGGGGTTATACAGGGTGTCCTTAAAAGGTCTTTACAAAAAGCTACCACATATTCTTCAGACCAAAACAATTCGATACAAGCAAACTTACCTCAGTAAAAAGTTGCTTAGTTTGGGCGCTAGACGGCTCTGAAGTTGAAATTTTCAAATCGATTTTGCTTCATAACTTTTGAACGGCTCATGAGATTTTTTTCAAATTTGGTACGTTGGCATAGACTCATCGGGCAATGAAACTCATATCATAATCATAATGAATATCATTCCATGGGCGTAGAACTTGATTTTTTCAGGAAATAAACATCTAAAACTTCTACGCCAATGGAAAAAAATCAGTTTCAGTATGACATCTAGATAGCCCAAATCATTCACTACAAAAAAGGTACTCTTGATAAAATTCGATTACTCTGATGGTTTCGACAATATTTAAGTTTTAGTGATTTCGCGCATATTTAAATAATAAAACGATTGATAGATATTGCATGAAAACTTTCCAAAATGTTCACTATTTTCGCGTGAACAAAGATTTATACGACGCAAAAAGTTGAAATCCTAATCATAATGAATATCATTCCATGGGCGTAGAACTTGCTTTTTTCAGTAAATAAACATCTAAAACTCCTACGCCAATGGAAAAAGTTAGTTTCAATATGAAATCTAGATTGTTCAACTCATTCACTACAAAAAAGGTACTCTTGACAAATGGTCGAATGGTTTCGACAAAATTTTAATTTCAGTGATTAAGAGCATAATCAATAATAAAACGATTAACAGATATTTCATAAAAATTGTTCAAAATGTTCACCATTTTCACGTATACAAAGATTTATACAACGCAAAAAGTTGAGATGTACTTTTTGCATAGGTTATTTCTATTGAAAATAAGTAGCACTGGTTTTTTTTCTGAAGACTATTATTATCTGCTCGAAAACAGTGATATTCACATTCTTGGTTTCCATAGTTTCATCTGTGTTGATTTGTCGAGTTTTATTGACGTTGATTGTTGATATCGGACTTTTCTGATTTATCATGGCCGTACAATACGCACCAATGAAGAATACACCGATATGTTATTGGTATTCGGATATTGTCAAGGAAATGGTCGAGAGAGTGTGAGGGTGTATTCGGCAAGGTTTCCAAATCGTCGCGTACCAAGCCACCCAACCTTTGCTGCAGTTGAGAGACGTCTTCGGGAGACCGGTCATTTTGCTCCTAGAACTGGTGATTATGGAAGACAGCGTTATGTAAGGATTCCCGAAGTCGAAGTAGAAATTTTAGACCGTATTGAAGAAAATCCAGAATTGAGTACTAGACGGATAAGTAATGAACTAGAAGTTTCTAGGAATGCCGTTCATGAAGTACTAAGAGAACAATTATTATACCCATACCACAAGACGCCAGTTCAAGATTTATTAATCCATGATTCACAAAGTCGTCTGATGTTTTGTAGGTTCATTAATTTGCAAAGAGAAATGAATCTGAACTTTGGAAAGAATATTTTGTTCACTGATGAAGCCTGTTTCACGAGAAGAGGAATAACTAATTTTCATAATGAACACGTTTATGCAATTGAAAATCCTCATTCCATTAAAATAAACCATTTTCAACACGAATTCAAAATCAACGTTTGGGCTGGAATAATAGGAAATTTTATAATTGGTCCTGTCATACTTCCACAAAGATTAACAGGAGACATGTATTTACAACATCTACGAAATACGTTGCCAAATTTGTTGGAAGATTTACCACTCCAACATCGGGTAGATATGTGGTTTATGCACGATGGAGCTCCACCACATTTTTCGGTGGATGTTAGGAATTTTTTAAACCAACAGTACCCAGACAGATGGATAGGTAGAGGTAATGATGCACCCGTGAATTGGCCACCACGTTCTCCAGACTTAACACCGATGGATTATTTTGTATGGGGTTATCTCAAGTCTACGGTTTACAAGACCCCTGTGAATACTGTAGAACAATTATGGCAACGTATCCAACAGGCGACGAATAATCTTACAGGCCATGAAGAAGTTATGCAAAGAGTACATTTCAACTTTTTGCGTCGTATAAATCTTTGTATACGTGAAAATGGTGAACATTTTGAACAATTTTTATGAAATATCTGTTAATCGTTTTATTATTGATTATGCTCTTAATCACTGAAATTGAAATTTTGTCGAAACCATTCGACCATTTGTCAAGAGTACCTTTTTTGTAGTGAATGAGTTGAACAATCTAGATTTCATGTTGAAACTAACTTTTTCCATTGGCGTAGGAGTTTTAGATGTTTATTTACTGAAAAAAGCAAGTTCTACGCCCATGGAATGATATTCATTATGATTAGGATTTCAACTTTTTGCGTCGTATAAATCTTTGTTCACGCGAAAATAGTGAACATTTTGGAAAACTTTCATGCAATATCTATCAATCGTTTTATTATTTAAATATGCGCGAAATCACTAAAACTTAAATATTGTCGAAACCATCAGAGTAATCGAATTTTATCAGGAGTACCTTTTTTGTAGTGAATGATTTGGGCTATCTAGATGTCATACTGAAACTGATTTTTTTTCATTGGCGTAGAAGTTTCAGATGTTTATTTCCTGAAAAAATCAAGTTCTACGCCCATGGAATGATATTCATTATGATTATGATATGAGTTTCATTGCCCGATGAGTCTATGCCAACGTACCAAATTTGAAAAAAATCTCATGAGCCGTTCAAAAGTTATGAAGCAAAATCGATTTGAAAATTTCAACTTCAGAGCCGTCTAGCGCCCAAACTAAGCAACTTTTTACTGAGGTAAGTTTGCTTGTATCGAATTGTTTTGGTCTGAAGAATATGTGGTAGCTTTTTGTAAAGACCTTTTAAGGACACCCTGTATACAAACTAGCGACTAGCGTATTATTGTCTGTTATTTTAGGTACGGGCGACGCTCGGCGGCTTTCGCGGGGATTTACAAGGTTCGGTAATGAAAAGCGGGGATTTCCCATACTGTTATGTTCGCGGACGGCCTAGTTCTGCCATTATTTTGTGTTATTATGAATATTTATGATATACAGTGTGACCCACTTCTAATGGAAACACCCCTGTATATTACATAATCGTTGGGTAAGGATCCTGAAATTTGCTAGAACGAGAGATATACCAAAAATGCACTCTATGACCAAGTGGGGTCATCTTCAGTGATATACACTGCTCGCCAACAGCCATGGAAACAACCGAATTTCCGGAAAATGATATTAGGAGTTAAAATAGGTTGAAAATCACTTCGGATTCGGAATCAGGACGCCCATTTCACTAACTGTTCATAGTTTTCTTAGAAAATTTTCAGTTCAGAATAATTTAATTTTGTCTCACTTCTCATGGAAGCACCCCCGTATTTCACGTAATTATTGAGGTAGGGTTCTGAAATTTGCAGTAGGAAGGGAAAGTTCAATGATAAAATCAATTACGTAAGATACGGGGGTGCTTCCGTAAAAAGTGCGAACAAATTCAATTTTTCAGAACTGAAAGTTTTTCAGGAAAAATATGAATAGTTAGGGAATTGGGCATGCTGATTCCGAATCTGAAGTGATTTTCAACCTATTTTGACTCCTAATAGGGTGTTTTCATTAGAAGTGGGTCACACTGTATATTATATATCGGCTATACAGGGTGATTCACATTGAAAATTAATAAAATAAAACCGTATGCGGATTGCAACTGTAAGGTAAAATTATTTCACCTTACTAAAATACAAAAATAACTGATTAACCAGTAAGTGAAAATATGATGGGTTCTAGTCAAACATATCAATTGATTGATTATTTAACCTGGATGCAGAAAAACCCCAAAAGTTTCTATAACTATAGTTGAATAGTAGCACATTTTTCAAAATAATATATCCATAGCTAGCAGTTGGATAGATTATATAATAATGTTTCAACTTAGCTGAGTATCAAATAAAGTTTTCAGTCATTTACAAAAAAAAACTTAGTTAATTTCCACTAATTTCTAATAATACAGATGGCCTGTTAGGAACTAACTTCTCATAAATTTGATGTGTTGATATTATAATATACTCAGTGTTTAAATCATAATATCTGATTGTGGAAAATTCTGGGATCAATTATTGTTGATCTTTTATCATATAACTTGAAAAATACAAATACTTTCCTGACTAATACCTACCACCAAATATTGAATTATATATTTTATGCAATGAGAGAGAATATTCTGAAAAAATATATTATTTGCTATTAGCCAGGAATAATAATTGTTTTCTGTTAGTTATTCAAACCATAGATGAATTAATCCCTTTATCCATGTTTGAAAAATAGTTATTCTACTTTTCATTTTCATTCTTTAGGTTAGTTTTCTCCAATATTTGACAGATATAATCCAATAATTTGTGGTATTAGCCAGGAAAGTAGTAGTTTTCTATTAGATATTTCAACAATGATTATCTGCTGTTCCTCATAAAATGACTAATGACTAATACTCATGAAATCGGACTTTTCCTATAATTTGAAGAATTCTCAGTAGATGATGCTCAAATTCCAATGGTTTTTAATGACAAATTTCAGTAATTTCAATAACTCCTAGTAATTTTGTTAGTTCAACTAAGTATCACTGGAAATAGAGCATACACATTTTCCATAAGGGTACATGTAACTTTCTTGCACATTTACCACTAAAATACAATACCTGGAGCATTTATTTATTGACATGTTTGTTAATTCATTCATCATGAATCCTGTGAGAGAAGTGAATGAGTCCAAAGAAGAGTTCAAATTGGTTTATTTGCCAATTTTGAATTACTGGATTCACTTGAGTATAGCTCTAATAAACCTAATTTACCTCATAGATACTCATTTTGAAAGAAAATGTACATTCTTCTTGTATAATATCTACAAGTTCAACAAAATCACCACTGGGACAGAAATAATATCACACACAGCTTTGGTTGTCTCACGATCAGCTGATGAAAACCATTGAATTGTACACCAAGTTAAAAAACACAGGATATTGTCACAACCTTACCTGTATTGTTCAACTTCAAATGGCGTTCTGTTGGCCACAGAAGGATGCGGCACATATGTAGCTTGGGTGAAGGGCCTCAGGGACTTGTTGGCCCATTCAACTTTGCGCAGCTCCTGGCCATAGTTCTGTTGGCTATTGCCAAAGCCGCCAGAGTTCCTGTCCTGGAAATTGCGGTTTTGGAAGCCACCGCCACCGCCCCCGTTGCGGTTTTGGAAGCCTCCGGAATTGCCTCCTCTGAATCCACCGCCATTGCCTCCTCTGAATCCTCCGCCATTGCCCCTGAAACCGCCGCCTCCGCCGTTTCTTTGGCCCGAAAAACCGTTAGAACGGGCCTGGTAGCCACCGCCATTTTGTTGATTGTAAGACCTGCCAGGAGAAATAATAATGATCACAAATACGTTCAAGATTCGGGACACATCAAGTCTACCGCATTCAATAGGTATTCATGGAGTTATCTTGAATATTATGAAACATACAGACAATTTTGTACCCCGTCCTTAGTGTGTAAAATATGAATAATCATATCAAACATGTAGAAAACAGGGATATTGATGTGTGTCTCACCTGACGCCCGAATATAAAAGTGATTAATATTCAGGTAACACGGAGACAAATCATTAGCTCAATCATTGATTTATGTTATTGATTGATATTTTAAAAAATGAATCAATACTTCCAACAAAAACCTCATCATTCCTCCTTTGAAATATTTGTTCAAGATCGATAAAAACTAGGCGTGGACCGTGGAATGGAAGATTGATTCGATTGTATTCACAAGATGGCCGACACAAAGAATCATGGACAGAATGAATATATCGAGGAATTATTTACAAACGCGTTTGCAAGAATCTGAAATTTGTCGATAAAACAGGAAAACATTGATGAAATATATAAATATGTTGACTTACATTTTTGTATCTTTTGTCGATGACTTGAAAACTGTGTAGTTTCTGCTTGAAAAATGTCTTAAACGAATGGACGATGAAGAATCTGAAATAGGAATGATACTTATATAACCAAAGAGCACAACTAACACTTCCAAAATATAACAACACAACAACAACAAGTTTATTCTCTATTAAAACTAAATTTGTAAAAAATAGATCAAATAAAAAATGAGAGACCAACTCACCTCTTCAACAGTCCAAAGTGAAAGAGGCCGGAAATTACGGATTGACCAGACACGTCAGCTTTCAAAGCTCAAAGCGCAGGTCACTCGATTTTCTTCAACAATACGCATGACGGATATGACGAAAGGGCAACGTTCGAAGTTTTTATTGGATGAGAATAATAGAGTGTGTCACGTGATCATCCTGCGATGTTTCGATTGGAAGTTATCCAGACTTCTCGGTCAATAGTTCAGCACAGTTGCCAAATATTCTTATTTCTCGTGATCTGCCTATTTTCACCTTATCGATATTCGACAGGGAAGACTTCGCTGTATTCGATATCTTATTTTTAACAGATCGATTTAAGACGGAAATGTAGAATAGTTTTTGTTTTCCAATTTCGCTAATTTTCAAATCGGCTCCTTAGTTTAATTTCAGGTATGCAAATATATCATACATTTTCGATTTGAAATCAAGTTATTTTGGCAGAAGGACTTGGGATAGCCATTTGAACATTGTTGTTCAATAAAGTACTATTATTACTATTAAGTTATTGTTGCAAGGGATTGAAAAGGAAGTGTTTTATTTTTTTGTGATTTTTGTGTGGTATATATATACAGGGTGTTCATTTCAGGACTTCCCACCCTAATTTTCTCGAAATGTGTGTATGTTTTTGAAAAATCCCGAGACACGTCAACTTCATTTTCGAAGGGGACATGGTTCTAAAATATTTTCAGCCCTGTAGCCATCTTACCCGCGGCGTTGCCGCTTCTAACGAAAAGAAGCAACAACTTTGTTATTTCAAATGGAACACCCTGTATTTTATTGCATTTTTAGATTCTCCCTGAAAAGCTGATTTCATCAATGCATCACACTTAGGGTCTAGCAGGAATGATTACAGAGATATAGGGTGTTCAAAATCGAGATTTTACAACTTTAGGATTTTTTTGAGTCGATACTATTCATTATTGGTCAAAACGGCTTTTATGTCCCTATCTCAACTTTTGATTTACTATCTACTGACATTTATTTGAAACAAATACAGGGTGGTTCAAGATTCAGACTTTTGATGCAATAAAATACAGGGTGTTCCATTTGAAATAACAAAGTTGTTGCTTCTTTTCGTTAGAAGCGGCAACGCCGCGGGGCTGAAAATATTTTAGAACCATGTCCCCCTCGAAAATGTAGTTGACGTGTCTCGGGATTTTTCAAAATCATACACACATTTCGAGAAAATTAGGGTGGGAAGTCCTGAAATGAACACCCTGTATATATTCATATGGTCATGCAATTAAGTACCGTAGAATGGGGTGACTTGAAATCGTGTGGTGACTTGAAATATAATGCAGTGAAAATTTTGAAGTAGTGGCAACGTCGCATGTCAACGGAAGAAGCTAAACTAGTCTTTCAGTCTAATGATTTTTTGTTTATTTTTGTAGTTTTTCATCTTTTTTGTATTTTGCTAAAAAATATTTGTTCTAAAACACAGTGTGTTTTTATGAAATTGATGATTTCTATATATTTTTTATTTAATTTTCATTTCATGTCACCACCTAGACCATCCTACTTGAAATAATCGTTGATAAGAAGTCATATTTCAAGTCACCCCATATTGGGGTGACTTGAAATATGACGTTTGACATTTTTTTTTTCGAAAACTACACTATATAGAAACGGTTTTAATGTATCGTTCTGTTCTTTAGGGTCGAAAGAGTTGGTGACTATTTTTAGTTTGGTTGAAAGTTGCATGGTAAGGTCGCAATCTATGGAAGTGTGTCAAAAATCTTATCAAGTCACCCCATTCTACGGTAGTTTCAATTTTTTAGATACGGAAACAACTTAGAAGATCAATCAATATTTTCCCGTGTATAATATACTATTTTTTTTCTGACAGGGAAATCGATGATTCAATATTGAGAAGATATTACATAATAATTGAATCAGAAGATTATCGATGTGAAATTTGAAGTAACATATTTGTTTTCAGGCATATTTTTTGTTTTGATTTTAAAAAATTGCGAACAGTATGGTTTTTCCGTATTAATTAATGAAAAATTACATTTTTTCTGTGACGGGAAAAAAGTTTGGCATTTCATCTCTGTTGGCAGGTTATAAAATGTCACTTTTCATAAATTACTTTTTTCCCGTGGGAAAAAAGTGAGTACTTTTTTCCCAAATATATATCACATATATATACTCTGTTAATGGCTTTTGTTGTGCTATAGTTCCGAAAAATGAGTCAATAATACCGTCTCCGAGAAAGAACTGCAAGTCCTTTTATCTTCCATGCGTCTTCGCGGTTTCGTATATATTTTTTTTTTTTATCGCTTGGAGCGCACGAAAGGGAATCCCTATAATGTTCAAAGAACATCGTGCGTTCCTAGGGAGGATAAGGAGAGGAGGTAGGTATTGGAATTTTTTTTGAACTTCTGGAGATTATAATATGTTGTTGGGAATACTTCCTCAGGCAATGAATTCCAGAGCCTAGCCGTTCTAAACAACTACTGAATTCGCAATATTTTGAAATCAAATCATAGAATTGAACTGACAGAAGTGACATCAGATATTTGATTACTTCAAAAGAATGATAAAGATGTCTATAAATCGCAGGTGTCCCTACTGTTAAAAACTTGAAATTTCACGTCGATAATTTTCAGATTTCGAAATAATGTAATATCTTCTCAATATTGATTCGTCCTTCCTTCTGTCACAGAAAAAAATAGTGTATTATACACGGGAAAAATATTACTACTACTTTTTTCCCTTGTATAATAAATAACTATTTGAAACCTGTCAACAAAGATGAAATATCGAACTTTTTTCCATTTGCAACTGTAATCGTCCTATGAAGAAGGTCCAAAAAGGTTGTAAGGATAAGCCGCATTCAATATTATGGGCTTGATAGGAGGGAACATGGAGGGAATAAATATACAAAGGGAGAATATTAGTAAATCTTTATTTGAATTTTCGATGGATTTCTCCACGTACATTCAATTTCCGAATGGAGCAATAAACATAAGAGCAAAACGAAATGAAAGATATATTTGAAATTACAACTAGAATATTAATACTGTATTACATACAAGAAATGCACTTGCTGGAAACTTACAGAAGAGTATATCAAATAATTATTTATGTAGAGAGTTTTGAATGCGAGGGCCATGTAACCTAAACGTTTCAATACTATGTAAAGTACTATAATCATGACCTTGAAAACCCCGCGCAAATTTAGGATCGCATGATTTCGAATAGTTCTGGTCGAGACCTACATATAGTTAGTTCATTGAGATTGAAAATATCCCGGTAAGGAATCGTTTCATCGACTGGAAATAAAAATATTTAATATTAATATAAAAATCGTCAATCGTTACGATGCAATGGCGCGATAATATGATAACATTAGAGAATAATGAAATAACTTTTTGCACTCAGTCCGATTTCAGAGAATCGCTCAAACAACACTGTTTTATTTTTTCTAAAAAAACGAAACACCACATGTTTGTAATATGGTAATTTGAGTTTTCCATTTAGACCGAACGACATAATATGCGGTCGGGCATAAAAAAAATATATCTAGTAGTTATTTCAGTCTTCATAGAAAATATCACATTCCTATCAATGTACAGGACATTGCTTTTTTTTTGAAAACCCTCGACGAACCAGTGCGCTTCTCCCGATTCGGAAAAGTTAATTATATTATTCTGTTGCTACCTTTTTACTCGCTAAATATCACAGATGGACGTAAGCGCTCTTCAGCACCACGCTTTAAACGACGAACGAGTTAAATTACTTAATACTACACATATGTACACGACACAAGCAGTCATGTCGAGTCGCACCAATTTGTTTTGGCCAAAAATCCGTAAACACGATCTTTTTCAATTCAGACCAATCGAAATGTACAAAAATTGCGCTTGCCAAGTCAGCCAATATCATGTTTCATACATTTGTTTGTAGAGATTCAATAGTATACCGGATGTTTCAGAGTGGCTAAAATTCCGTTTGACGTATTAGTTTGTTTTCTGTCACTTCAGGTTTGACCCTCACTTCCTTATTAAATGAAACACCCAGTATATTTCTGCTTATTTCAATAGATAATAGAGATGTTCTGTTACCACATCTGAGAGCAGAGTGAGAGGGAGAAGATTTCCAGTCATGTGACCACTGGAGCAAACAAATAAAAGTTATAAAAGAACCAGGATGATAAGAAAATTGTTTCTATTTTTTTTTCAAACAGGAGCTATTATCTTTTATGTTATGTATTATTTATCAATTTTTTCTTCTCATTCCTTGGAGCGCACGAAATGAAATTCCTATAATGTTCTATGAAAGAACACTCCTGGGGACTGGGGGTCTACTACTGCAATGCCAATAATTTTTTTTTCTATTATGGTACGCTTTTTTCTGTGTAAACTATAATATCTTATTCGTTCACATTGGGCTTTAATATTTGCGTATTTATCTATGACTCATACAAACTGTGCTGCTGAGACTGAACATATGAATTCAATTCAGACTCAAACCAAACCAGAAACCAGTGCTCCAACTCCAATAACTGACCTTCAGTCTTCGTCATTCAACAAGAAGCTGTCAAAGTTGAAATCTGATTCCTCTGAATTAATAATTCGAGCAGAACGATCCAATTTTTTTTCTGGCTGTCAAATTACAGAATGCTTCAAATAAATTGTGCCTTTCTTTAAATGACATTGAAAAACGGCTCCGGAGGTAAACAAGCAAATAAATGTGATTGCAGAACATCTCTAATCACATTCTGAGTAAAATGACACCCCATTTGTCACTTTATAACATTTATCATCCTGAAATTGTCAATTTCTGATTTTAAATCTGTGCCATAAATTAGTAACAACGGTAAATATTGGATCAAGTTGCCAGAGGAAAATAGTTTCGATGAAGTTTTACCTTTCATTTCTTTCACAAGTTCATTCCAAGTTCAAAAACCCGTATTTATGATGTAACCGCAATATTTTCAAATGTGACAAAGGTGGATCAATACTATTTATTATCTGATAAGGACATTTTATTGTGAATTTGATGTCAAAAATTGACAAATGGTGTGCCATTGTACTCAGAATGCGATTTTCTATTGAAATAATTGAAAATATACCAGGTGTTCCATTCAAAATAAGAAAGTAAAGGTAATTCCTGGCCAAAACTGGTGACAAAACAATTGAATACGTCAAAAAATGCATATTTGAGGTATGCTCCATAAATCAACTTGGTTATTTCGGTTAGTAAAGATGTAATGTTCGGTTGGTTCCTTAAAAAATTCGGAACTCGGTTGCTGAAAAAGCAGCAGACTCACTGTCACCAGAACGACCGTTGATTTTGTCTGGTAAGTTCGGTAAGTTTGAGATGACGTTGACGTATTTTAGTTTTCAGTTTGATTCTTCTATTTACGAATTACAACGAAAAACAATATTCCCATTTTAATAATTGCTTCAAGTTCCGATAGATTCGTTTACTGGGGTAAATCAAAAAGATTCAATATATCTTCAGCTTGATTAGGTTTTTTTGCTTGTGCTTACTTTGCACAAGGATTAGGAACATTTGGGTGCCATAATTGAAAATCAAATACTGACAGAGCATGATGAATAAAAAAACGATCAAAACTATAATATGACAAATGACTGGCATTCCGTAAATAAACCACAACCGTAGTCACCAGTAAATAACCACTGTCAAAATTGTTGGTACCGGACTTGAAAGCATCGGTAACCTCGGTTGATTAACGGAACATATCCTTTACTATACTCACACACCGAATTTCATTTGTTTACCTGTTGAAACAAAAAGTTACAGGGCTAAGCAACTTTTGAGAAACATCCGGCTTTTTCCTTTTCACGGCGAAAAGCTTTTTGAATGATTGGTGTGGACGGATGTTTGGTCAAAACGAATTCTTGCTGTCGAGTTACGCGTTTCACAAATTCAACACATCATTTATTTTGATATCACACGAGAGAACGCGTACACATAAAACGAATCATGAAACTCTCACTCTGCTGGTTTTATGATGGTACAGTCAAACATCCATACTTCGTAGGCTAGATCTTGCCGTATGCAACACGTCAAACGATTTTTTCCAACAAGTATTCAACGGAAAATATCAAAGCTTCAGATAAACAATAAAAAACTACAATTTGTACCTATTCAATTGAGTACAGCAAGAACTTTGGAAACTTTCTGATCCGTAACATTAGACTACATTCAATAATAAAATAATAATTTATTTCCAATAATCTAGTGATGATTATGCCTCCCACTTTTTGAATTCAAGAATTCGTAAATTTTGCCAGAGAACAAAAATGATTCGAATATCTACCCTGTCTTTTTAATTATTCTATTAAAAAAATCACCGTTTGAGATGTGTCAAATGAGAAAATCTTCACTTCCAACATATTGTGGAGGAGGGATATACATAACCGAAATTAAGAAAAATCATTAATAAAATTGTGTGCTTATAATGAAAAAAATAATATATTGAAAATAAGATGAAATCTCTTATCGAAAATTTCAAAAGTCGTTACCGCTCTTTAGTCACATTTGAGTCCTTTGGTATAGAAATATAAACTTTTGACTGCCTTTAGAATATGTCTTTTTTTAAATAACTATAGTTCGGTATATCTCAAACAGCATCAATATATTTAAAAATACTATAACGAAACTAGCCCAAACTCCCCTTCTATATGTTTCGTGCATTTCAACAGCATACAGATAGTTACTGGTTACTAAATGCTAACAAACTCACACTGAGTATACACTAGAGCGCCGATACCACCACAACAGTCGAAAACTGTCCTTTGAAGTTATAATCAATAAGACTTTTCAACAAAACAACTAGATGACGATGTTACAATGTTCAGAAAATTATAGTTTACTTTTCTTCAAAACTAACGGAATATTTTGGATTTATAATGATGGAGAAGCTAGCCAAGTTACCATACCATAGATGGTCGATAGGTAAAAAAAAGTCCTTTCTTCCGTCCTTTAGTGTGCTTCTATTGTGTGATAATTTTTGATATCGAACATTGATGTGCATATCTTTTCCCCTTTAAAATACATTGATGTGTATATTTTTTCCCTTTAAAGTAGGATTTGCTATGATCCTTCTGTCAATTCAGTATCTCGAAAATCATTTACGTTCTCCATATTCTAATTGCTTCAACTATGACGGCTTTTTCCACTTTCATTTGTATATTGTATAATCATGCTATGTATTGTAACGAGCTTTCTATAGTAGTGTTGAGTATTCTCCAAAACTGTGTTCAGATTGTTCAGACCGAATTCCTATGTTGCTATTCCTTTTTTTATTAATTTTAATTTGCCATTTGTTTGTAATGACTTGATTCTCTTCAGAATTATTCTTGCATTCTTCAGAGGTATTACTACTTTTATCACTATCAGTTTGGACATCTTCTTCTCCACTAGATGCCAGTATTTCAAAATATGTCAATGGTGAGTTCGTTATATTTTTTCTCTCTCTGAATGTAAGGCCACTTGTCTTACGACATACAGCCAGAACCCTTATTACGGAGAATCCGTCCTCATCCGGCCTGGTTACCGGCGTGAAGAGTTTTGTTTTTCGAGCACCCTGGATGTCTCACTCGAAGAGGTACCAGGTATTGTGCCCTTTTAGCGATTCAAACTCACAATCACAAAAAGTGCTCTAGAAGTAATATCGAGAATTTCAGTTCTTCTGTTTTTCTTGGTTTTCTGACTCCTTGCGGTGCCAAATTCAACAGATCCGGTAAGTATACTTGTTATCAGGAGAGGGGGTAATTGTATGGTATTTATTTTCCCATTAGTAAAGTTTGAGGTGTTGAAACATACCAGTTATTTCTAGAAACAACTAGTTTTTTCAACTATTGAACTATAGATAGCTGCATTCGCCTGAACACTCGTCGCATTAAAAAACCAAGAGAATAGCAAGAAAACCAACACTATGTTCAGTACAGACAGCCATCATACTTTTCAAGATACTAGCGCAATCCTATTCGACACTGATACCGCAGCCAAGTGAATTACTGGCACGAGATACACGTTCAGAAGCACACCGAGAACGTGGAGCGGACAAGTTTCCCTCTAAATTTGGCTTGAAAAAAGGACAAAGGGACTGTGGTGGCGGTATCCGGCCTAAAAGATAAACATCAACTGCTGGCCGGCAGGACATCAATCGAAGAGGAGACTCAATGTCGCCGCAGCAGCAAACAAACACCTAGTCGGAGAGCCTCTGCATGGGCGAGAAAAGGATCGAGAACGAAAAAATCGAAGGTTGGCAGAATGACAGATGATGCTGTCATACGTCATTGCGTGAATCACTGTGTTCTTATATTCACAGACTGATGAATCTACCTCAAATGATGGATTGTTCCAACGAATCGAATTCCGAGTATTATTCTGATTCATCAATCCACACAAAGTACGCGACCTTGATGAAAATCGCTGTTGAATAAATATAGCAATACGGTGGAAGTTATATTCTTTCGTTCTAAACTGAAGTATTTCATTTGTTGTCTTGTTATGCATTCTAATAAAATAGGCAAGACATTTTTTCTTCTAGATGTCTCAAAATAAATTCCCAATGAAATGTTCCCGTGAGAAGACGACGGAAAATCGTCAGCGATACTGACGTCACAAGTTCTGCAACACGTCGACCGTCCATTGGTAGTGAGATGAACAGCGTTGCCGTTTCAACCAATTTTCTACTTTTTTTTGGATATTTCAACATTCATCACTCTCAAGATTCAACTGATTTCAACAATATCATGGATGAACTGAGCAAGACAGTTCAATACTCAGTTGATCTTGTTTTTCTAAACGCTGGATTGTGGTATGTTATGGCCAGAATTAGAGGTTTATTGAAAAGTATACCAGAACGCTGTTTCACGAAATTTTTGGGTATTCAAATGGTGTTTTTCGAAATATAACAGCATATTTTATCAAAAAATTGGTGTATTCGTATTTCAATTATATGCACCTTTGAATTGAATTCACGCGTCTGTGTCCTTGCCTATTGAAGTCTTTCAAAATAACGCATTTCAATTCATTCAGTTCAGTTCCAGTGAAATATTTCAGTTAGTTCATAAGGAAAGAAAATGACTGAATATGTGTTGTGAATATTATTGGCGGACTTCAAGGTCATCATATGAAGTACCGATGATATATTCCCCATTGTTAAGCCATCGCGACGTCAGATGATGACCTCGAAATCAGCCAACGCCATTTAAGTGATATTCTGCATTCTCCACTTCCATAATTGACCATACTTTCATATTGTGAGGTTGAATGCAGAGGTGTCAAAAACTTCTTGGGCCTTCCCTTTCTCAACCTTAGCTATAATTGACATTGACAAAGACGGCTTATTCGACAAACGACACTCATCTTGACAATAACTGATGCCAACTGATAGCAAAAAAATTCTAAATTTCAAGTGAAATATGGTCAATCGCAAAATTTTTTCGTTAGATCCTTTTGTCGCCCAAATAGGGTGATTATGATAGAATGAAAAAACGTCAAGCCTTGAACAGTGCTGCTACCACCAAAAAATAATTGAACAAGAAGTTTATAGTGCCGACAATGTCTCAAAGGACTGGCGAATAAATACACAAGGTCATCTAGAAAAAAATATAAACAAAAGAAATAAGGCTAAAGCGATCGAAATAAAATTATAGTCGGGCGATCGACAACTTTATACCGAAAGTGTGGTGTTGTCGACAGCAAATACGGGGTGTTTCCCAAGTACACAGCTCTGATACACAAAATATACATTCCTCTCCCTCATTTACATAATATATCGAATTATATCTTTGTCGTTTCCAGAAACAATTATTGGATAATGTTTGATGAAAAAGTGTACTTGGGAAACACCACGGTGTACTATCAGAAACAACGATAATAGTAAACTGACGAATTTAACGGAAAGCGTCTTCAAGTAATGGTGTAAACCCAACAAAAAAGTACCCTGTCACACGGATTTCGATGGTAGTCGCGACATGTCAGCACCGCTAACCTCACAAACTTATTGCTGCACCGTTCCCGTCGTAGGCTGAGTGTACTGATACGTGTACTGTACAGGCTGGGCGAACTGAAATAAAACTTTCCATTGAAATAGACATTCTAATGTACAGTGTGTCCAGTTTTCGATGCTTTTGCGTGATATCTCAGTTATCTTTCAAGATAGAACCTTGCGGCTTTCGCGTCCCTATGTCACTTTTTTGTGAAACTTGATTAGGCCATCAATCATATCTTACATAACTGTTTTCGTTTATGAGATACATGGTGATTTTAATTATTTAAATATCTATTCTTTTCAGCGGAAATGGCAAATCAAAATCTTATCGCATAGAGAATTTTATGCGAAATCCAGTGGCGCACTGAAAATTTGTTTCGGGGTATGGTTTTGCAGATACAACTCAAACTTATCATATTTTTTTCCTTCAAAATGATATATGATACATAATATATAATATTGAATATAAAATCTTCAAATGCTCAAAAATCACTTAAACATTGAATTTCAATAGTGGGCTATGGATTTCTCATATAAAAAACGTTCCAATTGGAGAAATATTTCGTAAAATTTTTCCATGAAGATGACAAAAACAATATCAACACTAATTAACTAATAAAACACAAAACTTAGGTACGTGATAGCAACAAATAAATAGTACCTTCATGGAATAATAAAAGGAAATATTCTTACAATTGGAACTTCCATATATGATAAATCCATAGCCCACTATCAAAATTCAATGATTTAATATTTATACATTATATATCATTATGAGGAGAAAAATAAGGAATTCGATGAGCTTCCATTTGAAAAATCATAAGTTTGAGTCGTATCTCCAAAATCATATCCCGAAAAATAATTTTGAGTGCGCCACTGGATTCTGCGTCAAATTCTCCATGGAATTAGATCTTGATTTGACATTTTCGCTGTTAAACTTCGTAGATATAAAGGGGGCACAAAAAGAATAAATTTTCAAAATCGCCCTGTATCTCATAAACGGAAACAGTCATGCAACATCTGATTAGGCCATCTTGAGTTTCAGAAAAGTTTCTCAGGACCGCGAAAACCGTAAAGTTCAATCTCCGAAATTAACTGAGATATCACGTAAAAGCATCGAAAAGTGGACACACTGTACATGAAACAATTAATCATAATACAAAGATATTGATTCATACATGAACCTCTTGTAGATTAATTGACTAAAACTTTTGAAGAATTTAGATTTGAGGAGACTCAGATGCATTAAAAATAACTTGAAGATACTATTTATGCAGATGATACGGTACTTTCATGAAAATAAAAATACTTTCATATGAAAATAAAAATCCTATCATTTCAGAAAATATAACTAACAGACTTGATGTTTGAAGATAGGCTTCATTGTCACGATCTCAGAATTAAAAACGAATCATTGTAAAAAACCAATAAGAAGAATAATCCTGGCATTTGGTTTGATGATAAATTGAAATGGGGTTAACATCAAAGTATTAAAAAAATATATATCCTATTATTAAAAATGAGAAAGTGTTTTTTGTTTTCCAATATCTCTTTGAATAACGTCAGAAAACACTGTAAACGAAATCGACAAATTTCGAGCATATCTCCACAACTACTTGGAATTTTAAAACTTTCCATATGACATATTGGTATGCTTAAAAATTCTCAAATTTTCTCTCAATTCACCATCTTCGTATCTCCCATGGTTTCCGAGATCCCCATGATATACATCCTTAACTTGAACACACTTGTATTATTTCATCTCTAGGAGCGCAATAAAGGAAATTCCTATAATGTTCTGAGATATCTGATTGAATTCACCTCAGATATTTTATACGTACATGAGCAAATAAATGGTTTTTTGAATACACTTCCCAGGGCAATTCTGACCACGAATTCAATTACCTGATTGTAGGGTGCGGCCGCCTGTCCCTGTCCCATCGACTGATACCCGCAAGGATTAGCAGCGTTGGGCAGCCCGCGGCTCTGGAAGAACTTGTGGCTGATCAGCGATTGGATGCTGTCCGGCCCGCCCTGCGCCGCCGACTGCATCATGTAGGGCGGCGGCATCGGGTACATGTTGGCGTTCGCCGGGCCCTGGTGGTACGACTGGCGCGGGTTGTTGTACCGCTGGTTGTTGTAGTTGTTGCGAGGGTTGTTGCCTAACGGGATTTGGTTCGTCATTTTTAAATTTTTCACGTTTTGATTATGGCCGTTGTCTGAAGGGATTTCATTTGTATGGATATTTCATAAACTGAACGAGTATGACTGTCACTTTTCTGTTTTCGAGAAATAGAGCAGTATGTGTTGAAATTCACACAAACTGGGTGGCTTTGATTGTCATTTTAAACATTAGCAGGAATATTGCTTGGATGTGTTTCAGTAACGGCAAAACAAGCTTCTGTAATACAGAAGGATTTGACTATTTGAATGTGGTCGTTGCCTGATCCGATTCAATATATTCGTAAGTTGATTTTCTCATCACCCGAGTTTTATGTAGCAACTGAGCTACAAGAGTGTGAAAATTCCTTAAACTCATTGGGTATGACTGTAACTTCCACATTTTTGACTGATTCATGTAGGGAGGCGGCATCGGGTACATCGTGTACACGTTGTTCCCTGATGGGATTTCATTTATTTGTAGTCATTTGCTATTTGTTTCACGCGGGGTTATTTATGATTCAAAATTTTCATAAGCCGGGCGAATTCAACTCATTTCCTCATTTTTCACGTTTGATTATGATCATTACCCGAATTGTGTAGCAACTGAACAAAACGTGTGGGAATTTCATAAACTCAACGGGTATGACTATCACTTTCAGATTTTCGAAAAATGTAGAAACAGAATAATAGATATTGAAACTTGCACAAACTGGCGGGCTTGATTGCTATTTTATACTTTGGCAGAAGTGTTGCGAGTTTGTATATTCTGGAAGGATTTGACTGCTTATTGGGTGTGGTCGTTGCCAGATACAATTTTATAAATTCGTGAGTTGATTTCCTTATCAACCGGGTATTGTGTAGGAACTGAGCAACAAGGGTCAAAATTTCATAAACTGAATGAGTATGACTGTCACTATCACATTTCTCGAAAAATGTAGGAAAAGAGCAATAGGTGTTAACATTTTAAACTGGGTTTGATTGCCGTTTTATACATCATCAGAAATTTAGCTAGAGTGTGGTTCAGAAACGGAAAAACAAGTGTTGAAATTTCATAAAGTGGATGGGTATGACTGCCATTTAGAATTTTTTTACCGCCATTGTTTGATTGCTATTTCATTCAAAAATAGATTTTCTATGCAGAAATGATAAGTTATTGTATTGATGAATTATAAATTAAGATTACCTGATGGAATTTGATATTATTATTGAATAGAAATGAAGCAACAAGTGTAGGAACTTGAATAAGCTAAACGGATTCGAAAATAATCTCTTCGCTGGAACCATTAATAATTTGATCACTTAATTCTCAAGACTGAATTCACGTTTACAATCATAAATAATAAATTATCCGCTATAGAGCTATCAAATATTATTATTAGTAAATAAACTTCAAACTTTCAACAGACCATACAATTCCTCGAAATTGGAAAACTCACCGTAAGTTCTCGTCGACCCGTTGTTCTGTTGCTGGTACATGTTGGGAGGGCTGTAAGACTGCTGGTACCCCTGTCCGTTCTGGAACTGGTTGTTCTGATAGCCGAATCCGTTGTTGTAGTTGTTCCTCGGGTTCCGCTGCACGACGTCGTTTCTGTTGCCGCCGTTCTGGTTCATTCTCGGCATGTTGTTCTGCCTAAAGTCGCCGCCATTGTTGAACACTAAAAATATTCGGTCATTTCTAAAAGTTTTATAGAGTTGCTTCAATTATCTGCAGAGCGAGACAGTACTGAATCATCAGTCGCACTCGGTCTGTAGACAACTAGGACGATTCTCATATTTACTTTTTGAGCTGTTCGTCCAGGTTTTCGACATCTGTCCGTTGGGCGATGAGTTGTCTTTGTTCCGATTCTGCCATCTGTTGCGGCCATTTTGAACGTTCCTGGCGCTCTGAGCCAGTTCCATTAGCGCCGGGGGTACGTTTTGTCCAGCTTCCTACAACATGAATCATCATCAGATTGGTAATTTTAAACAATTTCATGTAATAAATATATATCATATTATTGAAAAACGGTTGGAATGGTTTATTGATAGGTGTATCCAGTTTTTAGTATGTAGAATATGATTATGATTCATATTTACATGTGGAAAACGGGAACTTAATTTATGTCTCACCTGACGCCCGAATACAAGTTAGATTGATATTCAGGTAACACGGAGACAAAATGAAGTTGATGAACAAATTACGTATTTCTCGCACATAAATCCGATAGTTATATGTTTTTTATCACATTGCTCCGCTAGAATATCATAGCTCTCGTCATCTATCAACGCTTCAACATGTTCACGACTTGAGAAACAAGTGTAAAAACGCAATTTTACCTCGAGCACTACAATAGAAACCAACAGATTCCACAGAAACGATTCTGAGTGCATTTATTTGTTCTTTGTTGCTATCCATTGTTCAGCATCTCATTTTCTGCATACCAACCTTCAATGACCGTTGTAAAACTTTCTGTAAGTGAACCAGCAAAGAAAAAAACCCTGTCTCGCACATAACGCCGGTGGCAACGTACTTTCCATTACATTGCTCCGCTAGTATCATAGTTCTCGTCATCTTCAGCTGCCCAAACACCATCTCGGCCTGAGAAACTAGTAAACAATTGTAAAAACGGAATTTTACCTCGAGTACGGCGATCAAATCCTTGGCTTGTCGCTGATTGTTATTGGTGAAAAAAGCGTAGGCAGTGCCGGCTTGTTGACACCTCCCCGTCCTGCCGATCCGATGGACGTAATCCTCGCTGGAATTCGGATAGTCGAAGTTGATGACGTATTTGACGTCTTCCACGTCCAATCCTCTGGCTGCTACGTCGGTGGCCACCAAGATGGACGACTTGCCCGATCGGAATTCGTTCAGCACGTAGTCGCGCTCCGGTTGGGATTTGTCGCCGTGGATCGAGATGGCGGCGAAGCCTTCGCGTTTCACCACTTTCGTGATGTCGTCCACCTGAGAAAAAATTGTTCAATCCATATTCTTTTTGTGACGGCAGAAGAGAAAAGTTCAACATTTTATCTCTGCTGGTTGTAATCCTGGAAGCACATCAGCGTCCTAGAAGTGGTTCAAATTGCACTATAAGTTTCGACTTCTGGGAAGTCAAAGTCACAATATTAAAATTTTACAATTTTCAATAAATATTTTTTTTATATACAAAAAATACAAATTTTACAAAAATAAATACGAAATTATGATTTTCCACCTAAAAAAATCGCCCACCTGAAAAAACGGTCACCAAATTTCGAAAAACGTTGTTTGCAAACAAAAATTGACAGGAATGGGTCATTTAAATATTCTAACATACTTATGTAACAACCGGTATCTTTGTTGCACATGCAATCACACTGATGGTCCTTTATGTTTTTTACGTGACTTTCAATACTTTGTTCAGGACGGTAGGACAAGAGCGGATCAATTTATACATAAAAGTAAATTTGTTAGATCTTTGGTTGAAACAAATGACAAACACGGAGCTTACAGAATCACAATTATTACTTTTATTGTACTTCAATAATCGAATAATTTACGGAAATGTCGAAATGCATAGTGAACCAAATCAGATAATAGAGATTTGAATGGAAATACTCGCATTTCTTTATATTTTTGCACAACTCCAACACCAAGTTAATAAGATTTGTATTATCTCAGCTCTAACATGTGCTAATCATCGAAAAATTTGGTTGGTTTTTGTCAGGAAGTATACCTTTTAACTTAAAAAATGTGTGAGAATAATATTTTTTCATGAAGTGTTAAAAATTTACAGTAAAAAAAGTTTGGGAAATTTCTAACAAATAATGACAGCATATGGGTACCACATTTTGTGCAAAGCCGAAAAGATTTACCTTCTTCTTGGTCTCCACAAACACAATGATTTTGTTTTCCCTGGTGGAACCGATCTCTTTCAAGAGCTTGATGAGTTTCTCTTCCTTTTCAGATTCGTCGCAAACTTCTATGATTTGCTTGATGTTGTGATTAGCAGAAAGCGACAGACCTCCCACATTAACCTAAGAAAACGACAAAATGAAATTGTACATTTTTTATAAGATGATGGAATAGTTCGATTTATTAATTCTATTTGAATTTGAGTAGGAACTGAAAACACACCATGAAAAACTTATATAAAACTCTCTATAAAAATCACAACTACATGATTAGTTTTAAAGAGAGAAACGAAAAATTATGAGAGATAAGTAGAACCAAATCGATGTTTCAGGCAATCCTGTAAAACTTGATGAGATTTCCACGAAATTAACGGATCAACTTGAAAGGGTTCATAGCCGTGTGATTAAGAATCTCATCGTTTGTAAAGTTTTTACATTTGCTATGGATTTCCATCAAATAACGGCAGAGTCAATTGAAAAAAATCCAGTATTAAAGGCCAAATGCTACCTAAAACTCTTATACAATAAATAACTATTTTATCTAGATATATATAGTCTTCTCAGAGTCAATTAGTGCAGCTGCAGCAAAAATATTTCGCCGCGGTTCGTCGGTCCGTTTGAAGTTCAAACAATCAGAAAAAATAATGTTCTCTATCTCTGAGTATGCACAGTTATAAACTGGTTAAATGAATAAAACAACATATTTTGAGTATATATAAAGAAATCAGGTTCAGAAAACATTTTCATTTCATTTTCACGCACATTTTAACAATTCAATGTATCATACTCACCCATCTATATTTATTTTTGTTGAAGAACTTTTGAATGTACAAATAGAAAAATACGTAAAATGTGATAATATTAGAATTACACATATGTCTAGAAATTTAGGCAAGAAAAAACAAAAGTTTATGGAGGAACAAATAAAGAAATGTAGGAACAAGAAAATTTCAAAATTAGATTATGTGAAAATTGTATCATATTATCATTTTAATAAGTAGGAATAAGGCGGTGTTAGTACATATTGTTATGTAAATTGATTGATCAATTATTTAACTTTCAAACAAAATTAAATGGTATATGTTGTTATTTCTCTGTGTATAGTTACAGTTACATCTTGTGATTGCAATAGACTTGAAATTATAATAACGTACCTAATTAGTCCACCGTTAAACCCTTCGGACCGAAATAGGTAAATTTAAAACAGGTACATTTTGTGATTGGGGCCGAATAGGGTTGTTTTTATGCACGTTACCTGCATCCTCGGGCAGAAATGCCGCCCCATGAAGAAGTATTATCGACTGTTGTATAATTGAAATTACAAATAGTGAACAAAACATACATATCATTAGATATCTCAAAATAACAGCACTCATATTATAGTGAACAAGGAGAAAAAAAAAAGGACATACCTGTACATAATCGACCAAGAATTCTTCTGCCAAAGCCTGCACCTGCTTGGGCCACGTGGCCGACCACATGAGCACCTGCCTGTCGGGCCTGATCTGCTGGATGATCTTCCTGATTTGGGGCTCGAAGCCCATATCCAACATCCTGTCGGCCTCGTCGAGCACTAAGTACGTGCATTTCGCGAGGTTGGTGGTGCCCTTCTCCAAGAAATCGATCAGACGTCCCGGAGTGGCGATCACTATTTCCACTCCCCTTTCCAAGTCTCTCGCTTGCGGTCCCTGAAGAACGATTTATTAGGGTTTCATTTGAAATCGGAAAATATCCGAGGCGGATCTCATCAACATCTAGGTTTTGACCAATGATGTGTGGATTAGGGTAGTGAATAGTCCAAGAACCGGTCGCAAATTTCGATCGTCATCTATTATAGCCGTGGTAATAGAGAGAACCGTATCTGCAAAAACACTGTCTGGAGTAAACTGCGCATAACTTTGAAACTCTATATTTCTCAAAAATTCTTAGCACATTCTGTGATTTTGGTATGTATCAAGTTTTTTGATGACGATGAATGAATCGAGATCATATAAATGCAAAAAATATAGTTTAAAAGCATCCAAAATGCACTAACACTTATATAAGCTGAATCAAGAGAAAAAATAAAGAAACATATTTTAATCATGAACAAGGTATCTAACATTATACAGAACATCTAGAATAATTATGAAAGAAAAATATTATAAACCTCGCTATAAACAAATTACTTTTTCTCACTAGAAATTTGTAATAAGGTCTGTTGCTGACTCGAACACCGGTTGATTTATAATATCGATATGTCAAACTAGTAGATACGGTGTTATAAGTAAGGAATTTGTGATACGATCCTTTAAGCTAAAAAGGGATCGTATTATCAACTCCTATGATTAGCTTATAACGTGGTAAATAACCATATACTGCTTTTTTCACCTACAAAATGTCTGTTACGGTAATCTAATATACAACTACCTCCTCATGACGTAATTTTAGAAAAAACGTAAGTGTATTTTCAGGCATTTCTGATACAGACACGGCAATTTAAGCTACATAAATAGATTTCTCATCCTCGATTCTATTGGGCTGACATCCAACCCCAAAATCATGAAATATGCAGATACGGCCCTTTTCGTTACGACGGCAATATAGGCATCTATATTCATTCATTCATAAACTGTTTTACACTTTTTTGATGTTAGAGAGAGAGAGAGCAACAATCTTTGTTGGGGGTTTACCCAAAGGCTACCGACCGGAGTCATTCAGCATATTCACAATTTTATACACTATGATTTCCAAATATCATGATAAATCTAATAGAATATAGAGAGGAAAAAAAAACAATTCATACAGATAATTACAAAATATTAGTCTTCCTGTTGCAGCTGGATTAATCCTTGATAGATGGTGGTTTCTGGATATTTATGTTTTCGTCGGAAGTTTACTGGGGTGGAAATGATTTGTGGTGTAATGATCGGGATGTTGTTGGTAGTTTTTGCAAATGTCTTGCTGAGTCGGTGGAAACGCTGAAGTATTGGTTCCACTTTCGTTTTCCTACAGGTGCTGAATAAAATGAATCCATATTCGATGAGGGGTCGGCATATGGTCTTGTAAATCAAGGTACCTGTCCTGGCGTTCATACCTTTATTTTGACAGGTCAATCCACGAAAATGTTTAGCTCTGGCGATTACTTTCTTCTTTGTTGAATGAAGGTGTTTTTTGAAGTTCAATTTGTCATCAAAGACAACCCCTGATTAACGGGCTTCTGGAATCGGGTTTATGGTTTCATTAAGGATGGTGATAGTTGGCGAATTGTTCACAATTTTGTGGTTGAATATAATTAAAATATTATACAGGAAGGGAGCTACAGGTGAGCCCTGTGGTACTTCCTGTGATATACTAAAGGGGTCTGAGGATACGAAGTTAATTTTAATTGTTCTGCCTATTTTCAAAGATGGTCTTTTATTTTTTTGATGTCATTTTATCCAAAATTATTGTTAAACTGGGCATGTAACCCAAAAGTTGTGAGTTCCGACACTCACGCGGGGCGGTGGAGTTTTTTCATTTTCCGTTGTTACTCGAAATTCGGGCTTTCCATCATCTTCATATTCTTCATTATTATATGATGTATCTTTTCGGTCGAGTAACCGACAAAAATTATCGTTCACTTCCTATGAAAAAACAAAATGACGGCTCCAAAATGGCAGACGAGTTTTGAAATTATGATCCGATTCTACTCAAAACTGGTATCTGGGGGTTTTCGGGGTCGGAGATCATGATTCTTTCGTCAAAATTTCAAAATTCAAGATGGCGGAACCAATATGGCGTATGAGTTTTGTATTTATAATCCGAATCTATTAAAAATGTGTACCTGGGGATTTTCGGTATCGGAGATTTTGATTATTTCGTCAAAATTCGAAAATTCAAGATGGCGGATAAAATATGGCGAACGAATTCTGTAATTATGATCCGATTCTATTCAAAATTGGTATCTGGGGGTTTTCAAGGTCATAGATAATTGATTCTTTAATCGAAATTGATAAATTCAAGATGGCTTACGAGTTTTGTAACTATGATCCGAATCTATTCAAAATTTGTATTTGGGGGTTTTCAGGATCGGAGATTATGATTCATTCGTCTAAATCGGAAAATTCAGGATGGCGGATCCAGTATGGTGAACGAGCTTTGTAATTATATGATCTGATTCTATTCAAAATTGGTATCTGAGAGTTAACAAGGTCGATGATTATGATTCTTTCATCAAAATTGGGAACAAACAAAAAATATGAGAACACTAAAAACACGCCTTTTTCTCTTATAGACAGCCAAACTAAAAATATAATAAATTAATAAAAGTGTGTTGATAAATACACAACAGACAATGTAGTGATTATGGAGAAAGTAATATTTTCCATGTTGTGTATTCATCAACACACTTTTATTATTTAATTTTCTACTTCTTTTTAGTTTTGCTATCTATAAAAGGGTGTTTCTTTAGTTTTTTGAAAATGACTTCCGAGATAATTTCTCTTACCTTCGGCGACCCCCCGAAAATACAAGTATTCCTGATCATCGTCGACTGCCCGAAATCGTGCGCCACCTTCTGTATCTGCTGCGCCAATTCCCTGGTTGGAGCAAGGATGAGCGCGATGGGGCCCTCGCCTCGTTGCGGCCTCTGCTGGTGGTTGATGTGCACCGTGGCCGGGATCATGTAGGCCAGGGTCTTCCCCGAGCCGGTCTGCGCGATGCCGACCAGGTCTCGGCCGGACAACACCACAGGCCAACCTGACGAATGATAGGAATGTGAATACAGGGTGTCCGGAAATTATGCGTAAGAAATCAAGGGGTTGATTCTGCATGAGAAAACAAGACAGGTGGAAAAATAAAGTGAAATTTGGAACTTTTTCGTGAAATATCTCGACAACTAGTGCTTTGTTAAAATTTTCATTATGAAATTCGTGTTTTTCAGAAGAAAATACATAGGTAACAAAAAAAACTGTTTGAAAAGAAAGCCATAGCATGATAATACATAGTGCAAAATTACCAACATTTATGAAACGTTTCTACGCAAAATGCACAAGTTTTTTTAGCAACCTGCTTGAAAATGTGATTTTGCATTGAAAAAAATGTTTTCCTACAAGCGTGCGCAAAGTTGTACTTCTCTGCACACATTTGCGTGAGCAAAGTCACATTTTTTCGCACGCCGTGCGGATAAGGTGTTTCTAGCCTATTTTGCAGATTTACAAGAAAAAAAATCAGCCAAATACTTTATGGAGTAAAAGTACCTACCTACTCCATGATAACAAGTGTTCTTTAAGTTAAAGTGAACTTGAATTTGAGTAAATATTTCAAGCATACATCGTTTTTAAAGAAGCAAAATGTGGGATACCGACTGAAAGGCCAATCTTTTAACAGAAGTGAAGTTTCCAGATTGATGGAAGAGGCCTTCATCAAAACTTTCTAGAAGTCGTTGCTGGAGCGAGAGATATACCAAAAATGCACTCTATGACCAAGTGGGGTCATCTACTGTGATATACACTGCTCACCAACAGCCATGGAACCAACCCAATTTCCGGAAAATGATATTAGGAGTCAAAATAGGTTGAAAATCACTTCGGATTCGGAATCAGGACGCCCAATTGCCTACTTCTCATGGAAGCACCTCCGTATCTCACGTAATTATTGAGGTAGGGTTCAGAAATTTGCAGGAGGAAGGGAAAGTCCACAAATAAGGTCAATTACGTAAGATACGGGGGTGCTTCCGTGAAAAGTGCGACAAAATTTGAATAGTTATTGAATTGGGCGTCCTGTTTCCGAATCTCAAGGGAATTTCGACCTATATTCCGGATATTGGGGTGGTTGGTTTCATGGCTGTTGGCAAGCAGTGTATATCACTGAAGATGACCCCACTTGGTCATAGAGTGTATTTTTGGTATATCTCTCGCTCCCAGCAAATTTTAGGATCCTTACCCAACAATTAGATACAGGAGTGTTTCCATTAGAAAAGGGTCACACTGTATAGGTGGGTCAAAAATGCATTGTTTTCAAGATACAGTGTATTTAAGTTTTTTCAGAGCAAAGATAGCTCAATTCTGTTTTCACCATTGACTTTTTTGGGTCGAAAAACTGCCTAATTACTAATTAGGTCACAGAACCAAAATGGAAACGATATCTAGACAGATGACAAACATAGATTTCAATCAAGGGAATTGATCAGTAGGTCCTAGGAAAAAAATCGAACTTTCTTCAGAGCAAAGATAGCTCAATTCTTTTTTCACCATTGACTTTTTTGGGTCGAAAAACTGCCTATTAAGGTCACAGAAACAAAATGGAAACGATATCTAGACAAATGACAAACATAGATTTCAATCAAGGGAATAGATCAGTAGGTCCTAGGAAAAAAATCAAACTTTTTTCAGAGCAAAGATAGCTCAATTCTGTTTTCACCATTGACTTTTTTGGGTCGAAAAACTGCCTATTTAGGTCACAGAACCAAAATGGAAACGATATCTAGACAGATGACAAACATAGATTTCAATCAAGGGAATAGATCAGTAGGTCCTAGGAAAAAAATCGAACTTTTTTCAGAGCAAAGATAGCTCAATTCTGTTTTCACCATTGACTTTTTTGGGTCGAAAAACTGCCTAATTAGGTCACAGAACCAAAATGGAAACGATATCTAGACAGATGACAAACATAGATTTCAATCAAGGGAATTGATCGGTAGGTCCTAGGAAAAAAAATCGAACTTTTTTCAGAGCAAAGATAGCTCAATTCTGTTTTCACCATTGACTTTTTTGGGTCGAAAAACTGCCTACGTAGGTCACAGAATCAAAATGAAAACGATATCTAGACAGATGACAAACATTGATTTCAATCGAGGGAATAGATCAGTAGGTCCTAGGAAAAAAATCGAACTTTTTTCAGAGCAAAGATAGCTCAATTCTGTTTTCACCATTGACTTTTTTGGGTCGAAAAACTGCCTACTTAGGTCACAGAACCAAAATGAAAACGATATCTAGACAGATGACAAACATAGATTTCAATCAAGGGAATTGATCGGTAGGTCCAAGGACAAAAAATCGAACTTTTTTCATAGCAAAGATAGCTCAATTCTGTTTTCACCATTGACTTTTTTGGGTCGGAAAACTGCCTATTTAGGTCACAGAACCAAAATGGAAACGATATCTAGACAGATGACAAACATAGATTTCAATCGAGGGAATAGATCAGTAGGTCCTAGGAAAAAAATCGAACTTTTTTCAGAGCAAAGATAGCTCAATTCTGTTTTCACCATTGACTTTTTTGGGTCGAAAAACTGCCTATTTAGGTCACAGAACCAAAATGGAAACGATATCTAGACAGATGACAAACATAGATTTCAATCGAGGGAATAGATCAGTAGGTCCTAGGAAAAAAATCGAACTTTTTTCAGAGCAAAGATAGCTCAATTCTGTTTTCACCATTGACTTTTTTGGGTCGAAAAACTGCCTAATTAGGTCACAGAACCAAAATGGAAACGATATCTAGACAGATGACAAACATAGATTTCAATCGAGGGAATAGATCAGTAGGTCCTAGGAAAAAAATCGAACTTTTTTCAGAGCAAAGATAGCTCAATTCTGTTTTCACCATTGACTTTTTTGGGTCGAAAAACTGCCTATTTAGGTCACAGAACCAAAATGGAAACGATATCTAGACAGATGACAAACATAGATTTCAATCGAGGGAATAGATCAGTAGGTCCTAGGAAAAAAATCGAACTTTTTTCAGAGCAAAGATAGCTCAATTCTGTTTTCACCATTGACTTTTTTGGGTCGAAAAACTGCCTAATTAGGTCACAGAACCAAAATGGAAACGATATCTAGACAGATGACAAACATAGATTTCAATCGAGGGAATAGATCAGTAGGTCCTAGGAAAAAAATCGAACTTTTTTCAGAGCAAAGATAGCTCAATTCTGTTTTCAGCATTGACTTTTTTGGGTCGAAAAACTGCCTATTTAGGTCACAGAACCAAAATAGAAACGATATCTAGACAGCTGACAAACATAGATTTCAATCGAGGGAATAGATCAGTAGGTCCTAGGAAAAAAATCGAACTTTTTTCAGAGCAAAGATAGCTCAATTCTGTTTTCACCATTGACTTTTTTGGGTCGAAAAACTGCCTAATTAGGTCACAGAACCAAAATGGAAACGATATCTAGACAGATGACAAACATAGATTTCAATCGAGGGAATAGATCAGTAGGTCCTAGGAAAAAAATCGAACTTTTTTCAGAGCAAAGATAGCTCAATTCTGTTTTCACCATTGACTTTTTTGGGTCGAAAAACTGCCTAATTAGGTCACAGAACCAAAATGGAAACGATATCTAGACAGATGACAAACATAGATTTCAATCAAGGGAATTGATCGGTAGGTCCTAGGAAAAAAATCGAACTTTTTTCAGAGCAAAGATAGCTCAATTCTGTTTTCACCATTGACTTTTTTGGGTCGAAAAACTGCCTAATTAGGTCACAGAACCAAAATGGAAACGATATCTAGACAGATGACAAACATAGATTTCAATCAAGGGAATAGATCAGTAGATCCTAGGAAAAAAATCGAACTTTTTTCAGAGCAAAGATATCCCAATTCTGTTTACACCATTGACTTTTTTGGGTCGAAAAACTGCCTATTTAGGTCACAGAACCAAAATAGAAACGATATCTAGACAGATGACAAACATAGATTTCAATCGAGGGAATTGATCGGTAGGTCCTAGGAAAAAAATCGAACTTTTTTCAGAGCAAAGATAGCTCAATTCTGTTTTCACCATTGACTTTTTTGGGTCGAAAAACTGCCTATTTAGGTCACAGAACCAAAATAGAAACGATATCTAGACAGATGACAAACATAGATTTCAATCAAGGGAATAGATCAGTAGGTCCTAGGAAAAAAATCGAACTTTTTTCAGAGCAAAGATAGCTCAATTCTGTTTTCACCATTGACTTTTTTGGGTCGAAAAACTGCCTAATTAGGTCACAGAACCAAAATGAAAACGATATCTAGACAGATGACAAACATAGATTTCAATCAAGGGAATAGATCAGTAGGTCCTAGGAAAAAAATCGAACTTTTTTCAGAGCAAAGATATCCCAATTCTGTTTACACCATTGACTTTTTTGGGTCGAAAAACTGCCTATTTAGGTCACAGAACCAAAATAGAAACGATATCTAGACAGATGACAAACATAGATTTCAATCAAGGGAATTGATCAGTAGGTCCTAGGAAAAAAATCGAACTTTTTCCAGAGCAAAGATAGCTCAATTCTTTTTTCACCATTGACTTTTTTTGGTCGAAAAACTGCCTATTAAGGTCACAGAACCAAAATGGAAACGATATCTAGACAGATGACAAACATAGATTTCAATCAAGGGAATTGATCGGTAGGTCTTAGGAAAAAAATCGAACTTTTTTCAGAGCAAAGATAGCTCAATTCTGTTTTCACCATTGACTTTTTTGGGTCGAAAAACTGCCTAATTAGGTCACAGAACCAAAATGAAAACGATATCTAGACAGATGACAAACATAGATTTCAATCAAGGGAATAGATCAGTAGGTCCTAGGAAAAAAATCGAACTTTTTTCAGAGCAAAGATATCCCAATTCTGTTTACACCATTGACTTTTTTGGGTCGAAAAACTGCCTATTTAGGTCACAGAACCAAAATAGAAACGATATCTAGACAGATGACAAACATAGATTTCAATCGAGGGAATTGATCGGTAGGTCCTAGGAAAAAAATCGAACTTTTTTCAGAGCAAAGATAGCTCAATTCTGTTTTCACCATTGACTTTTTTGGGTCGAAAAACTGCCTATTTAGGTCACAGAACCAAAATAGAAACGATATCTAGACAGATGACAAACATAGATTTCAATCAAGGGAATAGATCAGTAGGTCCTAGGAAAAAAATCGAACTTTTTTCAGAGCAAAGATAGCTCAATTCTGTTTTCACCATTGACTTTTTTGGGTCGAAAAACTGCCTAATTAGGTCACAGAACCAAAATGGAAACGATATCTAGACAGATGACAAACATAGATTTCAATCAAGGGAATAGATCAGTAGGTCCTAGGAAAAAAAATCGAACTTTTTTCAGAGCAAAGATAGCTCAATTCTGTTTTCACCATTGACTTTTTTGGGTCGAAAAACTGCCTAATTAGGTCACAGAACCAAAATGAAAACGATATCTAGACAGATGACAAACATAGATTTCAATCAAGGGAATAGATCAGTAGGTCCTAGGAAAAAAATCGAACTTTTTTCAGAGCAAAGATATCCCAATTCTGTTTACACCATTGACTTTTTTGGGTCGAAAAACTGCCTATTTAGGTCACAGAACCAAAATAGAAACGATATCTAGACAGATGACAAACATAGATTTCAATCGAGGGAATTGATCGGTAGGTCCTAGGAAAAAAATCGAACTTTTTTCAGAGCAAAGATAGCTCAATTCTGTTTTCACCATTGACTTTTTTGGGTCGAAAAACTGCCTATTTAGGTCACAGAACCAAAATAGAAACGATATCTAGACAGATGACAAACATAGATTTCAATCAAGGGAATTGATCGGTAGGTCTTAGGAAAAAAATCGAACCTTTTTCAGAGCAAAGATAGCCCAATTCTGTTTTCACCATTGACTTTTTTGGGTCGAAAAACTGCCTATTTAGGTCACAGAACCAAAATGGAAACGATATCTAGACAGATGACAAACATAGATTTCAATCGAGGGAATTGATCGGTAGGTCCTAGGAAAAAAATCGAACTTTTTTCAGAGCAAAGATAGCTCAATTCTGTTTTCACCATTGACTTTTTTGGGTCGAAAAACTGCCTATTTAGGTCACAGAACCAAAATGGAAACGATATCTAGACAGATGACAAACATAGATTTCAATCAAGGGAATTGATCGGTAGGTCCTAGGAAAAAAATCGAACTTTTTTCAGAGCAAAGATAGCTCAATTCTGATTTCACCATTGACTTTTTTGGGTCGAAAAACTGACTAATTAAGTGACCTATTCCCTTGATTGAAATCTATGTTTGTCATCTGTCAAAAAAGCACTGACCAGCCCAAAAATGGTGACGACTATGGTTTTGATCATGCCCTCTTCCATAAATCTGGAAACTTCACTTCTGAAAAAAGATTGACCTTTTGGTCAGTATCCCACATTTTGCTTCTTTAAAAACAATGTTTGCTTGGAGGTTCGCTTGAAATATTGACTCAAATTCAAGTTCACTTTATTTTTAAGAGCAATTCTTATGATGGAGTAGGTAGGTACTTTTATTCTATAAAGTATTTGGCTGATTTTTTTTGTGGTAAATCTGCAATTGTGCACAAATGTTTCATAAATTTTAGTAATTTTGCACTATTATCATGCCATGGGTTTCTTTTCAATCAGTTTTTTTTTGTTACCTATGTATTTTTTTCTGAAAAACATGAATTTTATAATGAAAATTTGAACAAAGCACTAGTTACCGAGATATTTCACGAAAAAGTTCCAAATTTCACTTTCTTTTTCCGGCTGTCTTGGTTATGCATTCACTACTATCTGCCCTTCCATTTTCATCATTCCACACTATCATAATGTTCTTCAATGACACAATTTATATGTGAAAATCAACGACAAACATGATTTTTTGCGATTTTTTCATATTTCATGAACTATCATACCAGCTGACGGCCATTTAATTGACAAAGACATACACTACATATCAAATATGCAAGAAGTCACTTTCATCGTCGGTAAATACGTGTCTTTGATAATTGAAAAATTCAATGGTCATCAGCTGGTTCAATTGTTCACTAAATATGAAAAACTCGCCAAAAAAATCATATTCCTTGTTGAATTTCATGAATGAGATGTGTAATTGAAATACATCATGAGTATATAGTGTCCAATGACAAAATAAGAAGGCAAGTAGCTGTAAATGCGTGTCCAAGACATGCAAATAAAGGAGGTGAAATATTGAATATTTAGTTGTTTGTTCATTTTTATTATGAACTTCCTGTTATTCAGATGAAAATATGTGAGTAAAAATTTAAAAAAAAAAACAACTTTTCATTCAAGTAAGTTATGAAGATGATTCAAACTCCCCAATTTTCAACTTTTTCATAACTCTAAAATGATATATAAATAATAGAAATGTATCATTTTAATGCACATTCTCTCAATTTCAACTGATTGTGCTGGAAAAATGAAATTTTTATGTCATATAAATCAATTAAAATTTGTTTTGATGTTTGTTTAGTTTACCAAACTCACATGAATGGATCTAATATCTACCTTTCAGAAAATGCTGGAAAAAGTATCATTCCATATTTCCATTTCAACTGAATTTTTTAAAGTTTAGTAAAACAATCAAGAAACATTGTAGATTCATCTGATTTCTTCCAACATTGATATAATATTCCATCCATAATTCAATCAGATAGGCAAAATGATTCATACTGCAGTGTGAAGTCAAAATTGTTTAGTTTCTTCCAAGCTCATTTTTCTGTCAAGAAAATTAAATCAGATATTGGTAAAAAATCCATCTATACAATACAATTCACTACCAAATAACTTGAAGCTGATTAATAGGATTGAAAAATTTAAAAGAGAATTCAAGAAACATCTACTCCTGTAATATTGACATCCTATCTCATTTTTATAGTTTTCTTGTACAAATACTATAGTTTTCAATTGGGTACCTAAAAGCTGAGTCAATTGAGAATCATTTTCAGCTGAACTTGAAAAAAAAAAAGATTCTTTTTGAGTGTGAGTCTTATTTTACTGTCTTTATTTTATTTTGTCAAATATATTTATGTATTCACTATGTTCCCTGCTATAAACAAATGTTGTTTCTTGGGAATAATAAAGTTGATTGATTGATTGATAAGAAGGAGCTATGTGCCCATTATCTACATGTCAGGAATTGGAATAAGGGGTTATGTATGCATGAATCATATGTATATCAAACTGTGGCTATTTTTATGACTTGATTGATTTAGCATTTTTGGATTTTTTAGATTTTTATAGTTGTTTTAGTCATCTTATATTATTTTATTATTGTTGTTTGTAATCAACTTCCTCATACCAGAATTTTATTTCTGACTGGAAGCTAGTTTTTCAATAAACAATAAACAATTATTATCAACTTTCCTTTCCTGGGGTAATAAAATTTGACATGAATGATGACATGAAAAAAAAATATTTTTTTTCTGTTCATTAAGAATTCAAAATTTTACCTTGTGATTGAATGGCAGTTGGCTCATTGAACCCCTCTTTGTGAAGAATCTGGGTGATGTAGTCAGGAAAGCTGCCCTCCTCAAAACAGTAGTTTGGTTGAGGAATGTCATTTCCTCTGACAATGATGTCATTGACTTCCCTGTACTGCTCAATGTCTTTTTGTGTTCTGTTTTTAGCATTGATGTGGGGTTCATAGAAGTTCTTCAGGAAGGGTTGGAGATCAGCCTCTGTCCATTCGGGAGGAGTCAGCTGGATTTCATCTTGAGACTGCATTTTCTTGTTGTACTGTGGTTTGGGACCACCAAAATCTTGAACTGGGGCCATCTGATGTTGGGGGGGACCACACCAGTAGTTGGACTGTTTGTTGTATTGTTGGTCACCCCGATCAGGCCTTGACCTAATCATATTTTCATTGTTTCAGATAAACCAATAAGGATTTCAGGTAAAATGAGAATAATATTTAGGTCAAAAGACATGAAAACATTCAATATTTTGATGCTATCTGAATGGGAAATACTGCTTCTGTACCTAGGTATGTAAATTCAAATAAAATGTGCATAAGGCAATTCAGACTCTTTAATGTGTGAAATATTTCAATAGATCAAGTTTATCTCAATAGATTCAATGTATTGACTACACTACAAAAAAGTAATGTCAACTGAACTTATAATTAAACAAACAACTGTTTGAATACAAGGAGATATTATAATAGATATAATAGATAATAAAAATCCAGTTTCACCAAAGTACCCAAGTACCTATTCCTGCCTACCCACTTTGGAAACAGAACTGAGTAATAACATATTGGTACCTATTGGCAGGAGCTCCTTTACTTTGTTGTTTCAATACATTAAACATTCAATAATTCAGTTCAAATGATGGGATTTCATGTATTTATCTATTTATTCGACCATCTATAAAAAATTGAAATATGGCGGACCAGCCGACTGGCCGTGCCGTGTCCAGACCATGGAAGTATTTCCTAATTTTCCATGAGGAAAATCACGAAACCTAAGTACAACTAGAAACGCTATGATATCCTTGAATTCTGTAGAAATCTTGACATATACTTACATCGAATTATTGTGAAAAACGTTGTTGTACTGCATGGTTGCAGTGAGAATGTATCAGCTAAAACGCTAATGGCTTCCTAATACCACGAAAAATCTGCAAAGAAAAATTGCCGAATATGATGAAAATTTACATGCAAAACATACGACAATCTTTGCAAGAGTTCTCTTCAACCTTAAAAAATCTTGCAGGAAATGAATTTCTACATGAAAATGACAAGAAAAATGGAAAATTTCTAATTTCTTCAGAGAACCGTAAAAACCTCACCTTGCTCCAACCAGGATCGGCCAACAAACGATTTTCTTAGTTGCGCAGATCACTAGTGCGCAGCTCAACCAGCTCTTCGCGCAAAATTTTGGCGCAGATTTGGCCAGCTGACACCACACATTGATTTGACCTGATTTCTGATTTATTAATTATTAGCCCTCTAGACTAGGTACAAAAGTAATGAAATAATAGTCTAGAAACAGCTAGATTCTATAAAAAATAGCCTCAAAAAATATCAGAGTAATACTCAGTTATATTATCGTTTTCATGAATTGAGAAATCGCTCAAATTTTACCAGTTTAATACTGAAATTGAGAAGTCGGAAAAAGGTGAGTAGTTCAATATTTATTAGTTCTATCGTTCTATCAGTTCTAGTAGTAAAGTTTCTTTATATATAAAAAAAGAAGAGGAATCAATAATGACAATGACGTTGACGTTCGATTCCTATAATTTGGTAAAATGTCAAATTGAAAGAAAACATTACTATTTTCAAACATTGCAAACAGGAAAAGTTAATTTTATTTGGTATGAACCGTAATAAAACATCAATTTATGTTGAAATTTTTCTATTTTGAATACTAAATAACAAACCTGATCATGAACACCTTCTGAAAACAGGTCAAATCTCGGCCATGGTGATGGAATCCAAAACGACAAGCAAAACAAGTTGCTTGAAAGCACTACTTCTCCGTGCTTGGCGAGAAAGATGGACCGATCTGCAATGGGGCATTAATATCAAAACTGTTCTACCTCGGGGCGTCAGTGGAGATGTCTACAACTTGGCAGATTGCATCTTGCAACAAGCAGTTGTAGGAGCAGGGGCAAATCAACTGGTACTTAGTTATTTGAGACATTCTTTGAGTGCCCAACTGGTATCACATGCAGCAGTATTACAAAGACTCAGTAAATATAGCCAGCTCAGTAAAGTTCATTGTGTTCTCAGTTTACTGGAGTTCTTGGAAGGTATGCTTCCTGGTGTGACAGTAGGCTTTGGTAAACCAGAAGAGACTGTCTTAGCTACTGCTGTACTGTCTGTAGCATCATGGCTGCTTAGTATTCTTCAGCAATGCAAGGCAACACAGACTATTGTACAAAAAGCTACAGAGCTGTTGAAAATCTTGCTTACTGATGAATTTTATGTGTCTATGATGTGTCTTGCTAGATATAATGACCCTGAATTGTATACAGAGACCAATAGGAAATGCTTGGAGCTTGAACCAAGCCTCACAGAAGCTGATGAAGTGCTGAAATATGTGAGAAAGCTATCAAACATAGATGTACACATGCTACAACTACCTGTTGATAGTGAAAAATGGCCTGGCTCCCTTATACAGTGTTGGCTTGAGGTGAAATTAACTGGGGACCCTGGAACCCCCACACCAATACTGTGCCAACAACTGCAAATTTTCCAAAAACTCAAAGGATTTGATGATGCTAGGTTATATGCAGAACTAATGCGTGGCAGTCTCTTATCCCTCTACAATGTCAGTCAGACTTCACATGAGAGCCAGTGGGGGGCATTTGCCTTCCTGAAAGTGCCCCACATTCTGCTGGAATTGCCTGGAAAGTCTGATCCTACCAGTGTGGTCACTGCAGTGGATCTGATGCTGCAGCACAGCCCTCTATTGGATGCCATGGATGCAAACAGCACCTGTTCAAGTCTAAAGTGTCTTCTGGATGAATTGGTGAAAATGAGGCTGCTGAGTGAGGCACAGATGAAGATGCTCCTGGAAAAAAGAAAGGCTCCACCATCCTTGAAGATGGACACAGGACCTGGTAGCAATGGAATGCCTACTTATTGGCATATATGTGCAGAATCTACACTTGCTGGTATACTCAAAACATTGTCAACTGATTATCACAAAATTCAGGTAAAAATATTAAACTTTTCAGTGGTGGTTTTGAACATAAACATTAATTTTGAAGGATGCACTTTTGGGTATGCTGCATCAAGTCTTGACTGGCAAAAGTTTTGAGCTGATCTTAGCTGTAGCTACTGTCCAAGGACAGTTGAAGACCCTGGTCAATAGATTGATACGTTTCAATGAATGCTCCAAGTCTGGAGGGGACAAGGCTAGGTCTCAGCTGTTTGACATAACTTTCCTGATGCTGGTAGCCATTGTTCAGAATTATGGGGCTTCATTGGTGCTGGAGTCAGATGGGGACTCTCTGTTTGAGCAGTGGGTGAGGAACTGCATGGTAGAGAGGCAGAGACCCAAAGCTCCTGAGCAGTTGCTCAGATTAGGTATGATCAGATTATAAGACTTATAAGTAATTTATTCATATCTATATAAGTACCTCAAACAAGCTGATATCTAAGATATCTATATGTCAGAGAAAATAATGCTTACCCATTTCTAGTGGCATATAAATCAATGTTAGCTTGCTTCAAATTCCAGTCATTGAGTGAATAGAAGAAGCATGCAATCTGTGAGATTTATATATAATATTGCAAATAATATTAAATACAGAAATTTTCTCCTGATAAACTATATTAGTTAAATAGTTCCAAAAATTAACTTAATGATGCAAAATAAGACTAAGTTCCACACAGAAAATATCCAGCTGCTCTCCCCTGAACTTCATGTTATGTGAATGCAATAGATTTTTAGAAAATAATGAAGGCATTGATGATTGAAAAAATCAAGTCCATATATTCATAGTAATCTTTTTTATTTATAAATATAAAATAATATCTTCACATGTCAATTTTATGGTAGAGAGGTAGAGACCCAAAGCTCCTGAGCAGTTGCTCAGATTAGGTATGATCAGATTGTCAGACTTATAAGTAATTTATTCATATCTATATACCTCAAACAAGCTGTGATGAAGATATCTTGGAGAAAGTCCAAAAATGTTTTCTAAGATATCTATATATCAGAGAAAATGATGCTTATCCATATCTAGTGGCATATAAATCAATGTTAGCTAGCTTCAAATTCCAGTCATTGAGTGAATAGAAGAAGCATGCAATCTGTGATATTTATGCATATATCATATTGCAAATAATACTAAATACAGAAATTGTCTCCTGATATTAGTGGAATAGTTCTAAAAATCAACTTAAGAATGCAAAATAAGACTAAGTTCCACACAGGAATATCTAGTTGCTCTCCCCTGAACTTCATTTTATGTGAATGCAATAGATTTTTAGAAAATAATGAATGCATTGATTTGTTCAACACCATATGATAAAAAAATCAGTCCATATATTCATAGTCTTTTTTATTTATGAATATAAAATAATATTTTCACATGCCAATTTTGATATGTTATGTAGTTTGTGTATGTTATGTGATCTTATCTGCATCCATATACTAATTTTATCTAGCTCTCTGATACATTGTCACCTCCAATATTTGGTAAAAGACACTCCAAAATAAAGCCATAAAAATATATACTGCCCTATAGATATAGTACAGTTGATCTTTATAAAAACTTCAATATTTTAAGTTTGGATAATATGTATGAACTCCAAATATCCAACACATTCATTGAACCATTAACAGACAAAAATTCTCTAATCTGTCATTTATTTTACAGCATTTGATAGTTTATTTTCATACAATACATGTAATAGCAAGATGTTATTCTTACCCAATGCATCTATGGAAGCCTATAAAAAATCCATTTGCTTCAAAGATGTTCAAATATATAATCAACTGCCTGTTGAAATCAAAGAATGGAACAGCAAATTATTCAATAAAAAACTGAATAATACCTTATGAGTAAATAGACTTAATGCTTGGTTAAGCTTTGAATTGATCTGGCAACATTTGTAATCTTTTTAAGAACTCTCATAAAAACGCATAATAATGATAAGTAGTGACAATTAATTCTGTGATATAATTGAGCTATTTTTGATACTACACTGTCACTAATGTACCTGACAAAATGTACTCTGTATATATTTTCAGCTATACTTGTTCTTTTTGCATGACATGTTTTTTTCAGAGTGAGGACCTTTATGAAAATGTAATATTCCATGGTTCAATCATAGAAATCATATTATATACCGGGTGGCTACGGAAGTATTGCCTACGGAATATCTCAGTTATTGTATGAAGTAGCTTTGTGAAATTTGGAGCGTCGATATAATGACATAAGAGCTAGAATTTGAGCATATTGACATGTCGAAGTTAACTTCCGGTCTGACCGGAAGTAACATCAACTTTCTTATTTTGTATTTTTTTTTCTTTTCGCGTTATTCAGCATTCAATTCCCTTTCTAATGATATATCACAAGTTGGTATCTAACCAGAAACTAGATCAGAAAAAAATTATTATTGAAATTCACCGAGTAGGCTGTGGAAGCAAAATGAAAGCCAAAAATTGAAAAGTTGGCTATGGAAACCATACGTCACTTGATAACAGTTCTACTACTGTGATATTTCATTTCCATTCGTCGGAGTTATAAAAAGCCGCCGAAAAAACAGCTGAGATGCTGTAGATATATGTTTATAACATTGTCTGCTAAATACGAGGGGGAAACAACTCTTTAAATAGGTGTACACCATGGATCTTTAAGTACTTTGAGTATACTTTTCAATACATTAAGTACATATTCAATAAGCTTTTTAGTCTCGTTTTAAGTACTTCAGTATTTAAGTACCTGTTAACAGTACCTTGAGTACCAGTTTTAAGTATTTTAAGAACTTTTTGATTGCCAGATATTTAAATATGGTGTACACATTTTGGCTAGTTGTTTATTCCCCCTCGGCTAAATAAGGAGACAAGATCTAGTGAGCTGTAGTATCCAGCTTTATAAGTTGACAATTCATTTAGGAACCCCCTGTATATTATACAGGGTGGTCCGTTAAAATGACCCAGTCAAATTGTTATTGGATTCGGAAGGTGATCCCGCCATGATAGACTCCCTCCTGGAGCAATTCAACTCCGGCGAGTCGGACTTCAAACCTGGCGTCAAATGGCAGGACGTGCTCTTCAACGTGGCTGGCGTGATGCAGGAAGTCCTCGTGGCGTGGGAGCAGGGCGCTCTCCTGGCGCAGGACGTGAAACGCATCCTGGACGCGGTGCGGGGAAAAATGTGCTGTTTGCCGCTCGCCGCTGCCGCCTGGCTGTGCGCGTACATGCGTACTGCGCCTCAGGACACGCTCCTCAAGCCCGTTAATATGGTAGGAACTCGGCGGGCGCGCGTCGTAAAACTTACGACAAACATCTATATACGTATTAATAAACAATACGGATCATAACGGGTGCCAGGATGAAGCCAAACATATGAAACAAATGAATATCCATAAGGATTTGGTGGCATGATACGCATGCGCCATGCGCTATTATAGTAGTCATCAAAGACATGCGTTTCGGTGGACAATGACGTTTACTAGCCTTTCAATCAAAGCAGTATGTGTCTGATCGTTTCAAAACTTTTCCTTATGGATAGTCATTTGTCTTCAAAAATCGGCTTCATGTTTCGCTATGGAAACAGATAGAGATTATCCGTATTGATTATTAATACGTATACGGGGGGACATCGCGGGAATCAATGTTACCAGGTGGCGCTCGGTTTTCATCGTTCCATGTAAAAGCCACGTCAAAACTAGGGGAAAACAAACTCAATCCTCACTCAATCTAATTAGTGCCATTAGCTTGTGTACTGTGTATTGATAAGTTTTCAAATTTCTTGACATAAATTGTCAATATTCGATCGAAAACGCCTGTTGTAGATGTCCTTTGGCAGATATTTTTGCTCTATTTATATGGAAAAAGCCGACCAGTAGTGAAAGGAGAAGCAGTTCCCCGTGCTAATCATGTGATTTTGTGTGAGGCAGAAGACTTTAACAAAAGGCACATTTTTGCACTTTGTCTACAAACTTCAGCGATTAAATCTCCCCCACATGAAGTAAAATTGAAGTTGGGGTCCAGAGGAACTCCTGTAGAACAATGGATTTGTATTTGTTCCTGCAAAGCAGGACAATCTGGGTATTGTAAACATGTTGTAGCTGTTCTTCTAATGGCAATTTATTTGCTCGTCATAATTAGTTTGAATTGTTTGAACTATCTCCAATTCTTCACCTTTTCACTGTTCACTAAACTAATAAAAATGTAATAATGTAAAAAAATTAACCAACTCAACCATCATCACTACCAACAGTAGTGCCAACACTTTATGTCATTGACAAGTTTGACTACAGCAACAGCAAGCTGAATGCAATGTAGTCTATGCACTTCATCCATAGACAACAGTTTGTTTTCCCCCAGTTTGAAGTTGGTATTATGTAACCTAGATGTCGCCCACTTCGTGAATCTCGCGAATAGTCGGGACATTTTCGGAAGGCGAAATCCGCCATAAAACGTTGGTGAGACACAACATATACATCCAAATGATTTCCACTTGATTGAAATATACCTAAGACACTCCCAGGTACGTCCCCTACCCTACTTAAGCTATGATTGACGTTAGGGAGGAATTATTGATTATACCAGAGAAGGGTGGCCGATTAGAAGTACTTCTTTTCAAAATCAGGTAGATTAACAGAGAAAGACTCGAAATTGGCCTAACAATTGCCTCATTTTTGATGTGTTCATCTTTGACATGTGTTGTGTTACTTCTTCATGCTTCTTCTATTGCTATCAGCTTGTGATATGTGAGTTTCGAAATGTACTTGACACTGCTGTTCTGACGTTTTTTGTACATTAGAGTACGGACACTAGACAAGCAGTGACAATCAAACATAACCTCAAACGATTTTGAAAGAAATAAAATGTATTGCCAGACAAGGACAACATTATGTTTTTCGCTTAGATAAAGGATCTCCGCATCTTCCATCCTCCACAAGTCCTGGGAAGCGTACATCCATATATCTTTCTCTGTTTTTGGTTTTTGTATGAGAGTGCATAGCGTCTCCTCGAGTGGGTAAAAGGGTACGATAAATTGATTAGAAAATTATTTCTTCTTGAAATATTGAATGATAAGGCTGAAGGACCTCAATGGAGATCGATATCGATGACGTTTTTTGTTTGGACGTCTCTTGTAATACAAAAAACGTCAAAACAGCAGTGTCAAGTACATTCAGGGCCTCTAGTGATATGGAATTTGATTAATCTCAATCTTGATCTCTTAATAATTCCAAATCCGATCCTGGCTATTCACATTTAGGCACTACAGTAATCTTGCCACCCCACCTGTATTCTCAAAGACATTATTCTTAGGGTAATTAGGGGTGGTCGGACAACTGTCATTCATTCTTATCACCATCAAGCAGTTGAAGTTTGAAATGAAATGAACATATTATTATACATTTCGTCCCACCAACGTTTTATGGTAGACTTCGCCTTCCCAAAATGTCCCGACTAACTTTCCACACTTTTATCTATCAGTCGCGAGTATGGAGCTCTGAGCTTTTCGAGTTTTAAGGGCTCTTTGAACTGCAGACGTATCGTTGTTTGCACAGAAGTGTTTCTCATCATTTGATATTTGGAAGATTTCCGTCCTATGTGAATTTTACGACACGCGCCAGCTCAAGTAAGGCCGTAATTTTCTGGCAACAGATGATCTGAGTGGTTGGTATGGAGATTACTATTTCTGGTAAAACTGCACATATCATGGGATGGTTTTTTTTTTCGATTTTTTTTTTTGTACTTACGTATTTTTGTCTGAAAAACACGAATTTGATATTGAAAATGTGAACAAACCACTATTTATCGAGATATTTCAAGAAAAAGTTCGAAATTTCGCCTTCTTTTTCCCCCTGTGTTGGTTTATTGGACTCTTTATATACGAAAATATGATTTTTATGGCGAGTTTTTCATATTTAGTGAACAATCATACATGGCCATTTAATCAATAGTAAATGCAAATACGAGATGACAAATGTCAACAGATTGCTTTTGAATCACATTACACGCCGTTATTTTGAATGACTTCCTTCTTTTCACTAAATATGGATGAATCACAAGATAATCATATTTCTAGATGACTCATATAATAGAAAAAGATGTGTCATTGTAGTACATTGTGATATATAAATTGTCCAATGATGAAAATAGAAGGGCAAATTGTTCTAAATGCGATCCAAAAGAGAGGCGGAAAAGAAGGTGAAATTTGTAACTTTATAGTGAAATATCTTAATAAATAATGGTTTGTTCACATTTTCATTATCAAATTCGTGTTTTTCAGACAAAAACACATAAGTACCAAAACAAATTTTCGAAAAAAAAAACCATCGCGTGATAAGTGCAGTGTTACCCTATTTCTCAAAGGAGAAACATATAATGGGAATCGAAATTTTCCCCTGATTTTTCAGGTTCAACAATTGCTGGCTACTCCGATCACCGACGAAGACAGTCTCAGAGACAGGTGGCAGCTGACCCACGAAATAATCAGAAAAATGCAAAGAGATGTTCAATTGCCTTTACCTACGAAGAGTAGCCATCACCTGGTATCCAGGCAACCAGCTACAGAACAACTGAGCACCGCTTGGAAATGGGGTTAGGAAGCTTTCTCTTTAAATTACATATATCCAATATTTGACAGATATTCAATATCCTGCGGTATGAGCCAGAAAAGTACCTAGTTGTTTCTGTCAGATATACCTTCCAATTTTGTATTGAATGGGGGCATAATCACAAAACTCGTTCGCCATATGATCTTCCTCAACAAGTAAATACCCTGTACATACCTATTATTGAAATTTTGAATGATTTTCTGTAGCGCCCATGGATGTGACGTGACAGCAATGTCAGGGATGCCAGTAGACAAAACTAAAGTCTCTAGATCATTGAAAAAGAATGCATCTTTCCGTACCCTGTTAAGATGACTTTAACGTCAATAGGCCTTTTCATCTAGATATATATTTTTAAGACGCATGCGCTCGTTTTTAGATCCAACAATTCATTGGGTAATGCAAAGGTGAAGTCTCATTGGCTACAGTTCCAACACAAAATCCTGATTGGCCATTTCGAATATGGCGGGTATTATTGACGTTCTGTCAAATGTCAACAGTGTCACCAACCATGGGCATTCATCATTGAGAACAACAATAACAACATAGTATTCTTGTTTTTATATTCCTGGTGTGTATTAATTTTATTATAATAATTTAATTCCAAAAAGAGGAGTGTGGTACTGTGGTGTAAGTGTGTCAGTGAAAATGGCCGCCACTGTCGTTGGATGCGAGATGTAAACAGAGATAGTCATTTGTCATCTAAATGAAAAGGCCTATTTCCATCAAGGGACCCTAATGTCCCTAATTACAACAAACGACCTTCTACTTCCGAAATGCATTATTTTTCCTAATAATAAAATAAAAGATATACACCAGGCATACTCAGAGGGTGGCTGGACCATGAATCGGCCAGGACCCTTCACTGTCTCCTGGACACTGCCGGCGACAGATGGCTGGTCTCCGCAGTGATCCAGGAACTGCTCAAGCTGCGCTATAGAGACAGGCTGCAGCGCGGCGTCGACCTCGCCCTGGCGATCTTCCACGTGGACATAGCTGGCTGCACGCTCCAGCTGCTGTCGCACGTGCTGCCGCAGCTGCTGTACAACGACATACAGGCGGACAGTCTGATGGAGCCGCAGCTGCCTGCGCTGGCGTATCTGACGAGTTATTGTGTGTACACTGCCGTGGATTCGCTGAGAGAGGTATGGGGAGGTGGTCCTTTGTCTTTACCTTATTATCATCATTATTTTCATTATTACCATATCTCTCACATGCCTATGTCCTCAGCATCGAGATTTGTCGAACAACACCCTATCTATGAATTATTGGCATTCAATTACTCCACTGTGTCATTAGGAACCTAAATGAATTTTTGCAACTCTTCTCGCGCTGTTTTCGATTGTTCATGTAAATAATGAGCTTATGCGTTGTACAAAGTCGTTGAATTTCAGAGCTCATTTCAAACGTAACATCATGGCCGCCATTTGGCGATATTGGTCCTTCGAGCCGGATCAATATGTTCGTTGCTTTGGTGATGAGTGCACTGTATATTTATGATTGTTGATAAAAACTGATGAAATGATTAATGATTAATTCCCATGTTTCAACCACAAGTCGTCATGTTAACAATAAATCAAATGTTATTTTATATAGGGTAATTTTGTTAATATACAAAAAAACGTCAAAACAGCGGTGTCAAGTACATTTAGGAACTCTAGATCAAAATAAAAACTGTTCATCTTAGGACACTGACGGCGAACCACCTCTGGCGAAAATACCACGAATGATGGACATGGGGGAAGAACCGAAACCTCTGGACCAACTCCTCACGGCCCTGCGGCAGCTCCTCCACATGTTCGAGGGGGGCATTCAAGAGGGGGCCGTTACCCAGCAGACCTACTTCGCTTTCTACCTGATTAAGGCCTTGGTGGAGGTCAAGGTCAACTCGGCCAGCGCCGTTTTGGCCACCATCTCACCCGGTTTGATCTCGGATTTGTTGAAGACTATGACGGATTTGTTCAGTTATCCCCTTTTGTTGCACGTTCATGACGTTTTTACTAGTTCGGGGAGGAGTAATATGGCTAAAGATTTGTGTATTTTGAGGAATTACTACCTGAGGAACGCTCCTAGTGTTAGTAATTAAGATACTTTGTACTTGATTTTTTTTTAGATTCGATTTATTGTATATTTTGAATTAATTATCTAAATAATTTATTTATCTAATGAGTTTCATTTCAATATAGATAATGCATGGAGATGCAAAAGGGTCTAAGTGCCAAAAACATTTAAACTGGACCAGAATCATTTTCAAGGGCGCACTTGAATTTGTTCGAATTGAAAAACAATAAAAAATTATAGAATTTCAGTATTTCGAGCATTGACATTGTCTAGGAAAAAATAAAATTACAACTTGAGGGGCATACAGTTTTTATGAGGTGGTTCTGGAATTGAAAAATCAAGGTAGGTACTGGACCTTTACGATAGGGATCATTACTGCAGCTGCACACTCATTTTTTCGTACGGGAAAAAATTTAAAAAATTGCTACTTCAGTAGCGTACCTTTCAATTTTCCAAAGAAAAAAAGTTGGATTTTGTAAATTCTGTGGACACTAACCGGAAGAAAATTTAAATTGCGACTCCAGTGCTGTACCCATTTTTTTTTTAAGAAAAGGGAAATTCCGAATTTTCAGACCTACGTTCTTCGCCTTCTGTCTGATCAAGGCGTGTCAAGGCCATGGTGGGGATTTTTTTGCCCTTAAATTCATTTTTATATTCGATCATTGTACGAGTTTCATTTCATATTATTCGATATAATGCACGAAGATACCAAAAGGTCTAAGTGCCAAAAACATTACACCTAGACCAAAACCACTACTTCAATGGTGCAGGTACTCAAATTTTTATGAAGGGAAAAATGGATGAATTTCAGAATTTCAATAACATATATATATAAAATTAAAAAAGTGACAGAGAAATGTGAGTACCTATATAATTTATATCTTTGATACGTTTTTTCCATTATTAGCTGATTCATGGAGATGCAATAAAAGCGTATAAATTCCAAAAACATTTGAATTGCGCACCAAATAAACCACTACTTCAAAGACGTACTTTCAATTTTTTTATGGGAATAATAAAAAATGGTAGCGAATTTCAAATTTTCATTGACGTGAACATTTAAACTAGACAGAACCACTACTTCAAGGGCGAACTTGAGCTGTTTTCAAAGGAAAAACAAAAAAATATTGAAGAATTTCAAAATTTCATCTACATTTTGTCATGAAAAAAAAAATTGCGACTTCGGACGACTGTACTGAATAATTTCCTCTCTGAGAAAAGCGATAGATAATATAGTGTGACTATCTACTTAGCCCGGTATAATATGATTTATTTTTCGAATGAGTGTTTTTTCATTATTAGATGATGCATGGAGATTTCAAGTGCCAAAAACATTTGAACTGAATCAAAACAACTAGTTCAAGGGCGTACTCAAATTTGTTTTGAATGGAAAATAATCAAATGGTAGAATTTCATAAACTCCTCGTCTAGAAGACAAAGAAAATTGCAACTTCACAAGGGCACTCAATTTTGTATTAAATTTTTAAAAATCTAGAATATGAACCTAATTATTTCTTTCTGGCACTTTTAGTAAGACAGATACGCATCAGCTCGAGACACTCACACCATTATAATAAGCAAATGCGAAAATTAATGATTTCTCTCTGCTAATAAAGTGACGCATTACACAATGTACAAAATTAGCAACATTTGAAATTCAATACTCGCCCCGCGCCTTTTATACACGCATGCGCATCAATCGTTCTTCATTGTCTGTTCCTCTCCCACTCACGATGAATCTACCGAATCCGCGTGCGCAGACAATGCATCTCGTCATTTTCCTTTTATCATTGGATCCTTAGGTGCGTTCGGTTTAACAAAATCGGAGCCGAGCGAGCAGATGCAGATTTGGTGTCACGTGATCACCTAGCAGATAGAGCTAAAGATATTTAACGAACGCTCAAGGAGGTAGTAGATTGCGAGCGCCAGCTGAAGTAACAGAAAACAGAAACAATTCACTTAACCTTATTACTTTTAAAAACACGTCAGGGCAACAAAGTTCTTTTGAATGTTTGTTGTTATATTTTGATAATTACTAGGGAAGGAATGATTCTGTCCCATATGATCGGTCATTAACTGTGGATCCAGGGCAGTTGTGATCGCATTTATTACAGATATATAATTAATATGCTACCTACAGCAAATTCGTCGGTCATTCTGGCGATTCTGGGCAAGGAGGATTCTACAAAATTCAGTTTCGTGTTTCGTTTCCAGTTGATCGAGTCTTCAATTTTTCGACATAAAAGAGATATAATTTCAATAATATGTTGTTGACCTTGATTTGTTGACAATTGACAGCCGAATAACCGATCAAATCTGAATGATCTGCTCCTCAAGGCGGAGCAAACAGATTACATCTTTCAGCTCGCTCTGACAATTAACGAACACGGAGCAGATTAGACAGAGGAAGTATATCTGATTATTCTGATTTATCGAACGCTTTCTGAGCTAACAGATGGAATCGAGCTAACAGATATGTTATAACCGAACGCACCTATTGCAGTCGTGCAAGGTTCGTTTGCGTTTGACAGGAAACCTGTTCTGTTATTTATGAATCGGCTATTGAATACTAAAGTAGTCAATAAACTTCTGAGATGAACTCAATAACCTTCCATTCGAAAATTCGTGATGATCTACCAATCAAATATAAATGAAACTAGTGCTGAATCTCGATAAAATAGTGGAATCGTCTAGTAGTTGGGGTGAAACAGTTGTTGTTTTTGTTGTCAATCGAAATCAAAACATTTAAATGGAATCAAGTAGGTCATAAATGTGAACTTGCACGGCAGTCTCGATGAATAGAAAGCATGTGAGTGGCGAGATGGATTCTGGCCTGGGGAGCGACGAGGACCGCAGGGGCCGAACCAAAGAGCAAAAACAGCTCCACAATCAGCAACTGCTGAGCGGGTGCTTCATCGATGCTGCCACCCTCTCAGACGAAGCCGATGTGGCCGATCATGCTGATCAAAGAAGGCAAGATGAGCGGAGACAAGGGGCGATTTTGTTTCAAACATCCGTGCCCCATTTTTCCATGCTCCAAATGCCCAACGCTCATGAAGAATGCGGTTTTTCCTCGGATTTTTCCTGCTCTGCTGGGAACCTACCCCAGTTCCCGGAAACAAGCACCCCTTTCAATTCCATTGTCCAGATTGGCCCTGAGGAGCCAGACAGTGCCAGGAAGTCTCCCTTGGGGTTCTATGTGGATTTGAGTGATGTTGCTGGTGGAGGCCCTGTTACACCTCCCTCAGCTTCAGCTACTAAAAATATTTTCTCTATGGTCATTGATTTTGAGGGGCCTAAGAAGGACAAACCAATTAAACTTAGTTCCTCTTTGGTTTCATACAGGAAGAGTAAACCTTTGAATAGGTCTAACCTTTTGGCTAAGAGCAATGGTAGTTTGTCATCTAGTTTCAGTTCCATTAATTCCAATTCTGTAGCAGGCACCAGTAGACAGTCTGAAGAACATGAACCTACTGCTAATTGTAATGGAAACAAAGTTCTGAATGTAGAGGTGCTTAGTGCCTCTTTGGTAAAAAAGTTGTCAGTGTCTTCTTCAAAGTCATCTAGTAGCAGTGAGAATGTAGCAGAAAGGAACAATGATGTGAGTTTGGATTTGGATAGGGATTCTGCCAAGGAATCTGTGGAAGAGAACCATATTGAATGTGATAATGTTTCTGAGAAGAATGATGAAGAAATTACTCCTTCAAGTAGTAAATCTGAGAGTAAATCAGACAGTAGCAGAGTACAAATAAGTGAAGAAAGTAAATTGGAAGCACAGGTGAGTGCAATTTCACACCTGATTTGTTGTTTGCTATTTTCCTAGAAATTATTTTGGTAGGATAGGAGGTATAGGTAGGTACTTTATAATTTCTTATCATTTTGTCAATATTGATTCAAAGAATACTGATCTAATATTTGATAAGTTCCTAGCTATCAGTCTTATGCATATTTCACTGATAAAACAAAGTTAAGGGTATGGTCCGTAAGCCTACCGAACGTAACCAGAATTACGGTTCATAGGTCCGTAAACTCTGAAATAACCGAAGTGTCAAACTAACCTTGACATACGGGACACGGTTTCTGAAAAAAGTGGTCAGAATATTTTACCAGGAAAACCATTACTTGAAGGTCGGTTTTTCCGGTTAGTTCAATTATCTTTTTAACACAGGTGACAGACTGACAGCTAACGAAATTCGAAATTTGAAAAAAGTCAAAAAACGGCAGTATTCATATTAATCATATTGCAATATGGAGGTAAGAAACTGAACAAAAAGAGAATATGATCAATAATACATTAATTGGTAATATCTTGTAATTTCAGGATATTAGTTTGAATGCTCCATGTACCTGTTTCCATTGCCACCAAGAAATAGGTTCTTTAAACGAACTCTTAGGAGGTGTAAGTCATGAATGCTTCCTACAATATGACGAAGTAACCTTTGATCATGGAAGTCATATTGCAAAAGGCATTTTTAAACGTTCAGAAGAACAGGAGAATGTCCGAGCTACTACAAACTCCAGTTCCAGTTGCTCTAGTACCATTACCCAATGGACAGATTCAGCTATTAAACTCCTAATTTCCACGTATAAAGAATGTGAAGAATCATTTTCGTCGCCCCAACATAATAAGAAGACTGTCTGGGCTAAGATAAGCCGAAAACTAGAAGCGAATGGTGTTCATATAAAAGGAAGCAAGTGTGATGAGAAGTGGAGAAACCTCAAGAAAAAATATGAAGTAGTGAGAAGAGAGAATGAAAAAACTGGAAATTCAACTGTTAATTGGAAGTATTTTGATGCACTGCATAGTATTTACTCAAAAGATCCACAATTTTCTCCTCTGACCACAGTGAGTAGCACAGGACAAATTAGAATGCAGCAACCAGAAACTCCCACAAGTTCCAGATCCAAGTACTCTCCAGTAGGACTGGATCCGGGGAGCACGAACACTTCCAAGAAAATGAAGCGAAAAAGCACTTCATTTATTGAAGAGTTGGAACAGAAGAGACAAGCCAGGCATGATGAAAAAATGAAGCTGAAAAGGGAAGTGTTCGAGTGGCTGAAGGCCAGTGAGAAGAAAAATGACCCTTCCACAGATTGAACATAGTTTGTGTGTTCTCGAAGGGAGACATGTGCCTCATCCTTGAAAAGTGTAGAACATCCCGGAATGGTTAGCAGTGGTTCAACATTTTTTGAATTGCCTCAAAATGATGCTTTGGTATGTAAATTATAATTTAGAGGCAATACAAAACATGTTGAACCACTGCTATATAACCATATTGGGCCAGGTCTTACACTTTTCAAGGATGATGCAGGTCTCTCTATTGAATAACGCACAGATTCTATGTACCCATGGGATGCTAGTAGGCAATCATTATTTTATTGTTGATGTTACATTTCCCAAAGAATTAACTGTTCATACAGGAATATATTCATTTTTTTATAGTAGATAGGTAGGTACTTATTTACTTTAAATATGTTAAGTTTGTTTCTTGACTTATTAGTCCAACCAAAATAGACCTTCAATGGTTTTATATTATTTGTATTTCCTAAAAAGTTATTGGAGTTCATTCAGCAATATTAAATGTTTTATTTTCATTGGAAGTTTATGTGTATTTTGTAAACTTTGAGCAAATTCATATATTACAATATATGAAATTGTTTAGATGGATCTGATTAAGGAATTTTCAATGAATAAATCATGCAAAAATCATTTGATGGTTCATCTTATAATTTATACCAAGAACAATTCATTGCATAAATCATCTCTCTTGTTCCTTCCCATAATTCTCAGATGATGTAATCCCATATCCACAACTGCATTGTCATCTTCATTCTCTTCAAAATCCTCCACTCGAAGCTCCAAATTATCATTCTGCATAATACATATATTATGCAAAACTGTACAAGCAATAATGTATCTGGTACCCCAAACAATATCTTTCACATCCAGAAACTTCAGACAGCGAAATCTCTTTTTCAAGAGACAAAAAGCCCTCTCAATGCAACTTCTTACACTAGATAAACAAAAATTGTAATGCCTTTGGGCTTCTGTTAAATGGCCGTTATCCCTGTATGGAGTCATGAGGTGAGGCATTAGAGGATAGGCTTTATCTCCCACTAAATGTGAGTTTTCTGGGAATCTGTTATTTCCTGGCATACCAATCATATATTGCCATATCTCACTATTCCTCAAAACTCTCGCATCATGGCATGACCCTACTTCTCCTGCAGTGGCATGTAAGAATTTTAACTGATGATCACAAACACCCTAGAAGAAAACAAATTATTAGTGACCTTGCAACATGTTTGAATATTGTAAAGCATCCCAAGCTAGTTTTCGATTACATATGCACAAAAGGACAAAATCTTACTTGCAATATAAGGGCTGCAAATCCTTTCCTATTAATATAGGACCTGGGGTTTTGTTTTGGTTCTGATATTTTCACATAGGATCCATCTATACATCCCACAGTTCCAGGGAAACCCAAGGCAGTGAAAGCTCTTATAATGTTTTCTCTTTCATCATTTGTTGGCCAGGTAATGATTTGGTTACTAATGTTTAACAAAGCATTGGTAACTCTACGAACTATTCTAATTGCTGTAGCTTTACCAACATTGAAACGTGAGCAAATTGACCTGAAGTATGTAAAGATCATGTCCACTATGAAATGATAAAAGTTATGGTGTGAGAATATCTACCTATAAGAATCAGGAGTACCAAATCGCCAAATTGCAATCAGTAATTGGTTTTTAGCACTACAGGTGTGCCTGCCAGTGGCATCTTCCTCTGTTGCAATTTCGTTTTCAATCAAATTTAGAATGAAATTGAATGTGCCCCTGTACATCCGAAAATGTTCTCGAAATTCTTCATTCGAATATTCGTCCACTACATCCTGTACAAAATTTCTCATCCTTGGTCTGAGAACTATCAAAGGTAAAATAATAATATTAAAAATCTGCTATTAATGAAAAAGCGAGTGAAGAAGCAAGATTCTTCACTTACCCAAAGGTCCTCTAATATCCAAATTTTCATCTTCATCTTCACTGCTACTGCTACTGAGAAGAAGCTCATTCACCACAAAGTTTCTCAATCTGTTATTCATTTCTAATATTATTTTATGATTATATGTGGCCAAAAACCAAAAGCAAGGACCTGACAGCGTGATATCATTTTTGTCAGATGAATGTCATCGCTGGCATGTTGGTCCGTAAATAAACCGATTTTCATGCAACCGATCTTTTACCAGAGAGGTAAAGTGATGGTTAACCTGATTGACTTACGGACCATACCCTAAGTGAATTGTTTGCCAAATCAAAGTCACTCAAATGATAAAAAATGCTGAATGCAACTGATATGAATGATACCTAACTTGTATTTCAAAATGAATAATAATGAAAACCTATCTGGAGAAATACTTACCTTTTGGAATAAAGTTAAACAGGACAAAAAAGCATATTTTCCTGGAATAGGTATTTATATCTGAAAACATATAGTTTTTCATGAGGTTTTTCAGCAATCTGCAATGCATTTCATTTTTCAAAAAAAAAATAGAAATTCATGTACACCAATATGCTTTCAATACTAGTGTCAATAACACCAAGAACTCAACTGAAAACAATACCCTCGACAATACCCATTGGTCAATATTGGCGAGAATATTAGGTGATATTAATTTTTATGGTTAGCTATAGCTTTATTATTTTCATTGCAAATCACATTGTTTGCCAAACATTTTCAAGAAACTGTAGGTAAGTGCCTCGGTAAGTACACAATATTTGCTTATTTCACATCACGTCCATTTGTTCATTTTGTCCATTTAAACAATATATTTTTTCAAGGCTTTTTTGGATTAGGTATATGGTTACTTCTCAAATATTGTTACTTCAATCCATCTTCAATCCTTCAATGTCCTCTCAATTAATTTGTTATTGAACATTATATAATGATGAAATCTCGAGTGAAATCTCAGATGAAATCAACAAAACTGCAATCGATTATCTGATTTTTATTTTTAATAGTTGCTCCTCTGATATAGGACCTGATTTCATCACATTAATGATAATTTTCACACAAGTTATGGTTCATTAATTATCTTTCTTGAAATCCAATTACCATCACCGAGACCATCACTATAATGATATCACTATCATTGAGTTTTTTATGTCAAACATGAGGATCTGCTAATTTCTCCTTGCCACAGATGGTATTGGTAAAAAAGAAAACAAATGATTTTACCTCGGATTTTACATCTCCCTCCCAGCATACAGGGTATGTCACGTTGAGCTTACACTACCTTTATATCGAGAATCAGTCGGGAGAAATCCATGAAAATGTGCATGCTCTTATTTTAGAACATGCTCTCTTCATCTAAAATATTTTCGACAATGCAGTGTTGCCGCTTCTAATAGAAAGTAGAAGCAACCTTGATATTTCAAATGGAACACCCTGTATTTTATCGCATTTTTAGATTCTCCCTGAAGAGCTGATTTCATCGATGCATCACACTTGGGGTCTATCGAAAATGATTACGGAGATACAGGGTGTTCAAAATCGAGATTTTTCAACTTTAGAATTATTTTGTGTCAAAAATATTCATTATCGGTCAAAACGGCTCACATGTCCCTATCTCAACTTTTGATTCACTATTTACTGATATTCAATCGGAACAGATACAGCTTAAATATCAGTAAATACTAAATTAAAAGATAGGGACATGTGAGCAATTTTGGCCGATAATGAATAGTTTCGACAAAAACAAATCCTAATGTTGAAAAATCTCGATTTTGAACACCTTATATCTCTATAATCATTTCCGATAGACCCCAAGTTTGATGTATAGTGGAAGTCAGCTCTTCAGGGAGAATCTAGAAATGCAATGAAATACAGGGTATTCTATTTGAAATAACAAAGTTGTTGCTACTTTTTTATAGAAGCGGCAACACTGCATCGCTGAAATTATTTTAAATGAAGAGAGCGTATTCTAAAATAAAAGCATGCATATTTTCATGTATTTCTCCCGACTGATTCTCGATATAGAGATAGTATGAGCTTGTGACATACCCTGTATGTGTATATATAGGGTTTTATCGTATATAGGCGATATCTCGCTCATTTTTCAACATAATTACAAAATAACGAACTTCTCTGAATGGCATTCGAGGTAGGTACATACCTAATGGTTCAGAAAAAAGTTCCACAAAAAATATATGATGATGAATATCTCGTGGATATTGCAAATCAATTAATCTTATTTTGAATAAAATCTTGAAAAAAACCCTAAATCAAGAATATATTGTTACTAGGTATACCTTATACCTCGGAAAATACTTAAACTTGCCAAATTTTGATGAGTAATTAAACTTATATCATAACAGTGACCAGTGACTCAGGTCAGGCTATTTTGATTCATCAAAAAATAACGAAAATCATAGCTCATTTTCCTTCATTTAGGTGCACAACAATCATTAGTTGGTATGAAACTGTTATTGTTGTTCCAATGGCTGTAAATTACCATTGAAAAATGGCAAAAGGCACCATAAATTGCCAGTCTATTGAAGGCCAAACATTCGATAGACCTGTGATGACATAATTTGCCTCATTGTAATAAAAAATAAAAAAAAAATGCTCTGTCTAATGAATTTCCATATAAGTACCTATCTATTCGTGGTTTGATTGGCATTGAATGGATTTTAGGATTTTTTTTATTATCAAGGTACAACCTCAGGTAAAACGTTGTTCACCACTATACAAATTTCACGTGATTCATATGGAATATTCTGGATGGTTTCGTTAACAATAAATTCCTTGAATTCTTATCGACGTTTCAGTCCTTGTCTCATTATTGTTGAACAGTTAAATGGCAGGTCTATCAGACAATGTTTTTGTTTTGAAACTTTCCTGATTAGATATAGGATAATGCAACAAACTCCTGCTGTCTGACCACTTCAAAAACATTATACAGGGTGTTTCAAAAAAACCTAACCCCCTTGCTAGGGTAGGTAGAACATTGCAAAATAAGTTGGGTTTGCTCAGTAAAAAAATGTCGTTTTCAAGATACAAGGTGTTGAAACGATATTTTTTTTACACATTTTTTACGATTATGTTGAAATTACTGGCACCATTGAACCATTGTGATGAAATTTTGTATGGATGTTTCTTGGAATCTGACGCACCGCAGGCATTTGTTTTTATATCTGACTCTCATAGAGGGCGCTAGTTACACGGTTCGTACCGAGTAGTTTTGAACATAACTTTTTTGAGGTTAGATTTTTCAATCCAAATTTGATGTGTACTTGAACATCATTCAATTTCACACCAAAAAGGTACTCTTGGTTAAACTCGATACTGTGTTCCGTTTTCGGAATATTTCGATTTGAAAATGATGAAGTGGTAACTGTTGCTGGTATAAAGCTATGTATTAGAGTGAGTATCTTGAAAGTTTATCACCTATTTATTGAAAACCAAAAACAACAATACATTTCTGATGCAAAACTCATTGATTTAACAATGAATCACAAGAATAACATCGAAACAGATTTGACTAAGAACATGGATTACACAGTTTTGTTGTATCTTGAGCAGAAAGTCTATGCAACATAGGTAAATTCACGTCAAGAGTTGTGAGACATAATTGAACATCACTTAAATGACCTAACAGCTCATCCTCAACTGTTCAGATGAATAATACATTCTTAAAAAAAGAATATAGAATCGTGTATTCCTCGAAACGTAAGACATTTTGAACACTTACTCTAACTGATTCAATATTTCATGTTTCTAGTCAAGTATCTCTTAATTTTCTACTTATGATCCTTTGTTCCATCAATAACTTCAGCACAAGAATAATTTTATTGTTTTTGAACCTGAATAAATAGGTAATTGAAATCAATAAAATTCATTTTATACCAGCATCATTACTACTCCATTATTTTCAAATCGATATATTCCGAGAACGGAACATAGTATCGAGCGAGGTATCGAGTTTCACAAGGAGTACCTTTTTGGTGTAAAATTGAATGATGTTCAAGTTCATATCATATTTGGATTGAAAAATCTAGCCTCAAAAAAGTTATGTTCAAAACTACTCGGTACGAACCGTGTAACTAGCGCCCTCTATGAGAGTCAGATATAAAAACAAATTCATGCGATGTGTCAGATTCCAAGAAACATCCATACAAAATTTCATTGCAATGTTGCCAGTAGTTTCGGAATAATCGTGAAAAATGTGTAAAAAAAGTATTAATTCAACACCTTGTATCATGAAAACGGATGCCGTTAGCATTTTTTCACTGAGCAAACCCAACTTATTTTGCGATGTTCTACCTACCCTAGCAAGGGGGTTAGGTTTTTTTGAAACACCCTGTATATAGGTAACAATATGATATAATCGATTAACGACCAGATGAACACATTTTTCTTCTGATTATTAGTTTCCCATGGTTTCTCTCTAGGTTTCTCTGCATATGATGGCTATTCAACGTGACCGACTTCGCTGTGGGATAAAATCACATTCCCAACAAAAAACAATCGTCTATTATCATATTTGTGCCGAGATTTTTGCTTATTGATTTTATTTTCTATCGGAGTATGATTTACCTATATGGAGTACCCTGTTGAAGTACGATTCCATAAATTATTCTCGACCTTATTCGTGCTTTTTGATGATTATTTTTCGTAATAAAATTGCGTTTTAATTGTGGAGGCTGAGTTTGGTCCGGGAGTTTTATTCTGGTCCACTAATAGCATGGCCTCGAGCATGGCGTCAGCCCACTGTGAGTTTTTCTACGAGCCAATGCGCATACGTTCATAATGTATCACGTGATTCACTTTGACCAATCTGACAATGAGGTATGGGAATGGTTCGAAAACTCTAGGCTCTCGTCTTTTTTAATTTTCGTTGTTATATGATATGAAGCTCGTAGGAAAAATAATTATTGATCGTAGTTTTCATGGCCACAGAAGCCTTAACATCGAGCATCGTTTCCTGTTGTATAAATATGCGAACATCCTCTTAAAAACGAGAATGAAAAACATGACTAATAGTGGCATCACCACTGCCTCAACCACCGTATAACTGTAAAATGCGTTGCAAATCAATTGAGAAGAAAATGGATGATTACTGATATACAGGGTGTTGCAAAATTCGACCGACAACGCTAGCCCTCGTGATTTCATAATCACTGAGATAGGGACATGCGGTCTCCAACTGTTCAGTTCTCGAGATACAGGGCGTTGAAGTTGAGAAATAAAAATAGTTGTTTCGCAATATCTCACGAATAATTGAATATAATGCATTCAAATTCGGTATATGGTTTCATCTTTGAATGGGTAATTTTTTTGACCAGAAAGCCATTCCGGACATTTTTTCCATTGGTGCCCTACAGGGGGTTGTGGTAACTTCTCCTCCCATATTTTCTACGCCACTGATTAAATTTCGATTATTTCCAATTCCTCGAATTTACTGTTCAATCTTGTTCAAAAAATGTATCACCTTCAACTGAGCTGAAATGAACAGTTTTCGAGATACTCGACGCAAAATAGAAGATTGCATAGTAATATTTCATCATTTTCAGTAGTAGAAGATTGCAAGAATATATTTCCGGTGTTGAGTAGATTAGATACTAAACAAATCTCAGCCTGTAGTTGAACAGAAATAGTTATTCCACGCATAAAGAGAAAACCAACATTTTTGTAATTTTCTACTACTGAGGAAGATGAAAAATTACTATGCAAACTTCTATTTTGGGTCAAATATCTCGATAACTGTTCATTTCAGCTCAGTTGAAGGTAATGCATTTTTTCAACATAATTGAACAATCAATTCGAGAAATTGGAAATAATCGAAATTTCGTCAGTGGCGTAGAAAATATCGGAGGAAAAGTTATCACAACCTCCTGTGGCGCACCTATGGATGACATTCTCGGAAAGTCTTCCTTGTCAAAAAATGAACCATTGAAAGATGAAACCATATACCGAATATGAATGCATTATATTCAATTTTTCTTCAGATATTGCGATAAAACTATTTTAATTTCTTTACTTCTCAGTGAATATGAAATCACGAGAGCTATCACCTGTCAAGCGTTGTCGGTCGAATTTCGCAACACCCTGTATATAGGATTAACAGTAACTACAAAATAGATTTTGTTGCTTCACAATTGGCCAGTAGTGTTTATTTTAAGAGATATCCACTGTGTCTTGTTTTGACTGAGATATTGATGGAATGCCTCTTATTACGAGGCTTCTTATGATAATCAGTTTTTATAAGGATAGGAAATTAACAATGCATTTGAAAACATATCATATACAATGAGTGACACGAATCGAATTTGTTAACAGTCTTATTGATGTTTTTATGTTGATAGGCCTTGTTGTCGGTTTATCTGCAGAAATGTTTTGTTCTCAGATAGTGAATACAAAGTGTCGTTTGAATACGAGTTTGAATATTTCAGAGGTTAGTGAACTGAAATTTACTCATGATAGTCTCATGGGTTATTCAAAAATGTAAAATTGTGGACTTCGAAAATTCGAAATTTTTCAATTGAAAATGTGGAATACCTAATATTCTTTTCTAAAAAGATTTCAAATATCATAGAAATTGACGGAAATTGATCTTGAAATATAAATTCCATTTTTTATTTATTTTCCTTGTACAGTTGGATATCATAAATGATGATGAACCGATGTAAACTATTTCTATTACATAATATTTACATTGTATGTATATGTCGGTATGTTCGTACTTTTTTATTTATTCAGGATATTATCGATTTACGTAGAAATTTCTATGTCACACTATGCAATGCAAAAAAAAGAAATTTTCATTAGTGCTAACGATATGCAAATTGATATCTTACATTATAAGAAACATAGTGACGAACATTGTTTGACACTGTTTGAGATCATGATTAGATATATTCGAGGCGAGCATCCAGGATATTATCATGCTCAATTTTTCTGTTGAAGTATTTCGACGAGCATTTCAAGAAATCACAAAATTAATTTCGAGAAATTTTGGAGGTTTACAGGAATCAAATCATCGAAGAATTACAATAAATCAAGAAAATTCCAAAAGAACTTGAAACATTTTTAGGAATTGCAAAGCTTTTCAAGATATTTCAAAGCTATTCTAAAAGACTTCTCAAAAATCCCAACGAATCACAACGAATTTCAAAAAAATGTTGTGGGCGAGTGGACTGCTATCAATGATTGGCATTCAATTAATCAACTGTGTCGTTAGGAATCTAAATTAATGTTTCCAACACTTCTTACGCTTTTTTATGTAAATAATGAGTCTGTGTTGTTCGAAATTGTTGACTTTCAGACCTCATTTCAAACGATAACCTTCATGGCCGCCATTTGGAGATTCTTCGAATAATTGGTGAAGTCAGTTTTTTGCTTATCTAAAGTTATCAAAAATATGTCAAGAGTCCAGCATGTCCTAAATATTTCTTATTCTCCATAACAAAATATCATGTAAATGTTTCGAGACTTGGGAACATTGTGCTGAATGCTGAGAACTGACAAGACCACGCCCACAAGTCGTGCGCCGTGTTGCCACGTTCACCGATTCAAATGTCCTCTAGTGTGAATTAATATAATTATTATTTACACAAACTTATTTTGAGCAATGAGCCACAAATCATTAGGAAACATTTCGAAACATGAATCTATACGATTTGGTTGAAATTTCTCCAGAATCGGACAAGAATTGATCTATTGGAATTTTTTTCATCTGGCCGGTTTTTCTGTCGGTGAATTAGTCACTTCGATTAACCACCAAGTGTTAGGTGGGACAAATGACCTCGCATGTAACTGATTCCATACAATAACCAGACAAGCAGTTAGGTACAATAACATGATAAAATCTCGGATAAAATACAATAATTCACTACCAAATAACTTGAAGGTGATTAATAGCCCTGAAATGTTTTTAAAAAAATTGAAGAAGCATCTTCTCCTGTAATGAAATAGTTATTTAACCAACTAGTGTATTAATGAGGGCGATTAATGATCGAGATATTTAAACGTGCGAGCGAAGCGAGTGCGTTAATGTTCGAGATCATTAATCGCCTTATAATATAAAAGTTGGTTACAAAATTTTTCCGTCGACTATATTTCTCATTTCTCCTGCAATGAAGAAAACTTGGTTCGCCAATTATTCATCATCCATCCGGAAACTGCTAAGAATCACCCAGTAGCCTTGTTACTGACATTAGTGACATTTGACATTTGTCGAAATGATCAACATAGGAAATAAATTCCTTTCGTTAGAAAACAGGGATTAAAATCGTGTCAGAAACTTGGAAAATCGTCGATGAAATCCATATTTTCGATTTAAATGCAGATTCCGTAAGTCATAGCATAAACAATGAATGCACGCGGTGTATGTTTGGTTGCCTATAAAACAATCGTGCATTAATAGACACATCGTTTATTAATAGGGGTCATTAATGAACGATTTCATATACATTAAACTTAGTCGTTAATGCGAGGTCGACGGAAAAGGAATATTGTCAGATATTGTTAATTCAAATAGAATACCCTGTATTTCATTGCATTCTTAGATTATCTCGGAAAAGCTGATTTCATCAATGCATCACACTTGGGGTCTAGCGGTAATAATTACAGAGATATAGGGTGTTCAAAATCGATTGTTTTCATATTTAGGATTTTTTGTGTTGAAACTATTCATTATTGGCCTTTTATTGGTCAAAACGGCTTCTATGTTTCTATCTCAACTTTTGATTCACTATAAACTGACATTTAATTGGAACAGTTACATGGTGATCAGAATTTTTTATTTTGTAAAAATCATTTGTATATTCACTATGTCCATGAAACAAATGTTTCTTGGAAATGATGAAGTTGATTGATTTATATTTCAGTCGGTTCAGAACGAAAGCACCAATATCACTAATGATATCACCCAACCCAGTCCAACTGCGGCTGTTACTGTTAACCGGTGAAATTTCACTTTCTCCGCCAGTCAGTCTCTTGAGCTAATCATGTGCGCGCCTACTTCAAACCAACGCAGCTCCGTAAATTAACTCGTCAATCCTAGGAAAATGACCCTTATTATGCAGTCCTGCCAGCAGCAGCAGCAGCAGCACGCTACTAGTTTCATGACTGGCGTGAGAGACTCGTTTCTTTTGCAGCCGCAGCCACAGCAGTTCGTCAGACTGTCGGACCTGGAATGCCAGAGGGCGCGAGTGGACGTGAATTTCGCCCCACGCATGAGCAGATCCATCCCGGAGAGCTCGTGGGTGGAGAGCCCGCTGCTGATGTCGAGTTCGGTGGGGTACCGGAGCGCCCCGCGCCCCATGGAGGCCGAGGGGGGTGAGGGGGAGGATGAGGAGGAGGAGAAGGAGGGGGTGGGGGAGCTGAGGCGGGGGGGCGAGGCGCCTGCGTCCAGAAGGTTCGTCCCAATGATCTGATGATATTATTATTATTGATATATCGAAAACTGAAACCATTATAATCCACTACACTGTTTTACCACTATACAGGGTGTCTCAAGAATTGCTAGGACACAGAGCTACCACGTGTAGAGGAGGTCAAAATAAGTTGATTGGACCCATTTTATACAGTTTGTTCCTTAAAGACATGCTAATATTCGAGGGTGTGATTCTTTGACTCGTTTCAAGAAGAAAACTTCATATAAACGTATGTCCTAAAAGTCTTAACTTTTGAGATACAGGGTGATGAAGTTTTGAAAAATATTCAGTTTTTTGATAATAACAGAGACAATCAAGACATCAAGGTGCATTTTCTGATGTACAAAAATTTTCATTTTCTCTACCAGTGGCACCGTTACGGGAATATTATTGTTTATATTTTACTTAAAAGTGAGCAACGACAATAAATTCTCACATTTTATACAAGATCATAGAAGGCAATTTAATTATGTACAAAAAAGACCCTCTTGTTGATACTCGATAGAACGCTTCGTTTTCGAGAAAAAACGGCAAAACGAGACCAGACCAGAAATTTGTATACCGATTCAGTCACATAGCAAAGTGCATTTTGCCATCACGAAAAGCTATACAGGATGGACAAAAAAAAATCTATGCATATTTTCAACATTGACACCCTGTATCTCAAAAGTTAGGTTAGGTTAGGTTAGGTTGTAGGTGTATCTCAAAAGTTAGGATGTATACGACATACGTTCATATGAAACTTTGTTCTTGAAATGGGTCGAAGAATCGGCCCATGAATATTAGAATATCATTAAGGAACACCCTGTATATGTGCCAATATTGATTGTTCGTAAGAAGGGTTCAAAGTTCACATAAAAAAACAGATTTTTGTACGCTGTTCAGAAATAAGTGGAATGAATTTGATGAAATTTGGCAATAGTGTATTTCAGAGGATTACTTTCCTTTTGGAAATCAAAGAAACCTAAAAGAAATTGTAGAAGGGTTAAAACCACCCTCACCCCTTGACATTTTTTTCAGAACTTTTTTAGAAGTCATATACCGGGTGACACAGGGTATCGGGCCACCCCTGTAACTTCAGCATTCGTCAACGGATTTTCCTGGAATTCGGTACAGTTATATAAGCAATTATTTCGGATTTGATCACATTACAATCCAATATGGCGGACTTCCGGTTTTTCTGGAAATGCCAGCAACTTTGTTTTTTCAAATGGAACACCCTGTATATTTTTACATATTCAAGTTCAACAGGTCGAAACAAGTGCAATCTTTATTTCAAATGTCATTTTTTCGAAAAAATTCAATTTAAAATTGTTTTTTCATTTTACCTCGTGGATAAATGAGATGTGGTCAAGACTATTCACAATGAGTCACACATAACAGAAGAACATAATTTTTTCTGAAAATTAATTTTTTATGTCACTTATCCAGGAATCAATTCAGCCACATCACTTTTTGATCAAAAATTATTTTTTTTCAAATGGAACCCCTATGGGCCACCTACCCGTTTCTCTAGAACATACATTAAGGAACAAAATGAGATATCATTTTTGTTTTTCGGTGCAGTAACAAATTGTATACATTCAAAAATCAACAACTAGTTTATGAATTTCCTTGCAGTTAGAATAATTTTTCAACTAGGTAGGCTGTGGAATAAATGACATTTGACATCAGGATTGCACTTGTTTTGACCTGTTGAACTTGAATATGTGAAAAAATACAGGGTGTTCCATTTGAAAAAACAAAATTGCTGGCATCTCCAGAAGAACCGGAAGTCCGCCATATTGGATTGTAATGTGATCAAATCCGAAATAGTTGCTTATATAACTGTACAGAATTCCAGAAAAATCCGTTGACGAATGCAGAAGTTACAGGGGTGGCCCGATAACCTGTGTCACCCGGTATAATACGGTTCTGAAATTTCTTGAGCTGGAAGACTAATCAATTACCTTCATGCAGTATCTAAAAAAATATATTCAATATTCGGGGGGGATTTATGCTATTCCAGTACATAAATGGCTATTCTTTAATTTTCAGTTAGTGAAACATGCAGAGAATCATTTTGGGCCAGAAAAATGGTCCGTTTTAAGATTTTCCCCGGCATTTTTTCTGAGAAAACCCTATCTTTTTTCGTTCAGCTTATATTAGGTCAAATGAACATCGTGGCACCACAGCGATTAAAAATAAGAAGCGGAATTTTCAGGGTTATGTCGATCGAAAATATGGTTATGTGTTATGTCAGAATGAAAGTGAAATCAAAATAAATAGCTCAAATTAAATGTTGGTTGTACGAAAAAGATGCATTTTCAACTGAAACATGTTTTCAAGAAACCGTCAGCAATTTCCATCAGGAGTATAACCGGACTGAATCTATGGAACGAAGATATCACCTCCGAAACCAAACATAAAATAGAAAACTACTGGAGAAACAAAATACCTTGTGATAATTTCAATGAAAATGATGCAACCAAAGAAAAATTCTACGTGCTCTCGATGTTCCCCTATCCCTCAGGTTCCCTCCACATGGGACATGTTCGGGTGTACACAATTAGTGATACAGTAGCTAGGTTTCACAGAATGAAAGGCAAGAATGTTCTTCATCCTATTGGTTGGGATGCTTTTGGACTTCCTGCTGAAAATGCGGCGATAGACCGTCAAATATCTCCCGATATATGGACAAAACAAAATATCGCCCACATGAAACAGCAGCTGAATGAACTTGGCTGTAGCTTCGAATGGGACAGGGAATTTGCTACCTGTGATCCTGATTATTATCAATGGACACAAGATTTGTTTCTCAAATTATTCCATGCTGGGTTGGTGTACCAAAAAGAGGCTCTAGTAAACTGGGATCCAGTTGACAAGACTGTTTTAGCTGATGAACAAGTTGATGAGAATGGAAATTCTTGGCGGTCAGGTGCAAAAGTTGAAAAGAAACTTCTCAAGCAGTGGTTCATCCGTACTACAAAGTTAGCAAAAAGTTTGTCTGAGGGCTTGAATGATCCTATCCTTCAGGACTGGAGGGACATTGTTAAACTACAAAATCACTGGATTGGGGAATGTAATGGTGTTAGTTTTGATTTTGAGGTTAGTGGTACAAGTGAATTTTTATCATTGTGGACTTCTAAACCTGAATACATAGAACATGTCAAGTTTGTAGCTATAACTTGTGATCATTTATTGGCTAAACATGAAGGAGTGATGAATACAGACAGTACAGTGAAGCTGAATACAGTTGTTATTAATCCTTTTACTAATGAAAAAATACCTGTTTTTGTAACTAAAGACATAGATTTTCTACCACAGACAGATTCTTATTTAGGTATTCCAGATATCTTTGAAGAATCAACAGTTTTTTCAAAAAAATACAATATTCCTTTTCAAATCATCCCCAAGCTCTGTTGTGATGAAGATGTTGAAAAAAAGCAACAAGAAACATGTAACAAAGCAGAAACACTGGGCATTGGAGGTTATTGGACCAGTGCAAAACTCCGAGATTGGTTAATTTCACGCCAAAGATACTGGGGCACCCCAATACCCATCATTCACTGCAAAACATGTGGATCCCAACCTGTACCAAGACAAGATCTACCTGTCTTGCTACCCAAGCTAGAAAACACATTTTCAAAAGGTGCATCCCCACTAAAAGAAGCCAAAAGCTGGTTGAACACCACTTGTCCCAAGTGTAAAAGCCCAGCCACAAGGGAAACTGACACAATGGACACATTTGTGGACAGTTCCTGGTACTTTCTCAGGTTCACAGATCCCAAAAACACCTCCGAGATATTTTCCAGAGATAAGGCTGAGAAAACAACCCCAGTTGACTTGTACATAGGAGGCAAAGAACATGCTGTGCTTCATATGTACTATGCCAGGTTCATATCTCATTTTCTTCATTCCCAGGGACTCTTGAAAGAAAGAGAGCCCTTCAAAAGATTGTTAGTACAGGGTATGGTGATGGGAAGAAGCTATAGACTCAAGGGTAGTGGGGAATACTTGCATGAGAGTAAGGTAAATGTGTTGGATCTCAAGAAAAACAAAGCAGTGGCCAAGGAAACTGGTGAGCCTGTGGTGATCTCTTGGGAAAAAATGAGCAAGTCAAAATACAATGGAGTGGATCCAAAGGATATGTTCAGGGAATATGGGGTTGACACTACAAGGCTGCTCATCTTAGCTGATGTATCTCCTACTAGTCACAGGAATTGGAATAGCAACACTTTTCCTGGTATCCTCAATTGGCAGAAGAGGCTCTGGTTAACAATCAGGGATTTCTTGAAACACAGGCACAATCTACCGGCTATGATTCCCTCAGAAGAATACACAACCCATGAGGACTACCTGTTTGATTCTAGAAACTTTTATGTCAAAGGGGCATCTTACAACTATTTGATAACACAGCAGCTCAGCGTGGCTGTTTCTAAGCAGCAAGGGCTTACTAATAGCATCAGGAAAGTGCCGCCAGCGGTTGTGGCTCATGGGGTTCAATTTGAAAGGGCTTTGGCAGCCCAGCTGGTGCTTTTAGCCCCTATGGCGCCATTCTTTGCATCTGAACTTTGGAGCGGTTTCATTTCAGCGCCTAACAGACTGAACGACGCCCAGGAAATATTCTGGGACAAAACGGTGTTTGAACAAAAATGGCCGGAAACGGATATGCACTACAACTTGGACCTGGTGTGTCAAGTTAACGGTTTTGACAATGCCCTGGTGAAGATACCCAGACGGGAGTTGGAGAAGTTGAGTAGAGAGGAAGCTGTGGAGCTTGCATTGCAGCAGAAGGAGGTCCAGAGTACTTTGACCAGGCGGAATCTGTTGGACGTTCACTATACTTTGCATGAGGGGTGCGAGGGGGTGGTCAATCTGATTACGGATCAACCGCCTCCTAAAGCTAAATCACAGACGGTGGAAGCTGTGGGAGTTTGAAGTGGAGAGTGACAATACTGTCTTCTTTTATCAATGATTAATTTTCTGAAGTGATTATTTT